TTGGAAATAAGATGTTGGCTCCTATATTAGAAGGTACTTCTAGACTTTTGTTTTTAATTCCTTGGCATTTTCTGGATTTTGACTTCAATACTATTCAGCACAGGAGAAAATAACATGCTAAGTACAGGTTTCAAATAGTTTAGCATCCTAAGTCATATTTAACAATGCTTTTGAGGGCTTAGGGAAATGAAGCATCTTCATATTAGGACTGTAAGGGGATTTGATTGTCATATGATAGTTTCAGCTTAATTTCAGGTGATTTTTTGAAAGTCTGCTCTGTAAATCTCTGTAGTCCCATGGATTGACCCAAATCTTCTGTGACTTCAGGTGATTTTCTTTTGGTGTCTACGAATGTAAAACTTTCATAATTTTGGAATTGGGTGGTCACTTTATTGAAAGACTTCAAAAATCTCTTCTGAGATGATCTGCGACAAGAAAATACCTCATTACTTATGAGTTGCTTTTCTGTATCACTGGTGAATAGTTTTCAAGGCCAACAATAGTATTCCTCTTCTCATTGTTTTTCAGATAAGGCACAGTCCTTTACTAACTTGTCTCATGTCTCTCTCCAACCATTTACCATAAATGTCCGTCTTCTGAAAAAGATTGAAAGAGACAAGAATAGCTAATTGGAGTTTTCTCTTCAAATGTGGTTGTATTTTCCCACCTGCAGAGCAGAACTCTGCTGCTTTGTTTAGACTGCATCTTCTTGCATTTAACTTTTGCTGGCTATAATCTCCAGTGAACTAATTTTCAGGCTAATGAACTAATTTGGGCTGCCCAGAGAAGTGGTTGAGTCACCATCCCTGAAGGTCTTTAAAAGAGATTTTTTAAAAGAGATTTTTTTTTTAGATGTAGTGCTTAGTCATATGGTTTAGTGGAGGACTTGTTAGTGTTAGGTCAGAGGTTGGACTAGGTGATCTTCGAGGTCTCTTCCAACCTAGATGATTCTGTGATTCGGTATAAATTGGATGATCCCCCTGCCCAACAAATGGTATTAGGTGGGTGTGGGAGCATGGGTCTTGGATGCACGTGTTGAAACAACAGTGTTAGTTATAACCACACAGAGGAGGCCGTCTGATGGAGGGAATGACCCATAATAGATAAGGCTCCTGCAACGTTACAGGGCAGCAGTAGAGCAACTAAACTGGTGTGGAGCTTATCCTTTTATATCCACATCTATTTTTTGATGTCACTTTATCTTTCTTTTACCTGCAGTAGAGAGGACCACTTTTGATACTTAGAGTTACTTTTATTTCAATAAAGGAGTTTTCCTCCTTCTGTGCACTGTAGGGGGCAAAAAGGATTTGAGTTACCTCTATGTGCATTGATGATGGTCCTTGCTTTCTGTGGATGGACTGGTTGCCATATGACCCAGCTAAAATTTGCTGCTTATGCTATTTAGAGATGAGTTTCAACCCTGTACTTTTCAGCTTGCTTTGTAAGTGCTGAAGATACAGGTTAGAGATGAAGCATAAGAATTTCATATTTGGATTGTGAACTTACTTTTGAACATTAAGCCTAACAAAGCTTCCTTGAAGTCGGTAGACTCAGTGAACCTCAGTAAGTAGGCTGAATTACTTAAATATCCATGTGACCAATATACTCAAATATTCGTGTTTGTAGGATTGCCAACGCATGTGTGTTTCAATGCAATCCTATCTGTGTTTTATTTACCTTTTTTTCATAATGTCTTGAATATTAAACAAAACAAAACAAAAAGTTCTTAGCTATCCTGACTGTCAAAAAGATGCAGAATTATGGGGCCTAGTCAGAAAGTGAATGTAAAGCATCCACAAATTGTATGTGAAGCAAATTAAAAACTGTAGACTTTTTAGTTGATGCTCATTTTTTTTTACGTAGCTTCCCTTAATGTATTTTAAACATTTGTGGTTGGCAATACTCTTCTCCCCTTATGAATCAAGAATTTAGCAGCAACTTTACATCTCTTCCCACAGAACTATATTATTTTGCAAGTAATTTGATTTTCCAAATAATTGATTGGAGGAAAACATTCCTGCCAACTTAAAACAGTCAATGCGTTTTTTCCTGACTTTGTGCTGCTGAGGACACTGTTTGATAGAGTCCCTTGGGAGGCGGTTCTGAAGGGCAGAGGAGTCCAGGAAGGCTGGGTGCTCTTCAAGAAGGAAATCTTAATCGCGCAGGAACGGTCTGTCCCCATATGCCCAAAGACGAGCTGGCGGGGAAGAAGACCGGCCTGGCTCAACAGAGAATTGCGGCTTAAGCTTAGGAGAAAAAAGAGGGTTTATAATCTTTGGAAAAGTGGGCAGGCCACTAGGGAGGACTATAAGGACGTAGCGAGGCTGTGCAGGGACAAAATTAGGAAGGCCAAAGCTCATCTGGAGCTCAATCTGGCTACTGCTGTTAAAGATAACAAAAAACGTTTTTATAAATACATCAACACAAAAAGGAGGACTAAGGAGAATCTCCATCCTTTACTGGATGCGGGGGGAAACTTAGTTACAAGAGATGAGGAAAAGGCGGAGGTGCTTAATGCCTTCTTTGCCTCAGTCTTTAGCGGCAATACCAGTTGTCCTCTGGATACCCAGTACCCTGAGCTGGTGGAAAGGGATGGGGAGCAGGATGTGGCCCTCACTATCCACGAAGAACTGGTTGGTGACCTGCTACAGCACTTGGATGCACACAAGTCGATGGGGCCGGATGGGATCCACCCAAGGGTACTGAGAGAACTGGCAGAGGAGCTGGCCAAGCCACTATCCATCATTTATCAGCAGTCCTGGCTATCGGGGGAGGTCCCAGTTGACTGGCGGCTAGAAAACGTGACGCCCATCTACAAGAAGGGCCGGAGGGCAGACCCGGGAAACTACAGGCCTCTCAGTTTGACCTCAGTGCCAGAGAAGCTCATGGAGCAGATCCTCTTGAGAGTCATCATGCGGCACTTGCAGGGCAAGCAGGCAATCAGGCCCAGTCAGCATGGGTTTATGAAAGGCAGATCCTGTTTGACGAACCTGATCTCCTTCTATGACAAAGTGACGCGCTGGGTGGACGAGGGAAAGGCTGTGGATGTGGTCTACCTTGACTTCAGCAAGACTTTTGACACCGTCTCCCACAGCATTCTCCTCAAGAAACTGGCTGCCCTAGGCTTGGACTGGTGCACGCTTAGTTGGGTTGGAAACTGGCTGAATGGCTGGGCCCAAAGAGTCGTGGTAAATGGAGTCAAGTCCAGTTGGAGGCCGGTCACTAGTGGCATCCCCCAGGGCTCGGTGCTGGGGCCGGTTCTCTTTAATATCTTCATCAATGATCTGGACGAGGGCATTGAGTGCACCCTCAGTAAGTTTGCAGATGACACCAAGTTAGGTGCGTGTGTCGATCTGCTCGAGGGTAGGAAAGCTCTGCAGGAGGATCTGGATAGGCTGCACCGGTGGGCTGAGGTCAACTGCATGAAGTTCAACAAGGCCAAGTGCCGGGTCCTGCACCTGGGGCGCAATAACCCCAAGCAGAGCTACAGGCTGGGAGATGAGTGGTTGGAGAGCTGCCAGGCAGAGAAGGACCTGGGAGTGATGGTTGACAGTCAGCTGAATATGAGCCAGCAGTGTGCTCAGGTGGCCAAGAAGGCCAACAGGCTTGTATCAGAACCAGTGTGACCAGCAGGGCTAGGGAGGTGATCGTCCCCCTGTACCTGGCTCTGGTGAGGCCGCACCTCGAGTACTGTGTTCAGTTTTGGGCCCCTCGCTACAAGAAGGACATTGAGGTGCTTGAGCGGGTCCAGAGAAGGGTGACAAAGCTGGTGAGGGGTCTGGAGAACAAGTCCTACGAGGAGCAGCTGAGGGAGCTGGAGTTGTTCAGCCTGGAGAAAAGGAGGCTCAGAGGTGACCTTATTGCTCTCTACAGATACCTTAAAGGAGGCTGTAGTGAGGTGGGGGTTGGTCTATTCTCCCATGTGCCTGGTGACAGGACGAGGGGGAATGGGCTAAAGTTGCGCCAGGGAAGTTTTAGGTTGGATGTTAGGAAGAACTTTTTTACCGAAAGGGTTGTTAGGCATTGGAAAGGGCTGCCCAGGGAAGTGGTGGAATCACCATCCCTGGAAGTCTTTAAAAGACATTTAGATGTAGAGCTTAGGGATATGGTTTAGTGGGGACTGTTAGTGTTAGGTCAGAGGTTGGACTCGATGATCTTGAGGTCTCTTCCAACCTAGAAATTCTGTGATTCTGTGATTCTGTGATTCCTGTAACTGTTTGGAAAATATTATCTTTGGCACCTGGAAGACTTAACTCTGTTCCTTTTCTTTTTAAAGGTTCTTTACATTCATTCCTGTTTTGCAGGTGACAATGATTTTTATAGTTATGGTGGTCAGCATAAGAGAACTATTACATACATACATTTTTGAATTGTTATCAGACCCAGTTAACCAAAGTTTTAATTACAGTCTTCTGTAATAGCTGAAGATAAAATGCGTAGTCCATTTGCTTAATAGCAAGGATCTATCTAGTGGGTCTGTTTAGCTCCTATTAGTGGGAGCATTCACTGTTTCCTCTCTGAAGCTCTTCTTCCTGGTCTACTACTCATGTCTGTTCAGGATAGGGATGACAGTGGGAGTGCCGGGAGCCTTTGGGTTTGTGGGACTCTTGTTCTCTACTGGCAGGTCTGCTGATTGTGTAAAACAGATGACAGGAGTTTTTGGACTTGGAGAGCAGGTTTGTTAGATACTAGCAAAGATGATTGCTTTAGAGCTGCTAGTTGCTATTTGCTTTAGCATTGGTGGAATGAGGAGAAATTTTAAAGAGGAAAAACAGAGGGCACTACAGTTGCCATGTTGCCAGACCTGAATTAAAAACAGAAAAAGCAAAAATATCTCTTTGTTTTTTCTCTGTAACTTGGAAATACATAAATACAGTTACTCCTTCTGTTTACTATTCCTGTTTATTGCATGGAATATATTTCTGTTCCTGATCACTGCTCAAAGGAACATATTTCAGTATTTTTTTTTACACATTTGTCTCCTCTTTCTGTACTTGCAGGTTCTAATTGACTGGATTAATGATGTGCTGGTGGAGGAGAGAATCATTGTCAAACATCTTGAAGAGGACCTTTATGATGGGCAGGTGCTGCAGAAGCTGCTAGGTGAGTTCACAGAAGAGAAGGTGGACCCAAAGACTGGAAGGAGTCCAAAATTGATCTCTTCCAAAGCTGCAGACAGTAGGGAGTCTGTGCAGTAACTTAGCATCTCACCAGGGATACTGTTTGTTTCAGTGATAGCTACACTGTCAGCTTTTCCATCTGTTCTTCTCAGGCAGTCTGCTAAAAGGGGTGGAAATTGGGATGAGTCTCATTTACCTGATTTGTGGACTAAGAATAATCCAGAGATCTGAAATGTGGCAGAAGAAAGGTGAAGAAATTTGTGTTTACAGTGGGAGACCAAGCAGGAGACATGTGGCCCAAAATTTTTTCTGCAGTTTGATCCTGAAAGCTTTTTGGACCGAAAGCTATTCTTGAGGCCATAACTGAATTACTTTTAAGGGAGGAAAAAAACAAAACAAAATAAACAAAAACAACAACAACAACAAAAACAACAACAACAAAACAAGGAAAAAAGAGAATGCATGACACCAGGCACATATTTACAATGTGCTCTTCTATGCAAATAATACATGAGGGGATATACTCAGTTAAGCAGCTGTGATTTTGCAACCCCCTTACATCTCTGCAGTTGGTATGTGTGCTTATGCAAGAAGCACAATGGAGAAGAACTTTAATGAAGTTGCATTGATTTATAGGGGTATTTTTAGCAAACAAAGAGACTTGAAGCTTCAAGTGCCAATGTAGATCCACACAGTTTCTTGGAAACAGCTAAGTAAGCTGAAAGCCATCTGCCTATGACATGTTTTCAAGAGTGGGCTGGGTTATGGATACGTGTGTCAGAGTGGAGCAAGAGGACTTGGTGTTGCTTTGGTGCTAACTGATGCTTCTTACTGAATTTTCTGCATATGCTCCTTAAATAAGGTTTGCAGTGTTTTGGTGAACATAAGCTTTTACAATTGGTTAATAACAATTTATGTGCCATTAAAAGTAGCTTGAGGAATGAAATGACAGTACTTCTAATACTTTTTGGTTAGACTGTAACTGGGACCTTCCAGCCATAGTGTGGTGAGGTAGAGTATTGTTAGTTTAGCTGAGGAGTATTTGTGTGAATGCAAATTAGTTCCAGGTCTGGGATAGCATCTGGTAGTTTTTGTCTCTCACAGAGAATTTCCAGTTGAACATTGCTCTGGTACTCTTACATAAAGGCATTCAGAAAAAGGAGCTGAAGTCTTACCATGTTACTTAAATCTCTCAGTAAATTACCTTGCCAGTCCTAACATTGAGGTGTTGTGGATTTACACGACAAGCTTTTGGTAACAGGGGGACTGCAGGGATGGCTTCTGTGAGAAGAATCCAGCAGCTGCCCCATGTTAAATAAGTGCCAATTTCAGCCAGCTCCAAAAGGACCCACTGCTGCCGAGAGCTGAGCCGATATGTGATGTTGTTTGCACCTCTGTGAGAGCAGATTTAAGAAAAAAGGGGAAAAACAAAACAAAACAAAACAAAAAAAACCCTGCTACACAACAGCAACTGGGAGAGCAAGGAGTGAGAACTAGCCCTGCAGCCACCAAGGTGAGTGCAGGAGGTGCTCCAGGCATGCACAAGTTCCCCTGCTGCCTGTGGAGAAGCCCCTGATGGAGCAGGCTGTCCCCCTGCAGTCCATGGGTCCCATGGTGGAGCAGATCTCCATGCCTGTGGAGGAGCCCCCAGTGAAGCAGGTAGACCTGCACTGAAGGAGGCTGTGGCCCACGGAGAGCCCCCTGCAGGAGCAGGCCCCAGGCCAGAGCTGCAGCCCGTGGAGAGGAACCCACAAAGGAGCAGGGGGTCTGGGGGTAGCTGCTGCCCATGGGGGACCGAGATTGGAGCAGTATGGTCATGATGGATAGAGCCTGTGGTACCGACCTATGTGGGAACAGTTCTTGAAGAGCTGTTGTTTGTGGGCAGCCCACGCAGGACCAGTTCGGGAAGGACAGCATCCTGTGGGAGGGACCCCACATGGAGCAGTGTCGTGGTTCCGCTTGAGTGGGCAGCCGAGCTCCACCACAGCCACTCTCTCACTCCCCCTCCTCAAAGAGGAATGGGGAGAAAATATGTGAAAGGGGCTCAAGGATTGAGATAAGGACGAGAAAATCATGCAATAATTAGTGTAACGGGCAAACCAGACTCAGCATAAGAAGACAGATAGTAAGATTTATTGCTCATTACTAACAAGCTAGAGAAGTGAGAAACAAAGGAAAGAAACCAAAAGCACCTCCCCCCCCATCCACCCTCTTCCACCTCCTCCCCCCGAGCTGCGCAGGGGAACGGGGGAATGGGGGTTATGGTCAGTCTACAGCACTTCTTCTCTGCCGCTCCTTCTCAGTCACTCTCGTCCCCTGTGCTGTGGGGTCCCACCCACGGGATGCAGTCCTTGACGAACTGATCCGGCGTGGGCTTCCCACAGGCAGCAGCTCTTCCAGAACTGCTCCAGATATGGGTCTGTACCACGGGGTCCATCCCTCAGGAGAAAACTGCTCCAACCTGGCTCCCCTACGGGCAGCAGCTCCCGTAGCAGGGACAGAGAGTGACCATGAAGGAGTGGTGGAGATGAAGCATCAGGGACTGACCGCAGCCCCCATTCGCCTATTCCACTTTTGGGGAGTGGAGGTAGAAGAGGGTGAATGGGGGGGAAGGTGTTCTAGTTTGTTTTCTTTGTTTCTCACTTCTCTAGCTTGTTAGTAATAGGCAATAAATTTTATTAATCTCCCTGTGATGAATCTGTTTTGCCCATGACGATAATTGTTGAGTGATTTCCCTGTCTTTATCTCAACTCTTGGGCCCTTTGCATTGTATTTTCTCCCCCTTTCCCTTTGAGGAGGGGAAGTGAGAGAACAGCTGTGGTGAAGCTCGGCTGCCCACCTGAGTAAAATCACCACAGGTGTGTGCCTTCTTACTGCTGCTTCTCTGGAAGCTCTTTGAAATAATTGAGGTGAGCTGGCATTGCTCTGAGTCCTTTCTGGGATGCAGGGTGAAGTATTGCAAATGGATTTGCAAATTGGTCTCAGTGCTAAAGATAGACACTGGTGTGTGACATCAGTCTGACATTAGAGGATAAGAACAGGGCAAAACTGTACTTCCTGTGCTTACATGCCGGTGTTTGGGCAGGTGGTAATTTATTTCATAAAAGCCATTTGCTGTTGGGAACGTGTCTGTGGAGGCCTTGATTTCCACCCTCTGGCTTGCATATGTGTAGAAAGAGCTTAGTTGTCTGTACATATATGGCCATACAGTTGGACTTAGCTTATCCTACAGGAGGAGAGGTGATCATATACATCTTGCAGGCCTGAGACTTTTGACTGGACTGACTTTTCTTTATTTTCTTACTGTTGGGCATCTGACAGGAGACCAAATAATTTTTCCCCTAGCCTGAATCCATCACAACTCAGCCCCAGTCTCTCAACATGATTTTTTCAGTGGTGCCTTGATTTCTTCAGCAAGACTTATATTCCTGAATTTATCTATCTTCATACTTCCTCAGTGATGCAAGAGGCAGCAAAGCATGTCATGCTAGTGGTGCTCCTGGTGATTAAGGCCTCACAATTAAGTCACCCCACTGTTTTGTAATAAGTCCTTTATACCTACAGGAAGGGCTGACAAACCAAGATCATTAAACCTCAAGTAATAGTTACTACTTCTTGTATGTGAGAGATGTTTCCAAGAAGATTTGTCTTGATGGGCAGATGAAAGACAACAGTTTGTTAGTGGGTTTACTCTGAAGCTATTTGGAGTATGAGGTTTGCAAGTGACTGTTAGATTGATTCAGGTGGGGCTCCTTTCTTAGTTAATTTTATCAAGGTACTGTGGTGCAATTGCCTAAAGTAACTATGAAAATAAAACTAACATTCACATTTTAAAGAAAATGTACAGTATTGAAAAGGCTTTCAGGGTAGGTCATAGCTGCATTACCTGAGTATTCCCTAGGCTTCCAACCTTAGATGCTATTGCACTGGGGGAACCTGGTGGAACTCTAAGGAGCAGTATGGAGCATGGAGTGGAGACACCACAGCTAGGCTCTGTGACCAGGTGGAGCCTTGATTGTTCTTGTGCGCACCGAGACCAATAAGCTGCACTTTTTGCTACCCTAAACCAGTGACCTGTTGTGTTTTGACAAATGCTGTATCCTAGTTTCCTTTTGCTCATTATAATATAATTATAATACCAAAACACACCTCCATCTCAAAAGCTACCTGCCTCCACAGTGCGACCACCCCTCACTGAGCACGCACTCTGAATTTCTTGGAGCCTATACCTTTAAACAGAGACAGGAAAAATTTTCACCAATCGTAAGTAAGATATGCTTGACTAGTCACTCAGGCTCCACCTAAAAGATAGAGAATAGTATAAATTGGCCTAAGAGAGAGAGGATGTTAGGGAATACACCATTTTGAGGAAATACACCATCCTGAGGACCTCCTGACTCCTGGGATCAGTCAATGGGCTCAGCCTCTCTTCCCCACTCCCCCCCCACACACATTGGAATGCCTTTGGGTGAGATTTGAACACTTGGTTATATTGTGTGCCTCCGCAGAAACTTAGAAATTCCTACAGAGTCTTTGTGCCTTTTAACGTGTTAATTTCCAAGCTGTGTACTTGTGTATTTCATGCATGCTAGCTTGCTTTTGCAGACAGTAACTATCACTAGCAATACAAAGAACCTGTGTACCTGTTGCTGTAATAATTCGTGCATTGTTCCTAGCTGTGGTAGTTCTCATTGAATGCAACTAGAGTAAGGGCGGTTATATGTTATTGGTGAATCTGTGACTCTGGTAGTTCAGTGTTCTGAATCTGACCAGACCCATGATGGTTAATGCGTTATTGGTGAATCTGTGATTGTGATAGTTCAGTACCCTGAATCCTACCAGACCCGAAATGGTTAATCGGCTACACCCCTTAACTCAACAGGTACAAGTTGTGCTACCGAGAGAGGCTAGAGTGGCTTGGTGCACATGGTGTCAGGGTAAAGAGAAATAAATTTCTTCCTGCTGACTGGAAGTTCACCTGGGCTGAGAGTAGATAGGAACAATAACATAACAAATGAATCTTCTAGGGCAGATTATTAAAAAATAAAAAAATAAAATCCAAGATTGTTTAAAATAATACTTAAGTGTTTTGGCAGTCAGCTTAAGAAAGACTCAGAGATACCTTGTCTAAAGAACTTTTTTCCCATTAAGATTATTTTGGTAATGATAAAAATTTCTTAATGTAGATTGATAGAAACATTCAAAATGTTAAAAGTACTCATGAATTGATAAACTACAAATCTCTTCTGTTTGGGTTATTAGAATGCTTCTGTTTTTCTGTTGTTTTAAAATATACACAGCTATGAAAAATGTTTAGAGGACACACTCTTGAACTTGAGACCAGAAATATTTTCACTATTGGAATAATGTGTATTGACAACTTAGGAATGTTTCTGAAGCCCATACCATTTTGTGAAAACTGCTTTGATTAAGTATGTTATTTTCTTTTTTTTTTTTTAAATACTTGAATACATAGTTGGAATATATTGATCCAGTCCTGATTTCCTAGTCCCAGGAGCGTAGTGAGTTTGACTCTCTAGAGTGGAAGAAGAAAACAGATAAGTGGTCTACATCACTCTGGCAGCTGGAGAACTCTCTGCACCTTCCTCAGCTTTCTTTTTTTGTGAGAGGGACATTCAGCTCCTATGTCTTTGGCAGGAGGGCCACAGTGGAGAGGAAGAGAAGAATTGGCTTGTCTATGAATTTAACAACTAATAATTATATTACAGAAACAAAGTTCAAATCTTAGTAATGGCCTTTTACAAAATTTGCTTCTTTAGTTCATTTGTGGAATTAATCAACTATGATGTGACAATGTCATGACAACATGACCGTATTGTACCAACGTATTTCTCTAAATCAGTTCCAGTAAGTCACTATAAATCTGTGACTCTTCATGAGTTGAGAAGGCATGCTTTCGTTTAGATTCCTTTAGACCTTCAGCTAACCTGAAATAGATCTCACTAAGCTGAAGTAAATGTCCACCCAAGCACTTTTTTTTTTCTTTTTTTCCCTAAATTAACTTCGCTTATTAGAAAAGTCCATTGAACTAGTGGAAGTCCCTTGTGTAGAGAAGGCTACCTTGTGCCACATGTTTTTCAGCAGGGAAGGAAAAGAGGAGGCACAGTAAGTATTATTACGAACTTGTTGCCTGTCTGAAAATTTTATATTTTTTTAATATATTTTTTTTTATATATTTTGACACCTGATTGGTGAGCATGTTCTGCCAGACCTTACCAGTTTTCTATCACAGGGTTTATTGGAACTGACACACTTTGAAAGGTTTGCTTTCAGTGGAAAATTACTCTGCTGAAAATATTCTATCAGAGCGCAGCTTTGATTCCCACCATTCTGTGGTTGTTATTCCCACCCAGCTCCTTGTTTAATCTGATACTGCCTGTTTCTTTTTTTGTTGCTTTCCTCAAATACAGAAAAATTGGCTGACCGTAAACTGAATGTAGCAGAAGTGACGCAATCTGAAATTGGTCAGAAACAAAAGTTGCAGACTGTTCTGGAAGCTGTCCATGATTTACTTCGACCCCATGGCTGGACAATCAAGTGGAACGTTGACTGTAAGGACATAGCTATGCTTTCTGTCTCAGCTTCACAGGCAGAGGAGGGCGTGATAATCAATAGCTTGATCATACTCTTTATGATTTACCATGTTTTTTTATTTATTTGCATGTATTGCCAAATCCATGTATGGATTGTAACTGGTACCTTCTTCTGTGATCTTTGTTTAAGGACAGACAAACATGGATGTGGGATAATTGAAGTGCTGTTTCTTTAGGCATATGCTTTCGTTAGGCATTTTTTTGTTTGCTTCCTGAATTTGAATCCTACAGACATGAGAATTTTTTTAGTCATTCAATTACAAGAGGATGATTTAAGCCTTCAGGCCACCACAGTGAGAGTCAAAAAGATGCTTCATCCTGTGTAAGGATATTGTTTCTGACAGGCTAAGCAGAAAGTGCCCTGTGTTCCAGCTTGGCCTGTTATGATCCAAAAGTGAGAATGAAGTTTGGGAAGTTGGTTCACATAGGTTGTGGGTGTTTTTTGTCTCTTACAGCTAGGTAATCTTTTGTTAACACCTTGAACATTTTCTAAAAGCAGAATTATCTAGTATTCTCCAGTACAATGGAAGGAAAGTGATTAAGTCCATTTGTTTTTATTTCACTGACTAGGGAGGGAGCTGAAGTGTCTGGAATCCTAAATTTGTTATGTAGCTTGAAGGGAATTAAATCTAGGCTCTGCTACCTGTAAAATTATTTCCTAAACTTCGTTAATTTAGGAAAAGGAAGAAGGAAACAAGAAGACTGTCTTCATCAAAAACATTTTTTTAGTTCTTCTACCTTTTTCCCAGAGGTATTAGTTTAAAATAAGGCATCAGTGTTCTTTTATTTGCTTCCTTTTCCTTGTTCCCCGCAGCAATCCATGGCAAGAATCTGATTTCCATTCTTCACCTTCTGGTAGCTTTGGCAATGCATTTCCAGGCTCCCACTCGACTGCCTGAACATGTGTCTGTACAAGTGGTGGTTGTACGGGTGAGTATAAAGTCATATGAAAATTTGATCAAAATAATCACTCTAATTTTACACTACCAGGCTGCTCCTATCTGCTTCTGACTTATTTAGAAAATTATTGTCCTAGTTGTTACAGAATCACAGAATTTCTAGGTTGGAAGAGACCTCAAGATCATCGAGTCCAACCTCTGACCTAACACTAACAGTCCCCACTAAACCATATCCCTAAGCTCTACATCTAAACGTCTTTTAAAGACTTCCAGGGATGGTGACTCCACCACTTCCCTGGGCAGCCCGTTCCAATGCCTAACAACCCTTTCGGTAAAGAAGTTCTTCCTAACATCCAACCTAAAACTCCCCTGGCACAACTTAAGCCCATTCCCCCTCGTCCTGTCACCAGGCATGTGGGAGAACAGACCAACCCCCACCTCGCTACAGCCTCCTTTGAGGTACCTGTAGAGAGCAATAAGGTCACCCCTGAGCCTCCTTTTCTCCAGGCTGAACAAGCCCAGCTCCCTCAGCTGCTCCTCGTAGGACTTGTTCTCCAGACCCCTCACCAGCTTTGTCACCCTTCTCTGGACTCGCTCAAGCACCTTAATGTCCTTCTTGTAGCAAGGGGCCCAAAACTGAACACAGTACTCGAGGTGCGGCCTCACCAGAGCCGAGTACAGGGGGACGATCACCTCCCTAGCCCTGCTGGTCACACTGTTTCTTATGCAAGCCAGGATGCCATTGGCCTTCTTGGCCGCCTGAGCACACTGCTGGCTCATAGTCAGCCAACTAACTGTTCAGTGAGTCCCAGTCCTGGGATGCATTTTGTGTACTTAAACATGATTCCAAGAACATATCTCTCATATGCTTAGGATGCCTTTTTTTAGGATGTGAGGAAATGGCCTCAGGTTGTGCCAGGGCAGGTTTAGACTGGATATCAGGAAGGATTTCTTCATAGAAGGAGCATTAGAACAGGCTGCCCAGGGAAGTGGTGGAGTCCTCATCGCTGGAGGTATTTAAAAGATGTGATTGTGGTGCTTGGCGAAATGGTTTAGAGATGGACTTGGTAGTGTTAGGTGATGGTTGGACTTGATTTTGGAGGTCTTTCCCGACCTAAATGATTATGTGATTTTTCTAATGCAATATGAAGCCAAAATCATGTGGTGGGATTTTGTGTAAAATAATTGTGTCTCTAACTTTTGGCACTTCAGAAAATTGTTTTTACCGTGTGTGTGGTTTTTTTTTTTTTTTTTTTTTTTTTTGTTTAGAGAAACCATTGACACAGGTAACACAGAAAGGATTTTCAGCACATAGAATCTCCTCATTCTGGGAAGCCTGTTACTGGTGTTGTTTTTCCCCAGTGGCTTATTATTCAGACATGTTGTTTTCCTTGGTTTACTAATGGAGTTTCATCATTTTTTGCGCAGCCTTGTGTTTTTGTTAGCTTTCCTTAAATATGGAGAATAGATCTGACCTTAGGAACCTTGACTTCTTCCCTCCTGCCCTAGATATTGCTATAGTTCTTCCTTTCCCTGCGTGGTGTTGACCATTTCCTTTCAGTGTACAAAGACTCTGCTTTCGGAGTATACTTACTATTGCTTTTTATTTTGCCTTCTATCCCAGATGAAGCTGGGTGGTTCCATCTGCAGCATGTGAACCCAGCTTTTCTGAACAGCTGTTGGAACTCTAGACAGATTTGTTGCAGCTGGCTACTCTTTCTGATCATGCCATGACTGTTTGCTGTGGTGCTCAGCACTGTTGTCACAAGGCAGGCTCAGCTTCTGGCAAAAGGCTGAGGAAATGCTCCTGTACGTGCCAGTTACTGTTAGAGCTGTCAAGCTGTAGTAGGATTCCTTTAAAAAATCAAGAAGATAAAGTGATATTGGTCTCTATTTTGCAAATGTAGATCCCCTTACAAGATGCAATTGCATTGTGGTTGGTTACGCAAGCCCCATTTTGCTTTAAGTTTAAATAATGGCATTTTCTAGGCTGCATGCCTGAATGCTCTAGAGGTACAGGGTATGATGTAAGTGGGTAATTGACAGATGTTCCTTAGCTCACAGTAAATATTATGCATTCTCTTTAAGAGAGGATTTTGAGCTGCTTTCAAGCTCCTATAGTTCTCTCATTTTAAGAAAGGTGAATTAAGTATAAAGTAACATGAATGTAAATAGAAGACTAGTTTGTTTTTTTTTCTTGACTACCTTAGAAAGGTAAGGAGGAAATACAAATATAAAGTGGTCTACAGTCTTCTGTCACCCTGATGCCTAAAATTTCCTTCTGCCCAGTACAGTAAAGTGTCTTCTGTAGCTGCGATTTGTGAGGGGAAAAAACAAACAAACAAAAAACACTTAAGTAAAGAGGGAAAGCTTCTCTTTCCTCATCCGTATTTCACATCTTCAGGACTCTCCATCTCTGTAGTGTTGGCAAGTCTGTGGAGAACATATTTTCACATCCTTTCCTGTTATATATAATGTTATGTGTGTATATGTTATGTATATTTATGGGTGTGGTGGTTTTACTCAGGTGGGCAGCTGAGCTCCACCACAACTGCTCTCTCGCTCCCCCTCTCCTCAGAGAAGAAGGGGGAGAAAATACAACACAGAGAACTCAAGGTTTGAGATGAGAAAGGTTTAATGAAAGGGAAAGGGAATGGGGAGGAAAAACAGAAACAAAAGAAACAATCAGTCTGCGCGGAAGCACAGAGAGAGAGAGAGAAAAAAATTATTCTCTACTTCCCATCAATGAGCGGTGTTCGGCCACGTCCTGAAAAGCAAGGCCTCAAACGCATAGTGGTTGTTCAGGAGGAACAGCCACCTCCCCCACAAGAGCCCCCCCTTTTATTGCTGAGTGTGACATCAGGTGTTATGGAATATCCCTTTGGTTGGTTTAGGTCAGCTGCCCTGGCAATGTCCCCTCCCCATCACTTGCCCACCCCCAGCCTGCTGGCTCTTGGGGGCTTGGAAGGAGTCCTGATGCTGTGCCAGCACTACACAGCAATAGACACAACACTGGAGTGATATCAGTGCTGTTCCAGCTACAATTGCAGAGTACAGCACTGTGCGGGCTGCTGCAGGGAAAAGGTGACTCCAGCTCAGACAGACCCAACACAATTGGCTATAAAGTGGACACCTAAATGGAGGATCTTGTTCCCTGGGGCCTCTGAGCCTCAAGATTAGACAGGGCTGAGATGAAGATGGAATGCAATGAATGCTGACAGGAGCTAGGGAAAGAGGAAGAGAAGAAGAGAAGGAAGGGAAAGAGGAAGGGAGGAAGAGAAGGAAGGAAAGGGAGGGAGGAAGAGAAGGAAGGAAGGAAAGGGAGGGAAGAAGGGAGGGAAGGAGTGAGGAAGAAAACTCCCATGCTATTTACAAGGAGGGTTAATTTAAGCTTGAGAGCTGTAAACTCTCACTCTTGGACCTAGAGCCTTGAGTCCTGGAGATGGTTATGGCAACTGCTGGTTCTGAGCTTACCTTAGCTGGGCCTGTGTAAGAGGAGACTTGTTTCATTGCTAGGCTTCAGCTTGTTTATTTAAGTGGAAAGCAAAACACAACGTATACTGAAACATATTTCTTCTGCAGTGTTCCTGCAGGTCAAATAATACACTGTCTTCTTTTGGTCCTGCACAGTGTAGTTTGCTTAGAAAATCCACAATTGTTTTGGAGAGGACTTTCCGTTTTACTTTCCCTGGCTGGAAGAACTTTTATCTATGTATCTGTCTACCTACTGTATTACCCAGAACAGTAACAAGACTAGCCCAGCATAAAAACACTACATTGTTTTATAATGGGCACCATGAGGTAGCCCCTCTCAAGAGTGAAGCTTCTGAAACCGAGTTACTTTCAAACCTGTTTTGAAATCAACCCCCAGATTTGTGTTTTTTTTTTTATTTTTTATTTTTTTATTTTATTTTTTATTTTGTTTGGTGTTGGCTGTTCTTTTTTGAGTGAAATAGAAAATGTGAGAATGGCAATAGAAGTCAGAGTTATATCTGAAGTGTCCTAGCAGAGCAAGGGTTTAAGTGGGTCTTTTACTTAAGATCCTGTTGACAGCTACTTCAAGTGCTAAGTTATGAATCTAAGATGGTACGTGTTTTAATACTGGTTTCAATGAGCATTTTCCTGTTCCAGCCCTCCTCAGTGAGGGCAGGAGGGGTTGAAACTTTATGATTTCAGTGAGCGGCTCCAGTGAGAACTGAAAATGCTGTGATTTTTCTTCCAGCTGACTTCACCTTCTGATAACTGAAACATGAACTTGTATGATGATAGAATGCTGTAATTCAGGAAAGCAATAATGTTCTCAGGAGTAAGGGTAAAAATTGTTTTTAAGGCTCTCTGCTTGTTGGTTATTTTTGCAAGGCTCAGTAATTGCTTTCTTTTGCACTTAGCTTTCCTCTCTCCCATTTTAAAAGTTGCAGCATGTCCCACCTTGGTGCTGCTGGGAGATCTGAGGTATTTTTGCAGTAATTCCCTTGTAGTTTGAGTTGCAGACTGAAAGGTCCGAGGCAAGGCAGCATGAAGAATAAATGTGTCTGGTGGCGCTTATGTAAAGAATCCAACTTGTATTGAAGGATGACATTTGTTTTTGTATTGCAAGGCCAGGGGAGCTATGCTCATACGAGCAGCATGCTCAGCTGCCTCTGAGAGAGTTGCATAGAAGTGCTGTCATTTTCACCCACTGGAAATCAGAGTGGGCATCCCTTTCTCTTTCTTGTCAGATGCTTGGAGGCATTACTCACTGGTCACCACTCACTGAGGTTTTTTTTCACAGGGCATAGCATATTCTCCCTGAGGTACACAGTGAAGGGAAGGTCCAGAAACTGGTGCAAGTACAACAGAGTCTCGGTGGAATGCAATAAAGACAATACTGTTCCATTTGCAAGAAAATATTGCCCTGTCAGACACTTCCTAATTTTCCCATCTATATTGTCATCCTGGCTTGTTTTACCAAACTTTCTGATGCTGTTCCCCTGGCTCCCTCAGGGGAGCAGAGTAAGATGCATTTGTGATATGGAAGTAAGACATTGAAAAGACACGGCCAGCGGGCTGGATTCAGCGTGGGGCCTGGCTCAAGTGGGAAGCTGCCACAGCACAGCGGTTGGAGACAGCAGCTCCCACCCTGCTTTCAGCCAGGCTCCCTGGGTGGTTTGAGAAAGCAGCGCTGTGTTCTTCTGTTGAATGGGGAGTGGAAGGGAAGAAATTCTTCTTACTGTTTTTTTGATTTCAATTTGTATTTCTTAGATTGCTTGTGGGGAAGGATGTGCTTCTCTTCAAAGCTGTTCTCCATAATAAGTTCTTGTTTGGGGTTCAGCTGGTGAAAATGATTGAGATGGCATATGTGTAAAGAGCTGTGCCTGGGGGTGGTCATTACCCTGCTTACCAGAGCTAGCAGCTTTCTTTATTAATTGTGTTGCCAGTTACTCTGACAGGACCCGGTTCTAAGATGCCTGCTGAGATTTGAGCTCTTGTTGCAAGCTTTTTCAGCGTAAAGAAGGTAGGGAGAAATTCCCCCTTTCAGGCATCAGGCTGTGTCCTGTAATTTTAAAAGAGTTCTACTGACTCAGTGGAAAGAGATGCTGAGAAGTTTTTTTGAGTTAGGTTAACATTTCCAGCCTCCAAGAGGTGTGTCCCATGTGTCCAAAACTTTGGGGAGACTCAAAACCATTTGAGTCCCCTCATATCGTGGGGCTGTGTCTTACCATGGAGGAAGCTGCTTTGAAACTGGGTCTCAGTACATGCTAACTCTGGGTTGTAGAAATCCTACTTATGCAGAAAGCTATCTATCCCAAGGAAACAAAATCCAGTAACAGGGGGATGCTATCTATCATGAAATCACTGGTCAGGTCAGTCTTTTTGTGTTCTTTGTGTTTCCATGATGGCTCCTGACAGGAGTGTGACTGGTGGCCTGCTCAGTGACTGATGGCCTGCTCTAGGAGAGACCGCTTTGTGCATAGAGAGCTTTGCCAGCACATGAAGGCCCTGGCACGGGGGCAGGAGTCTGTGTTACTTCAGCCCCAGACCTGTCCTGAGAGCCAGGCTGCTGGTTGTGTCAAATTGTTGGTTGACATTGACACAAACAAATATCCTTGGGGACTTTAAGATGGGGCTCACATACTCTTTCTAATTTGTGTTCCAGGTATGATGTTGCCTCTAGTCTCAGGAGGAGAATTGTTAACGAGTTTATTGGCTGCAAATATATACACATCTACCAAATATTCATCTGGCTGTTAAGTCTGATAAATGCCACTGTTGTAGAAGTGAACCCTCCCAAGTCAGGTGTTTCACCTCTGTCCCTACAAATGTTCATCTTAGTAAACATATTTTACTCAGTTTTCTCCCCCAGGACTCTGAAAGATGATGAATGCTGCAGAGCCCTTGTTTATCTTCTCCTATACTAATTCAGTCTCTGTTTCTATTATCACTTCCAGAAACGTGAAGGCCTTCTTCAGACAACTCATGTTACAGAGGAGCTGACGACTACGACAGAGTAAGCACAAAATGCTTTAGTTTCAAACTGTGTTTCTGTGGTGCGTGTTGTGAATTTCCTCACAAAAACAAAATGGAGGCATAATCCTGCTAAAGTAACAAAATCCCTTAATGTGTTGCTTTTGTTATAAACGAGGTCTGAATTCAATCTGAATTTTTTAATATTTATAAAAAAAATATATATTTCTAAAAGGTATAAAAGGCAAGTAAACAGTGCTGGGTGTGCGGGGAGTCTATGCTCCACCAACATGCACACACACATCAAACATTCTAAATATGCAAAACATTGCTTTACATACTAAACACAAGTACATGTAAGCCTATACATACGTACAATCAGGAAAGGTAACAAACAATCCTTTAGGTTCCATGACTTAACAGTCTCCATTTTCCATTCCTTTTGAACAATATGTCTCGCTTTAAGTTGTCAAGCAACTCGGTCTTCAGGCCTTATGTATCCTGTTCTTCCCAGACCGAAGAAAAGCATATCCATCTCCTTGTGAAGGCCAAGAGGCCTGGGTCAAAAGGCACGTTCAGGTCAACAGGGGGCGTAACAGCAAAGGCCTTCGATGGCTATAGCAGCAGAGGGGCTGATGGCATAGCAGTCGGATCAGTGAAGGAGCCCTCAGCTCCCTCACTGTCTGGAAAACAACATGTTTCTGACTGTGGCCCCACATGGCTCTTTAAGGCCTCAGAGATTGCTCGCCAGGTGCCGAGCAATCCCACTGCAACCTTGTCATTTTTAGTTGCAGAGTCCCACACCTTGACCTCAGTTTGGTCCCTTGTTTCAGGATCATAAACTGTCTGATTGTAGAATAAGCTGTAAGGTTACCAGGACAGTCTTTGTTCCTAAGGACGTATGATTCCCCATAACGCGCAACTGCTTACCAGCAAGAGGCAGTTGTGTGCGCAGGTCCGCTTGTCTCAGCTCGAGCTTCTCTCCAGCTCCAGTGCGCCTATTTCCAGCGACTTTCTGTACAAGCTTCTCTGAGCAGTTTCCTGAGTCTGGCCGAACCTATCTTCATGAGGCAATCAAAGTGCCTGTTCCTGTCCTGGTCTCCATTCTGCCAGCCTGTTCCTCTTCACTTATTTTTCCTGCTTCTTTATTGATGTAACTTCATGGTGCTGCCTTTTTTTTTTATCTTGAGGGCAGGCTCCCCTCTTATATCCTTCTCTCCACATCAGTTCTTTTCAAAACAACTTTTCATTGGTCAAACAATTTTGAATGTAACAGCAAACATCTGGAAACATCCATGCCTTAACGGCTGGAGAACAAGGGAACATCTGGAGGACAAGAAACCCTGAGACTGCATGGAGTCTCCTGAATCACCCTTCTTTGTTCCCTCTAAACTCTTTTACATTCCCGATGGCCTCGTCGTTAAGAGTTTAATGTTATCTCAACCATGGGACTTTCCAACCCCCATGGCCACATTCCCAAATCTCCCTCTTCTTTATTAATATCAACCATTTTCTTGACATGAATTACCACTCCATATAAAACACTTTTTAACTATATAAAAATCACTTTGTCTCTGGAAATGCGTTCCAAATGACAGAAGCATCTTCTTGACGTTCTTGCATCACAAAAGCTTTTAACTGGATTACTGTCAATGAAACATCCTTGTGGGCCTTTTTTCCTGCCTTCTGCAGGTCACCATTTTAAACTCATTTCTGCCTGGTGCTGTTGCCTCACCTAAATAAAGGGCTATTGTAGATAATTTGAGGGCAGATTAGTTTGACAAAAGGCAGTAACTCTCAAAATTGAAATGATACTCTAATAAAGTTATAAGGAGAGATGAGATTGCTATTTTCATGTAGTACCTGAGGACTAGAGTAAAAATAAACAAAACTCTTCACTCTCCAGATTTTGCAGTGGGTTTACTTTGCTTTATATTTTTACAATCCTTTTTATAAGGAGAAGGCAAGACATACACTTTGGCTGCAAATAAAAGCTGAGATTCTCCTTCACATGGCCTGAAGGCAACTTATGTCACAGGGGCTTACATGAGCCCTCCTTCAGTGTATCAGTGCTTTGGCTTCCTGTGGAGTTGGCTCAGCTTTCTCTGACTTTGAAGATGAATGAAGTACCATGTGGGTTGCTCAGTGGGGAAGATCTTTCAGATGGAAACATTCAAAAATGAGATCATAGTATGTATGTGTGGACATTAAAGTTCCATAGTGTTTTTTGTAGGATCTAAGTTCTGCCTCTGTACTGTGGGCCAAAATTCTTCCCTTCTCTCCCATGCTCTTGAACAGTATAGTCAGCACATCCTCTCCTTCTGATGTGGTTTGTGAGATGTGATCTGTGGAGTGGGGCTTGGACATTTCTTAGCAAGAAAGATGTTTACAGATACTCCTGTGTGTTTATGCATGTGTTTTATTCTGAATGTGTTAATATTATAGAAAAGGAGGTTACTGTTTAATGTGTTGCATACCCACATAGGTACAGAAAATGCAGTAATCAGCAGAAAGCAACATTCATTGAATACTTTAAAAATTCCTCTGTGCAAACTGGGGCCTGATTCCTAGCTGATAAATATCTGCATATGCCTGGTGATGTCACTGGACTGTATATAATTCATATGTGGCGGTACTGTTTACATTATATTCATATACAATAGACATTTTATTTCTTCAGATAAAACAGACTAAAGTGAGATAAGGTAGCCTTGCTCTTTCTGAGCTGTGTGGTTTAGCTGGTGTGGTTTCTGCTGGCCCTGTATGTGGAAACTGTCCACAGAAACATATATATTCATTCACTCTTCATCATAAAAATAGTTAAACATAAAAAAAAAAAATAACAATTCTGTATAAAACATAAGTATGCATTTCCATTCATTTCAAATGCATCTCCTTGACATCACTGGTGGTCTGCTGAGGACATTCCTGCAGCACTTTGGGTCCGGTCTGCAAATACTCAGCTTCCTGACATGGGAGGAGTGGTTAGCCCTCAGCATCTTGCAGGGAATAGCCCATTAAGCCCATGGTCTGGTCTTTTCAAAGTGATTATTCATGAACTAACCCAATATCTTTGAATGCTTTGGCTTGCAGGATGATGATGGGAAGATTTGGTAAGTAACAAAGTTGACTGCTTTTTTTTTTTTTTTTTTTTTTTTTTAAATTTAAGTCAGGCACAGAAATCTTGTCTGCTTTCCTTCAGCAGATCAAGACAATGAATTAAGCAATTGCACAGGGTTGGAATGTATTGTGGGGGCAGGTTTTCTTACTCCACACAAATGTGGAGCATAATGGGCAGAACCAGATCATTCAGTGTGCTGCTTTTGCTCTTTAGACTCATCTATGTTGGTCTGTTTTCATTCATATGTAACAAACAGCAAAAATGCTACACAGGGCGATATTTCCTAGTACCATTGTTAATGGCTTTCAAGCAAAAATCTTTGCAATCCCCAGCAGTAAGTGACACCTTCTTTAGAATGTGACCGTCTAATTTATATATAAGTGAACATGTGAAAATTAGTTAAGCAAAGGTACATGCTATGAGGTCTAAGAAAGCTCTTTTTATCTGTCTGTCTACTTTCAACAACTGGTACTAATTGCTTTGCAAGGAGTACTGTCTTCTCTCCTCCATGTTCACCAGACTTTAGAGACGTTACCCGCCATACATCTGGTCTTCTAAACAAAAATTAAGTGTTTAGCGGTGCTTCCGAGAGACTTCTCTTTCTTTTTCCATTTAGTTTTGTTAGCAGCAGTAAATCACTTACTATTCACTGGAGAGATCTGGATTTCTCTGAGGGACTGCATGTGATGATGAATAGGTCATTTAGTTTCTCAGTTTCCCAGTCAGAATCTGTGAACAGTACCTGCCTTGTAGAATATCTACATTAATATGTAATTAGGTACCTGAAATATAAGTAATGGAAGGGGGCTAAAAAACATATCCTTGGATACAAAAGGAATGTGGATAAGAAATATGTTTATTTAGCAGCAGAGAATCATCAAAATCTATGCTAATGCACGCAGCATGGGCAACAAACAGGAGGAGATGGAAGCCATCGTGCATCAGGCTAGGGTGTGACTTGGTTGCCATCACTGAAATGTGGTGGGACACTCCCATGACTGGAGAGCTGCAATGTCTGGCTATAGGCTCTTCAGAAGGGACGGGCAACACAGAAGGGGTGGTGTTATGGCTCTTTTAGAGAGTGCTTTGATGTTGTGGAATTCAAGACTGAGACTGGGAATGATAAGGTTGAGTTCCTATGGGTTAGGATTGGCAGGAAGGCCAACAAGGCAAGCATCCTGGTGGAGGACTGTAATAGACTACCAAACCAGGATGAGGAGATAGATGAGGAGTTCTACAGACACCTGGCAGAAGTTGCAAAACCATTGATTCTTGTCCTCATGGGGGAATTCAACTTCCTTGGAAATGCAATACAGCTCAGAGGAAACAGTCTAGAAGGTTTCTGGAGAGTGTGGAAGATAGCTTCCTGATGCAGCTGGTTAGTGAGTCTACCAGGGGAGGTGCCCCTCTGGACCTTCTGTTGACAGAGAAGGACTGGTGGGAGATGTGGTGGTCGGGAGCTGTCTTGGGCAGAGTGACCACGAAATGGTGGAGTTCTCTATTCTTGGTGAAGTCAGGAAGGGGATGAGTAAAATTGCTGTCTTGGACTCCCGGAAGGCAGACTTTGAGCAGTTCAGGACACTGGTTAGCAGAGTCCCTTGGGAGGTAGTCCTGAAGGGCAGAGGAGTCCAGGAAGGCTGGGCACTTCTCAAGAAGGAAATCTTAATGGCTGAGGAGCTATCTGTTCCCACGTGCCCAAAGACGAGCCGACACAGAAGACCAGCCTGGCTGAACAGAGAGTTGTGGCTAGAGCTTAGGAGAAAAAAAAAAAAAGAGGGTTTATGATCTTTGGAAAAGAGGGCAGGCCACTAGGGAGGACTATAAGGATGTTGCGAGGCAGTGCAGGGACAAAATTAGAAAGGCCAAAGCTCATCTGGAGCTCAATCTGGCTACTGCTGTTAAAGATAACAGAAAATTTTTTTATAAATACATTATAAAATGTTTTTTTATTTTATAATAATATAAATGTTTTTATTTATAATGTTTCTTTTTTTGTATTTATTATGTTAAATAATGTATCTATAAAAAGCATTATAAATGTTTTAATTAACACCAAAAGGAGGACTACGGAGAATCTCCATCCTTTATTGGATGCAGGCGGAACCTTTGTGACGAGAGATGAGGAAAACGCTGAAGTGCTTAATGCCTCTTTTGCCTTAGTCTTTAGTGGCAAGACCAGCTGTTCTCTAGATACAAAGTACCCTGAGCTGGTGGAAGGAGATGGGGAGCACAACATGGCCCTCACAATCCACAAGGAAATGGGTGGCGACCTGCTACAGCACTTAGATGTATGCAAGTCAGTGGGGCCAGGTGGGATCCACCCGCGGGTGCTGAGAGAACTGGCAGAGGAGCTGGCCAAGCCACTATCCATCATTTATCAGCAGTCCTGGCTATCAGGGGAGGTCCCAGTCAACTGGCGGCTAGCAAATGTGACGCCCATCTACAAGAAGGGCCAGAAAGTAGACCCAGGAAACTATAGGCCTGTCAGTTTGACCTCAGTACCAGGGAAGCTCATGGAGCAGATTATCTTGAGTGTCATCATGTGGCACTTACAGGGCAACCAGACGATCAGGCCCAGTCAGCATGGGTTTATGAAAGACAGGTCCTGCTTGACAAACCTGATCTCCTTCATGGTGAATGGAGTTAAATCCAGTTGGAGGCCGGTCACTAGTGGAGTCCCCCAGGGCTCAGTACAAGGGCCAGTCCTCTTTAATATCTTTATCGATGATCTGGATGAGGGGATCAAGTGCACCCCCAGTAAGTTTGCAGATGATACCAAGCTAGGTGCGTGTGTCGATCTGCTCGAGGGTAGGAAGGCTCTGCAGGAGGATCTGGATAGGCTGGACCGATGGGCTGAGGTCAACTGTATGAAGTTCAACAAGGCCAAGTGTCGGGTCCTGCACCTGGGGCACAACAACCCCAAGCAGCACTACAGGCTGGGAGATGAGTGGTTAGAAAGCTGCCTGGCAGAGAAGGACCTGGGAGTATTGGTTGATAGTCGGCTGAAAATGAGCCAGCAGTGTGCCCAGGTGGCCAAGAAGGCCAACAGCATCCTGGCTTGTATCAGGAATCATGTAGCCAGCAGGACCACAGACGTGATTGTCCCCCTGTGCTGTGCTTTGGTGAGGCTGCACCTCGAGTACTGTGTTCAGCTTTGAGCCCCTCACTATAAGAGGAACATTGAGGTGCTCAAGCAAGTCCAGAGAAGAGCAACGAAGCTAGTGAGGGGCCTGGAGAACAGGTCTTACAAGGAGCAGCTGGGGGAGCTGGGATTGTCTGCGAGAAGATGGTCTGGAGAAGAGGAGGCTCTGGGGTGACCTTATCACACTCTATAGATACGTTAGAGGAGTCTGTAGCAAGGTGGGCATTGGTCTATTCTCCCAAGCGCATGGTGACAGGACGAGGGGGAATGGGTTAAAGTTGCACCAGGGGAGGTTTAGGTTGGATATTAGGAAGAACTTATTTATGGAAAGGGTTGTTAGGCATTGGAATGGGCTGCCCAGGGAAGTGGTTGAGTCACCATTCCTGGAGGTCTTCAAAAGACATTTAGATTTAGAGCTTAGCAATATGGTTTAGTGGAGGACTTGTCTGTGTTAGGTCAGAGATTGTACTAGGTGATCTTGGAGGTCTCTTCCAACCTAGATGATTCTGTGATTCTGTAAATGTGTTCTGTTCTGTAAATAAAAATAATTTAAGTGCAGAAAAACTGTTAAAGCTATGTTGAAAAATATAACAGCTTAAAACCAGCACACTTCAACAGTGTTTTTTATATCTTTTTAAAACATAAATGTAATTGGTCATAAGTGGTTATATATATATTTTTTTTTCTTGTTTCACCTGACGATGACAGTTCAATTTTAAATATCATCCAAACAACTCAGTATTTGGAAAATTTCAGTCAGCCTTGAAATGCCACTATGTGACACATTGCACAGTTCTTTTCACTTTAGTAGATTTTAAGATTGGATTAGATGTTGTGCAATGGTAAGGCTTAACTGTTCTACAGTAATTTAAATCTTTATACTGTATGTAAGCTTTGCTCCTTAGAGAGTGCTGAATCAGGTTTTACTTATGTGGTCAGTTTTAAGCTTTGATGAAGTTAGTGGTACTAAAGGTAGGCTTAAAATTAACCATAGGAGCATCTGATTTTGATGCTGACCAGTGTGCACAAATGTAGCCATGATTGTTTCTGTAGTGCAACAAAACCAGATGATGTTTCAGTGGCTCAGTGATTAGGTTATGATTGAGTCAAAATTTGTTTTTAAGTTTTCTTCCACCTACGTTATTTTGTGTAACAATTATGAATAACAGGAAATGGCAATCAAAGAACTATATGTTTATTTGCAGTTACTCCTAAAATTCCCAGTGCAGTTTGCTTTGGTGTTTAGACACCAAAATGGGGTGAGAACTTTTAGCTTGAGTCTCTGGCTTTCTGAAACTGGCACTTAAGCTTGTGACGAGTAACCTGCTTCTCATTCTTGGCTATTAGCGGTGTATTGATTTTTTTAAATATTTTTTTATTTTTAATTTTGTAAAACCAGAGCGTGATGCCTTTGATACACTTTTTGATCATGCGCCAGACAAACTCAGCGTAGTCAAAAAGGTAAGAAAAATAAAGTAAGATTTTCTACATTTTTTTTCTTTTAGTAGAATATCCAGAAAGATCTGGAAATGGCAGAAAATGATTGTGAAGTAATAAAAAGGGTCGCTGTTTCGGAGCCAGGTGATACCTGGATTTATTGGCTTCAGTCAGGCTCTTCTTTGATTGCTCTTGTTAATTGATACAGGCTCTTCTGTGCAGCACCGATAGATACATTGACTCTTAGATTGCAGCCACAGGTTATTTTGGCTGCCCCTGGGGCGCAACAACCCCAAGCAGAGCTACAGACTGGGAGAGGAATGGTTGGAAAGCTGCCAGGCTGTGAAGGACCTGGGAGTATTGGTTGATAGTCGGCTGAATATGAGCCAGCAGTGTGCTCAGGCGGCCAAGAAGGCCAATGGCATCCTGGCTTGTATAAGAAGCAGCGTGGCCAGCAGGGCTAGGGAGGTGATCGTCCCCCTGTACTTGGCTCTGGTGAGGCCGCATCTCGAGTACTGTGTTCAGTTTTGGGCCCCTCGCTACAAGAAGGACATTGAGGTGCTTGAGCGGGTCCAGAGAAGGGTGACAAAACTGGTGAGGGGTCTGGAGAACAAGTCCTATGAGGAGCAGCTGAGGGAGCTGGGCTTGTTCAGCCTGGAGAAAAGGAGGCTCAGGGGCGACCTTATCGCTCTCTACAGGTACCTCAAAGGAGGCTGTAGTGAGGTGGGGGTTGGTCTGTTCTCCCACATGCCCGGTGACAGGACGAGGGGGAATGGGCTAAAGTTGCGCCAGGGGAGTTTTAGGTTGGATGTTAGGAAGAACTTTTTTACCGAAAGGGTTGTTAGGCATTGGAACGGGCTGCCCAGGGAAGTGGTGGAGTCACCATCCCTGGAAGTCTTTAAAAGACGTTTAGATGTAGAGCTTAGGGATATGGTTTAGTGGAGGACTGTTAGTGTTAGGTCAGAGGTTGGACTCAATGATCTTGAGGTCTCTTCCAACCTAGAAATTCTGTGATTCTGTGGAAAGGTTACCATCCCCAGCCAGCTACTTGTCCTTTTATCCCCCTCCTGCCAGAGATCAGTGCTTCACGCAACTGTATAACTGCCTCAGCAACTGCTCCTTTATCAGATTCAGTCAAAATGGTGCAGTTTAGAAGAGATACTCTGCACAGTATTTGCAGTTATCCAGATCATTCTGGCTGGACAGTTTTACGGGCTTTTATATCCCAGATTCTGTCCTCCATCAAGGAAGGGTTGGGCTGCAGGGTGACAAATATCTGATGGTGTCAGAAAGTCTTCTAGAAGAGTGTTGCCAAAGCTGATAGAAAATTAACTTAACTGTATCCGTGTGATAGAAATGTTAACTTCCAACTGTGTGTCTGTCCCCTTGGAAGTGTTTTAAGCAGGCTGACAGATCTCTGCTTTGATATGTTATCACCTGTCTGGCTAAGCAGGATCTTGCATGTCTGTTTCCTTCAGGAATTGAAATGTGTAGTACAGATTTGGGTTATATTGTGACTGTCATTTGGAAATTTATAAGTGCACATCACTCCAAGAAGAGAGGTGAGTGCAGAACTGTGCGCTGTTGGTATTTTCTGTTGGGAGTCTTAGGTCAGTGTTGCTGATGCCTTGCTTCCAGGCAGTGGATCTTCTCCAACAACCTCAAGAGATTAGTGTGGACAGTAACTGCACCTACTGCTGGCTGCATCTTCACAAAGAACTTGCAAAAGAACCAATGTCGTCAAGTTTTTTTTCCCCACAAGACAGAAGTATGCTTTCTGTACTAGAAAAATAACAAGTTATAAGTATGTAATAGCACCACCTGGTGGCTTCTGGCTTATGTTGCAACAAAAACGACTGCTAAGCGGTTTTCAGTTTAAAGTACTTATTCATGCCAAAGCAAATAACACACAGTCATATTTATTAAGCTTAAAAATGCCTTATAAGAGTATGTTAACCCTTTCACATAAGCATCGTCTGTAATTTCAACATTGCTGGTTCTGGTGTTCTCTTTTTGTAGTCTCTGATCACCTTTGTGAACAAACACTTGAATAAACTGAATTTGGAAGTAACTGAGTTAGAAACCCAGGTAGGAGACTTGGTCTTTTGTTTGTAATCTAACTGTGTAAATTACAAATGTAGGTCCTTTCCCCATAAAACTGTGTTATAGGATTGTTTATGTTTGGGCATGTTAATTTATAGGATCAGGGCTCTGTCTTTTAAGTAGTAATGACATTGACTGATGTTTGCTTCCTTTACTCATGTTTACATATGCTTCATATTGTTGTTAATTTGCATTGTAAGGTAAAATTATTGGATATTTATTATGTCTATATTAATGACCATAGAATATGGCTGGATCTCCAGGCAGCTTGTCTCCTGGATCAAAGTGGTGTGGTATAAAGCAGTTGCTATAGTTATGAGTGGATAGTGGGTTTGTGTTTCTGGCAGTGAGGGTTCATAATGAACTGGTGTGAGCTCTTAATAAATGCCTGGGGCTCTCAGGAGGAGTTGGCACTGCAGTGTGCAGTTCATCATAGAAATACCAGTGCTAGCTTTAATTGCATCAAAGAGGGACTGGAAAATATTTTGATGTTGCAGCGAAGGCCTTCATGTCCTCCTCTTTATCCTGCTATCTTGTGAGCATGTGAACTGTGCTTGCTTCTCAGCAGTGTGGATTAGCAACTGAACTCATGTACTGCCATCGCTTGACTGTCATTGGTATCCAAGTTAGTTTATTTAAAGCTAGCTGAGGTAACTCTCTACCACCACAGTCAGCTCTGTAGGAGTTCCCTCCCTCTAGCACATAACCAGGCATGGAATATGCTTAGAAACTTTAAGCAGGTGTGAAGTGGGGATAGTTCTCAGTGAAGTGTCAGTGGGGTTAGTTCTCACTTTGCAGGTCAAGTTATGCAGTTTTCAGACTGGTTCTTTGGCTGAGTTTTACAAACAGAAACAAATATTCTTTCCAGAGTTCAGTGAGCTGTGGAAAGAAGGTTACCTTATTGTCCTGGCCAAAAAAAAAAAAAAATAAATAAATCTAGAGAATTATTCCTGGAGTATTGGTAATTGATTTTGAGTCTTACTTGGTTTAGTACCAGTCATCCACTGCTATTTTATAGCTTTGCTGAAGTAAATGGGTGACTGGATCTGATTTGTCACAAGAAATTGTTGCTTAATGCCTTGGAAGTACCCAGCAACTTACTTTTGAAAAGGTTAGAGAATGTCACATACACCATATCAGGATCACAAGTGAGAATTCTGTTTAAATACACAGCATCAGCCCCCTCCTCCAGCCAGTAAATAGTCTTCCTGTCTGGTAGGGATACTGAACAGTATTGCTGAGAGTATTTGGTATGGTATTTAGTATTTACAGAAACTGTGAACATTTTATTTTGACTTGAAAGAATTTATTTTGTGAAGTTAACCTTTCTACCTGTGACAGGGGAGATTTAATTTCAAGTTCAGATTAAGGGCAGTGTATAGAATCTTCAACACTCACAATTTGAGAAGATAGATTGTGATTGAAACTGTCATGTACTATAGTAGTAGGACTGGAAGTATATAATATGGAACAGGGTTTCCCAGGAAGTATTTTTTTTCTTTTTTTTTTTTTAATGAAAAAACCTTTGTTAAATACTGCAGTGAAGTTGGCAAGATTCCTCAATAAAATAAAATGAGCAAAAACTTATTTTTAAAATGAACTTTTTAAAAAAATTGAGCAAAAGCAAGAACGGGTATATGTACTTTTACCTCACCCCAACGTATTCAGTAACCTAATATATGGAAAACTGGCTGGAGATGCAGAAGATTTTTGCTTCGGTCTATGCCTGTTCAGACTGAATATTCAACACCCCTATGGAGTGCAAATTGTATATAACTCCCAGGTGAATTGCTTCTAATTTCTACTGCCTGGAGTTATTTACTACGTATAAGTAATTTAAATATTTGTTGGCACATGCTCTTGAATGGGTTAGTGTTATAGCTAGTGGGCTTGTTTTATTCAGGAATTGAGGGTAGAGGAAATAATGCTATCGTATGTAGGGAGAAAGCCTTGTATCTCGTTTTGTTATTGTTTAAGAACTGATAAGAAACCAGCTATAGGAACAGGCTCCTAAAACAAGTCTGATCCAGCTTGCGCAGCTGCAGTGATGATTACAAGGGTATTGGTGAATCCAGGGAGCAGATGAATTAAAGTCTTAAATGCTTGTTACACTTGCTGTCAGTTTCTTGCTATGCCTGAAAGGTGCAGGCAGTGACTTCTGAACTGTCTTACGCCTCTGTGCTAGCAAACAACAGTGCTAGAAATCAATGTGCATAATTTGGTCCAAGTATTCATTGTTCTGTATGTTTATGAATGCTTATTAGAAAGCAGATGCTTCAACCTAGAAATGTCACTAGTGTTTCTATTTAGTTTGCAGATGGTGTTTATTTGGTTTTGCTCATGGGTCTTCTTGAAGACTATTTTGTTCCACTTCACAACTTCTACTTAACGCCTGAAAGTTTTGATCAAAAGGTGGGTAGAAATTCTAGGTTGTATTCCTTTTGCTTTATTACCACATGATATTTTTCAATCATTGTTTGCTTTCTCTTTGTGCCCAGTAGATATACTCTTCTCTTCAGGAGCTGTAGCAAAGGTGCACTGGTTGTGACACTTGATAATTAATACTACAAAAAGTTGATTGTGAAATAAATTGGTAAATTCCCCATAGTTAACCAAAAATAACATCATATGCCATACAAGACTCGTGAACTTCCAAAAGGAATAAATCAGTAATAAGTGCTTTGTACTGTATAGTACTTTTCATAATCAAAGTGATTTATTAAATTGCAGTACTGCCTAAAGTCTTTTTGTGCTCAGGGATGCTTTACTATGCTAGACAGTAGAGATGATGCCTGGCATTGCCTAGTGTTTACCATGTAAATAGAGAAGAAAGACAAAAGGTGAGAGCTGTGAAGCTCCGCTTCATCTGCATTTTGTACACTGGGATTGATGTAAAGATAGAGCTTCTTCCTAAGGTCACAAAGTGCCAGCCCTAAAAACTAACCCCTGATATCAGTAGTGTCAGTTGCCTAACACCCAATGTTTTTTTTCTATAGTTTATTTAATGTTCTTAGAAACTAAATATCACTGGTTGATACGTACTTGATAGGCTTGATATGCGGTAGTATAAGAAGTGGTACATGGGCCATGATCTTTGGTTGAACTGGGATTAGAAATTGTATGTTGAGTGCCCATGTGTTTTGTAGCTGATCTAAAGCCAAGATGGAGGCCCTAATCCTGCTAGGGAGGGAGTTGCCTGTCTGAAGCCAGTCTGTGAACACAGACATGTTTTTGTGTCCAGTTCCTAGCAGGCTCATTGCCAACATCGCTGTCTTAAATTTTTGAGAGAATGTACTAGCTTGTCTTTTTGTTGTTGTCTTCTTCTCTTTGGTCAGGAGTGAATGACTTTCTGTCTAACAGTACCTTAGAAATAATGAGCTTTGTGGAAAAAGAATGGGTTATTTGAAGTCTTGGATGGTCTTAGTCTTAATCAGGGTATTAGAAATGGAAGGGGACAAAACAAGTGTCTTGCTTTTATCCATGCACTCATTGCACTATCCTGTGTCATTCCTAGCATTAGTGATGAGAGGCTTAACACAGCATGTGTGCTTTATTATCATATGCAAGTTTGCCTCTTTCTGCAGTTGTTCCTGGACACGCACACATATCTGGGTATATTCAGTACCTGATACTGGAATAGTCTGAGCCTGATTGTGCTGGAGTAATGCTTTGGCCCCTTGCTTTTCATTCTGCTAGGTTCTGTAGGGAGGATGATACAAGTCTAGTGTTGGCTGAACTGGAGCCAGGATGTGCTTAGGTCAGGAGTGGAAGCACTGCAGTAAGTGAGAAGATTGAAAAGGCTTTGTATGGTAAGGGCTGCTTACAATGGTGGGTATTTTGTACAACTTCAGCGTGCCCCTCAGTGCCAGTAATGCTCCCTGAGGGACAGGGTTTACCATTGGTACAATAACCCATATTTGACAATGTGGATCATCTCAGCGTTGCAGGAGGAAATTGAGGTGTGCCAAATGAGAGCTGTTACAGACCTAGCCTATTGCGTTGAGCCTGCTGATTCTATGGGTTATGTAGCATTTTTTAATTCATTGTTAGGTGACAAGTTGCTATTTGGGAGCTTAAAGAGGTTCTCTGAAGGCAGACTCTGGCAAGAGAGCTTCTTTAGGTGTTAAGATTGTGGAAAGAATGGGGATTAGTTCATTTAGAATGTTGTATACTGTACATGAACTTGATAGAGCAGTGGGAACATGTTTGTCTACTGTCTGCTAAACAAGCTCGCCTTGATAGCTTTCTCTTGCTTTTTTATCCCAATAGCTTGAGTTTTCTGCCTTTTAGAAATGCAGGATGCTGAGTCATAGCCAGTACTGGTTCAGTCAAGATTTTGTTGTTAATAGTTTAAATTCATAATAATTATCCAGTATTCCTGAAGTAATGTGGTTTTGAGTGGAGACTTTGCCTTGCGGAAAGGGAGTTTGTAAATCAAAGAGTTCATTTACTGTGTTTTGGGAGGGGAAAAAATATCTTCACCTGCAGAATTATTGTTTTTGTTCCAGTGAATGAGGGGAAACTGAAGCAGGTAAAAAGAGATTAATAAAGTCCTGAGCAATAAGTGCCAGTGAAGGGGGCCTGCCTTCCTTGTTGCAGGGAGCCTTTGTATGCTAAAGTCCCTGGTTTCCAAGACGAGTAGCTTTAATTAAATCCCTTCCTCTTACTATGTATTTCCAGAACTGTCATTTGCAGAGACAAAACTGCACAGAACTCATAATCCAAATTACCGTGCTTAAATTTCATTAAGCATGACTCAGAAAGCTTCTGTGCAGATCTCTCTAAGCTATACAGTTACCTCCTCATGAATATTTTCTTTTAGTCTCACCTCTTTTTTTCCTTTTTCCTTTTTGTCTGTTTTATTTTCTTTGACTTTATGTTCATGTGTGGTCCTTGGAGGCTTGCTCAGGGTGCTGTCTCCTTTTCTGCACAGTTGTGCCTAGATTGTTTTTGCAAGTTCACTGCATAGTCTGCCTAGCAACTGTCACCACAAACCGTTTCACTTACCTTCATTTGAGAAATCTGATTTGAATTTTGTCTCTTTTCAAGCAGAGGAAGCTAAATTACCAAGATGCCTCACTCCCTGATGATGTGATGTTTATGTTGCTTAGTATACAGCTGATAATGCAGAAGAGTAATATTAATTGAAAATACTTAGTTTAGTCTTCTTATTTCTGACATACCCATGTGTATTTTGTCATCTCTGTTCAGTTGTGTCACTTCTGTTAATATTGCTTGTTGCCAGGATTGCAACAGAACTCCTGCTTTGTAGTTGGAAATGCTGAGCTTTGGGTACAAGCAGAAAGATCTCTGAAAATGCATCCTTTTGTTACTGGGAGCTCTCAGGCCTGTGCTGAGATCAAGGATTACTGGGCTTTTTTTTTTTTTTGGTATTTTTTTACACTTGGAAATTTGAAATTACTTCCTGTGTATCAAAAAATCAATATTTGCCCTCTAATGATACAAGCTTTAATTTCTTAGTCCCTCAAAAGTACTTTCAGTCATGCATGAACATGTAGATGTCTTTTATTGATTTAAATGGAATTGTCATTTCATATTCCAGTGTAGAAAGAGCAAAGCATTTTTTTAAATTTCATAAAAGGTTTTATAATGCCTGTATAACTTCAGGGTTCTAAGCAGTTTTCCTTTTTCAGGTCCACAATGTTTCCTTTGCTTTTGAGCTGATGCAAGATGGAGGACTCAAAAAACCAAAAGCTCGTCCTGAAGGTATGGTTGTGACATGTGGCTTTAAACCATATATAAATACATAATAGCAGATGCATTTAAAGTGCAACTGCATTCAAGATAATGGGAGTATTAATTGGTGGAGAGTAAATGTGAACCTTGACAATTTTCCAAAGGATTCATCGTCTGCATCTGGGGTATATATTTACCTCTGTTTCTTGTCTGGAATAGGTTTACTGAGGTGTGCACATCTAGTTTTAGTGAATGATTCAGAAGCTGTTCAGTGCTATATTATACATTTATCTGGTATTCTCAATCACAGTCCAAGCAGGAAGCTTTGCATAGTCTAATTCTAATAATTGTTGCTCTGATTCTCTTAACTATTGTGTATGCTAAAAAGAGGAATTAAAACTTTCTGACTGCTAATTTTTATTCCTAGAGTTACAAACTATTATATGTATTAGAGGCTTCTACAGAACAAAGTGAAAAATGAGGAGTCCCCAGGAGATGTTCAGACTGACTTAAAATAAGACAAATTGGTGATAGCAAATAGATTAGTGGACAAATAGTGGACAATAGTGGAGGTCGTAGTGGTTAAAAAAAGACAAAAAACAATATTAAGTGAGTACATATCCTGTCAGAGTGCTGTTCTTTTACATTTGGGAATGAAAAGTGCTCCTGAAAAAGAATTCTGTGAAGCAAGACATTAACTTGGAGTTGAGTCAATAGCTGTTTGAGAAAAACAGGGAAAATGGAAAAATATGAATGCAGGTGTTATAAATGGCTCAGGATTCAAATTAGGATTAAATAAAAAAATAGGATTTATTAAAAGAATATAAAGGAATAGAGGTAAGCAAACAGCGCTGGGTGCACCGGGAGTCTCTGCTCCACCAGGACACACACCAGTTACATCAAGCAGCTGATTTTTATGCTCCTAGACTAATACATATTCATTACTACTTCTAAAAAAATAGATTATTATAATTAGCTTCCGGGGTCCAGTCCCTCCTACTGGAGCATGCGCATCAGTCTCCTCTGGGGGTCTCTAGGGGTCTTTCATGCTGAAGGCTCGTAGTCTTCCTCTCCCCTTTGTACTCACTCGGCACCATACCAAGTTTATAGAACATTTTCTGCAAGTCTTGTCTCCCAGCCGTCCTTCAGCTTCTTTTTCCTTCCTCTTAATCTCTTGGCCTCCTAGCCAGATACCAAAGATCCGCATAGTATCCCATAACAGTCACTAGTTGTTATCAGTTGTTCTGAAACTCCCAGACATCAAACACAAACAGCTTTCTTATTTGACGCTTCACGAGTAATTAAAACATTCTTCCCCAGCCATTCACAGACACATCTATAGCAGTGTTAAGTTAATCTCGAAGAAGACAGGAAAAAAGGCTGTAACTGTTAGAAATAGAAGTCCGGAATAACAAAAGCAAACAGGTTCATAAATTTAAGGAGTGTTTTCTGAAGACGTGATATATTGACTAGAATGAGGGGCAGACTGGGACACACTGCATCTGTGGTTCAAGAATTAAATTGCCAGTGCAGGGCCCAGAGGCAGACAGGATTCAAACAGAATTGTTCTTTATGGACACGAATTGTTAAAACATTCCTCACACAGGATTGGGAAAGTAAGGTTTTTGAGTGGAAGGGTTAAAAAGACGACAAAAAGAAACCGGGTAAGCTAGACAAGCCTGTCTCCAGATACAGATTTTGTTAAAAACCTAGAAGATAACTTGTCTAACTGAAAACTTGCCCCCCCCCCCCCCCTTTTTTTTTTTTAATTATATTCTCATCAGTTGTTCTACAGAGGAAATTACCTTCTTGTAGGTCTGTTTTATATCCTTACCCTATCATGACTGGTATTCTACCAGAGCAGACTTTTTGTTTGCTCCAGACAAGGTGTGTAGATTCAGTAGGCAGCAGAATATATTTGTGTTTTTTCTGGCTGAAAATGTAATTACTAATAGAAGTCAGAGCCAAATTAGCTCAATGAACATGCCTCTTTTGCTGCTTCAGGGTTTGTGTGTATTCCTTTCTCATCTGTCTGTATACCCCTTCCCATTAGCAGTGTTTCACGTCTGTTAGTGAGTATGCTTGTGTGTGTGGCTGGAATTTCTTGTAGAACTGACTGTTTGAAGAGCTCCTCCACTGGGTGAGACAATAATGTATTGGGCTCTGCTTGTCACTAGTTTTTTATCAAATCCTCTGTAGCATCAGGATCTTGACAGTACAGTCATGTCGTACATGACTGCTGGAGATTAGTAGGAGTCAGCTGTATATGCCTCCTGCAGCATTGTGAGGGTGGACGGACAGTGTCTGCCCAGCACAGTGCCACTGGTCTGGGCCCCCTTCCAGCTCCTGCTTGTGCCCCAGCTGAATCCATAGCTTTTGCAGCAGCTCTTTGCTGCCACTTAATCCCATCACATCTTAGCATGTGCCCTGGTTTCTGTGCTTCTAGCTATGTTTCTGTTCTACCCTTTAGATTTTTATTTCTCATCATTAGCATCTTGATCTTGGTTTATATCATAGGCAGTTGTTCCTGCCTCTGAAGCTGGATGTCAGCCAGAGGCAAGAACTGAACCCCACCAGGCTTGATCATACCTCTTCATGCTATGGCAGCTGAGCTGGGGTTAACAGTGGCTGAGGGAAAAGACCCACCTTGCTTTCAGTGGAAGACTGAAGATGTGTGGCATGGGGAGAAGAAAAACAATTAGAAGGAGGGGGACAGATTCCCTAAACATCTCTGACCACTACATTCTCACTTAAGGCTGACTATTGAGGCCTTTATATATTTTTATATATATATATATATATATATATATATATATATATATATATATATATATATATATATATATATATATATATATAATATATATGTGTGTGTATTATATATATTCATAGTGCCAGGAGTGTTTGATTTAATTGTTTTGCAAACAAAAGAGGCTGTCAGCATCCTTGGTCAAATCTGCTGATAGATGTCCCTTATAATCATAGAACCATTAAGGTTGTAAAAGACCTCCAAGATCATCTGGTTGAGCCGTTCCCCTACCACCACCATCACCCAATAAACCATGTCCGTAAGCACCACATCCAGCCTTTCCTTAAACAACCACAGGGGTGGTGACTGCAGATACTTGCCTTGATTTGCCAGCTTTATAAGTGCATGGCTGTTGCAAGGTGTTGTTTCTCATTTGGGAATGGTTAAATTTATGTATACATTTAAAATCCATTCAGAGGGAACTGGGTTTTGATGCAGAGGAAGCAATGATTGATTCTGGCTCATGTCTCACTGGGAATGCTATAGTAGTAAGCAGCTTTCTGTGATACCTGGAAAACTTAGAAACATATTTCATACATCCAGGTAAGATCTCTTTTTTTTTTCAGGATGTATTACTTCACAGCAGTTAGGATCTTACCTTTCTTTAGGACAGCAAAAGATTCTTTTGCAAATGCAAAATACAGAATCACAAATAAGTTAGGTGAAACAATACATGGAAAAAGTTTGAGAGGTTACTGAAAATACCAGATGAAGTGTGGAGTTATATACGGTTATCCAGTGTGGGGTGGGGGGACGGGTGGGGATGTCCTGGCATCGATTGTGGGTATATGAGGTTCAGGATCTACTAAGATGTGTGTGGCTACTTTGCTTCTTCTCTGGCTAGCAAAGTCATTGGTGAAAACTCAGAAGGTACTCTACCTATGATGTTGCCAGAAGGTAGCATTTCCCAGAGGCTTTATCCCAGGTTTCAGGCAGAAGCAGGCCTTCTCTGTAACCAGTATCAGATGAGGAAGGGAATTCTCTTTCTTACATTTCCCAGAGAAGTTAGCTGGGACTGTAATATCATGAGGGTGTTTTGAAGTGCATCATGCATAACATGTAAAAAGCTTGGCTTAGGGAGATCAGGACATTTTTGTAGCTGTTCCTGCAGGCTCAGAGATGTGGGGACTTTTGCTCCTTTGAGGGTAAATGGTGGAGAACAAAAAGCAAATTAAGAATTTCTCCTTTTCTTCCACAGATGTTGTCAATTTGGATCTGAAGTCTACCCTCAGAGTTCTATACAATCTGTTCACAAAATACAAGAATGTGGAATGATCTTGGAATCTGCTGAGGTCTTCATCATACCAGCCTCCTTAGACAAAAAAAAAAAAAAAAAAACACAATAAAAATGCCCTCTGCACGCTCCCTTTGTGCCTTATGCTATACTTCGTGCATTCTTTCTACAGTTGATGTGGTCTCTCTATAGCTGTTTATATGACAATCCCACTAAAAATAATGCGCATGTACTCTCTAGGTCACTTGAAAATGTGTAGATATTTCACACTTTTACCAGAAGATACTGTTGGGTCTGATTTGTTATGATCAACAAGTGTTCTTTTGATAAAAGAAATATACCACTAACTACTTAAATAAGCAGGGACAACATGAGAACTTATTAATGTCTGTCTGTAGACTCTGATTTTATAACCTTTCTTTAGCAAACTTCTTGGTTACCATTACCATTTGGAGATTTTCCAGGCTTAAGCATTAGTGATACAAAATCGGCATTGGAATTTATTTAGAAGCTGAGCCCCTTCTTTTAAATAAGGTTTTGTATGTTCTGTTGGGTGGGTGGGGTCAAATTACAGGCACTATCTGAAGCTACATGATAAAACCTTCAGTTTTTGTGTTCACCTCATAATAACCAGTGTTATTTCCATTCAGTGTTTACACAGAATAAGTCTTGCAGTAGGATAACCATCTAATCTTTTCATGTCTATTTTTATTTCTTCTCCATTCTAGGAGAAGTTTGGTTGATAGAACCACTACCATCCTTTAAGCATGCAGCTTCTATCCAGTCAGTCAGTCAGTCAGGAGCTGGTCAGATATGCCCAGGTTGGATTAATGCATTTTGCCCCCAGCCCTTTTTGAAATGTACATGGGGAATAATGAGTTTGGCAGTTTAAAGACTGGCTCTTTGTTTTGTGTAGCTAAGATGATGGGTCAGATTCCTCTTGAAGTTACTGGCAGCTGTACAATTTTTGTGATCATGCATTTATAAACAGTTTTTATGTATTTTCTTTCCTAAAGAGTGAAAAACTATTTCTATATAAATGAGAGATTGCCTTTACTTGAGCATTGCGCTGGGTTGTGCTAGACAAGGTGTATCCAGTGCAAGCCAATGGTTAGTGCTTCAAATTTGAAGCTCTTCGGTGATGTTCAGTTGTGCTTTAAACTAATTTCATTGAGTTGCCCTGTGTCATCCCAAGAAATACTCTGCTATACCCTGCTCTAGCACTCTAGTCTCTAAGCTGTTACAGATTTTAGTGGGAATGCCTTTTAAAAACAAAAGGATTGTTAGTTTTATCTGATAGACTGAAGTTACCTCTTAGTACTTAACAGGTTTCATCTGCAGATCTGTTCCTGGCTGGTGGTGTACTCGTTATAGCTGTGTGTGCAAGGAGGCTGTGCTGGCACATGAGCTGTCTGAGTAGATTTTGGAGAAGAACTGTGCCAAAGAAATGGAATTGTAATTTCCAGAGTAAATTATATGTATATAATAGCACTCCTTTCCTTGGAGTGCCTAGGGGAAGGATTTGACTCCTGCTTTTATGCATCACAGAATCATAGATCCTATGATTAGAATCACAGCAGCAACTTTTCTTCTATGGGCAGCCATGATTTTGTGTGAAACATAAGGCAGAGTACCCCAAAGAGGAAGCAGATGGCATTGCTCTGCTCTTTGGGATCACTTGAGTCTTGTAGGTTGCCATTTTTCCCCCCCAAAATTGATTTCTTTGGCTAAAAATCATTTACCTTTCGAATACAAGAGGAAATGTGCTATTTGAATTGTAGAATTTTACATCAGGATTTTTTTCCTTTCCTCCTTAAACATTTTTTAAGTTTAGGAAGATGGGAAATGAGCTTCTGCTTCTTTGTTTCATATTTTGGGGTTCTGAGTTCTGGTGATGAATTATTTATGCCACCTCCCCTTATGCCTCCAAACCAAAGGTGAAGGGAAGTTTTTCCCCCCCCTTTTTTTTTTTTTTTCTCATGAAAAAATTCAGGCCCATCTCTCCTGTAAGGCTTTGTGGGAATCAGTGGTTGTTTGTACTTTAGGAGGAAGCTGACCTCTTGCTGTTTATACAATGCCTAGTACAATATGACTTGAATTTCAGATGGGGCCTTTAGACTCTACCATGGTGCTGGCAATTATTACAGAGACTTGCAGAGGCACTAAGGCCAGGTGGGTCAGCTCTGCTGGCTAGTTAATGAGATCGGTCTAACTTTTGTGCTGTGAAATAGGTGTATCATGAGGCTGGGAAATGATTGAACCAAAGGTTCTCTCAAACTTTTTTTTTGTTTAATGAAATGTACTTGTGGGAAACAAGTCTGTTAAAGAGCTCTTATTCCTCCTACTTCCCTTCAGCTGATGTGGAAGTGCCAGTGCTATTTATATTCTCTGAGATGTTGGCAAAGACTCAGAGAATCTAGTTTTAAAATTGCTGGCAGTATTAATATCAAAAGCAAACAAAGTAACACGAGGAGATTGATTAGAGCAGTTTCCCTTTGGGAGAAGGAATGGCTATTTCTGAGATGGAAATTTATAGCCGATATTTAATTGCCTATGAGCAGATGTGAACATAACACATTTTAAGAATCTGTATTTTGTTCAGTTAGGTGTTTCTGGTCACTATGCAGAAACCCAAATCCCTCCTCTGCAACCTGAGGCATGGGCCCCTGCTAGCATTCCTTACATTAACATTCCAGTCAGTCAAGACTGCGGGCTTGATGCATTGGACAGGCTGGGGGCAGGTGTCATCTTATGGGTTGTGTTATGTTTTTAAGTCTATTGGTAAATGTTGCACGTGGAAAATGCATTGTTCATTCCCTAGCTCCTTGCTGTCTAGCCAGGTCACTCTTAGATGCTGTCTTTATTGCTAACTGGTCTGGGAAGGGAGTGGATTTAACTGAACTGGAGCTTCATCCCAGGCAGTTCAGTTTACAGGAAAAGCAATAAAGGTAGAGCCATCTCTGAACACCTGTTTTTGGCACGACTTTGTTACATAGCTGTGATACTTACTCTCAAAAGGTAACTGAATGGTAAGAATGTTATTCATGAACTCTGCATTTCTACTGAAATTTTAGATATGTTTCCCGAGGTACCAGTGGATAGATCTGAATCTGGTTGAGTTCATCTGGATTGCTGAATGCTTTGCAGTGTTAAAGCTTCCATATTTCTAAGTACTTAATGAATGTCTGTCTTTTCAAGCCCATACAGCTTTGCCTGTTAGGTGTATCTGCTTGACATACTCAGTTCCAGTAAGCTGTATTACCACAGAAGAAGCCCAGATATTCTTCAGCTGCATCCCGTTTCTCAGGCTGAAAAAGCAGCAATGGCAGATTTTCTTTGATCAGCTTAAACCTTAAAGGGCTTCTTACATCTCCTCCCCCAACCCTTGTGCTTTCAGTATTAATGTATTTTTAAAGAATCTTTTCTACTGTTTTTAACAGTGTTTACTCTGGATTTCATACTTAAAACTAGCCTTGCAGATAAAATTCTGGACTTGTCATATGTTGGACACATCCAGCTTTGTGACAAGAGTTGTGTACTGTAAGCAAATTACAATGCAATGCTATGTTTGTTAGAGATCACAGTAGGAGTGTTCTGCATGGTTTATGATAATTGTACTATTTATTCAAATAAATAAATGATGATCACTTGGTTTTCTACATTTTTTTTTTTTGTCTGAGTGGGCAAATCAGTGGGAAGAACTTTTGAAAGGTGGGCTGTAGCTGTCTTCTTCATCGGGGGGGGGGGGGGGGTCCTAGATACATGGTGATCCACGTAGACCTAGCAAAGCAGTGCTCTCAGGTTTCTGGCTTTGGTACAGGTGAAGCGCAGGCAAACCAAATCTGTCCGACTCTTATGTAGGTTTCATCAACTGTTTTTTTGGTATTTCCCTGCCACTGGACGTGGCAGGTGATCAAGTTGTTCACCTTCTCCCTTCCAAGGGAGAAAAATGAATACACCCTCTAATACCTTTAGAAGGCTCAGGGCCAAGTTCTGCAGCCACACAGGAGGGAGGCCTGGCCTTACAGAGCTGAAGTCCTGCATGTGTCTGCAGAGCACTTGGGAAGCCAGAAGCACAACCAAGAGTGGCATGACATTGAAAATGCCTGTATGCTTGCTCTGGTACGAAGGGAACAGAGAGTGGCTCACTTATAAAGCAAGGCCATGTGGGAGAACAGGAAAATGCATTATCAGAACTTGTTATTAGTGGGAGTACTGCTGATTCCTTGAATTGTTCTTCAGTTGCTATTTTTATATGAGGGCCAGGTGTATGGGGGCATGTGCATGTGAGGTGTGCTTTGGGAACATACAGAGTTTTGTGGGGGGAGATGGGCATAAAACCAAATGCAGCTCTGTTACGGAATTTAGTAGTGTTGTACTACAGAAGACTGGCCACTTCATGCACTTCTGACAATATTTTAGAGGAAAAAAGTGCCTGTCTACCACGTGTGCTTGAGACTGCTGTTCTTTTAGTATTGTCACATTGTACTGTGAATGAAGAAAGAAACAAGATAAATGTTGAAGCACTGAGAGATCTAGTAATTAGAGATCAATTTCCCAATTTTTAATTCTTCATATTTCCTCTGCCTGCTGGTATGAAACTGGATTTGTCTAAAGGTGGCAACAGCATCTCCAACGGTACCTTCTTTTTGGTTTTGCTCTCTACATTTCTAGGCTGTGGCAGGCACTCCTGCATAAATAAGAAGGTACTCTAGGTCTTTTCTGATTTGCTGTAATGTTGTGCTTATCTGCTTAGAAAATACAGTTAAGTTTTCACTTCAACCTTTAGATGAAAGATTTGGGATTAAATTCTCAGTCACTAGGAATTCATGGCAGCTGGAAATCTGTTTTCAGCCCACTTTCCTTTATTCCATTTAGCTCATGCAGAACTATCAGTTTTCATCTATGGTGTGGAGCTAAACACAGGAGTCAGTTTCTTAATAGCATTAAACCAGACCAGCTTAGTGTGATTGTCTGTTTCATTCTGGGATTTCATGGAGGACTGCAGAATCGTGTTTTCTTTCCGAAAGAGTTAACAACTGTAAATGATACCCGAAGGAGATGTCCAGGGAAAGTGATGGCTGTGGGGAGCTTTCCCTCTTTAATCTGTGATAAAACAGGGAGTGCAGAGCATCTGCACTACCTAGTAAAGGTAACTGTTGAAGCAGATGAGTATTTTGGACCCTGGTGTGGCTAACTAGCTGATCAAGGACAAATGAGTTCATTTCCTTCTGCCTGGGCTCCCTCTGCCAGGTAGGAAGAAAAATGACAATCTGCGTTAGAAAGTGCTCCAAGGACCAAGAGTTAAAGGTGTAATGTAGCATGATGATTTTATCTGCTGTTGGTTGTTCAATTATTAAATGCAAAGAAAATTTGCTCTGTGAGTCACCCCCAAGAGGCAGACTAGTAAACAGTGTGGTACTGTGGAAGAATGACAGTATCTCAGGAGTTGCAGGGATGCATGTTTCCTGCATTTGTATTTCTGTTTATTCCAGTCTCCAGCAGGGACCAAGCACACAGACAACGAAGTTCCGGATGCAAATCTGGTTTCATTTTTGAGCGCAGTCAGTATTGCGCGGTGCAACTTCCCTTGCGCACAGTGTATGTGCTTCCTGCTGCCTTGCACAGGAGCTGCAGCTTCAGCACAGAGCCGAGCCTCAGGGGCAGCCTCAGCTCCTGGCAAATTGCATCCCACTTCCTTTGAGAAGATCTGCAAAGAACTGCCAGAAAATTACTGAAGGAGAGAATAGTAAGTCTGGGCAAGGGACTCTTGTGGGTGTGGTTTTGTTTATTTTTTTTTTAATCTGTAAAACTTCCTGCATCCATGTGGATTGTTCTTGCTGAGACAATGTCTCTTCTGATGCTAGTGAGCAAAAATAGCTCTTGAATAGTCTGGTACTGAATGAGGAAGTAAAAGTAAGTTTTAAACTGGATGGACAATGCATGTTCTCCTTTTTTTTCTTTTTTTTCTTTCTTTTTTTTTTTTTTTTTTTAATTCAGGTTTTCTGAAGGCAGAAATATTATCATTGGCATTCAGAATTGTTTTTTATTCCCTGTTTTGTCTGATCTACTTAGAAAACTGTTCCTAGGAAATGTGTTTGTGCTAATGCAGAGTAGGGCTTTCGTGTTTTTCAAACAGGAAATTCAACAGTTGAAACAACTTGGTAACGTCACTAAGTGTCTTGCATATATTCGATGGTCAGTTTGGATGTCAGAGTCTGCTGTTCACTTGTTAATGCTTTATATCATATGTAAGGGGTATCTGGGAGCCGGACTGTGTGAAGGCTCAAGGAGAAGTGAATTGATCTGGCCCACTTAGAGAATTAATTGTTTTATCTGTCATTGTTGCATTGCAACATTATGCAATAGCCTAGTTCTTGGCTAAATAAAACTCACTTGTTTGTACCTCAGCAGGTGGCACAGGAGAAAGACAACACCTGTTGCCTTTAAAATGGACAAGCATGTGTACCTGTGATGTTTGAGTAAAAGACAATGAAGGACCAAATTAAGCCATTTCATTTGAACAATTAAACAATTAAATAATTAAATAATAATTTAATTTGAATAGTTAAAGCTGAATGTTACTTTAAAATTCCATTGTGAAATGCCACTACAATCAATATTCAAGCAGTTGTCTACTACAATGATCACTTCTCCAAGTAGAATCATAGAATATCCTGAGTTGGAAGGGACCCTTAAGGATCATCAAGTCCAACTCTTGACACAAGTAGCCGTAAATAATTCATGCAGGAGGCTGGAGAAAATAGCACATCAGTAACAGGCATGGACAGTGAATTTAAGTGATGATCTGCAAAGGTTAGTTGCAGCGAACAGAGGCTTGTAGTTAAGAACCAAATCTCCCATCCCTTCCTATTTCTCATTAAGCAGCTAAATTCAGGGAGGAGTCCAAACCCCGTCATGTTCAATTTCATGCTCTTTCTGCAGCAGGTTATCTTTTGAAAGATTACTGCCTTGGATCAAGCCTCACAGCAATGAGTCTTGCCACATGAGGGACTGCTTGAGAACACTAATTATTAGGAATAAGTAATGAGTCTATTAAATGCTAAGGAGCTGCAGTTCTCAGGCCCTGAAATGGCTGTTGAAAATCAGTGTGGATAAATGTGAGGAGGGGGAAAGGAACAATACAAGCTCTACAGACAAACTATAAGCTCAGAGTGTAGTGTTGCTATTTAGGAATAAGATCTTGGGGATATAATGGAGACTTCCATTAAAGTGTCAGCTCAGCAGCGATCAAAACAGCAAATGACATAACGAATTGGGAGGAAAGGAGTGCAGAATAGTGCAGTGAACATTACAGAGCATCTTCCTAAATCTGCACGGTTCTCCTTCCCAGCAGTACAAAAAGCGTGTGGTAGCACTGGAAAGGGTTCAGAAAAGGGCACGTGGGATGACCAACGGGTCAGACTGCAAAGGATGACTAAGACATAGGCTGTGTTTCTTCCTCAGCTTTGGAAAGGGATGACTGTTGAGGGTGTAGGGTAGTAGTACAGTAACAGTGATGCGAAGAAGGTGAATCAATGGGTCTCCTTTTCACATGCATAGGGGGAAGTTTCAGGGGGAGCTAGCCCTCATTCAGAGTGAGCAGGAGGGGGTGGTTCCCCATGCCATGTGAAGCCATGCTCCAACTCCTTGCAATGGTGAGAGATAAACGCCTTCAAGGGCTGGCTGGGAAGTTTGTGCAAAGTAAACTTATTGGCAGCATCTGCTAGGACCCCACTTCTGCTTTAGGAAGGCTGAACTGCAGGCTGTTGAAACTCATGAGAGTGTTTTAGGGAAGTATCTTGTGTATGCTCTGTGTTATAAGTTAGACCACACAATTTTCTGGTCTATTGAAATTATTTTATTAATCAAGTAAGCAGACACAAGCAAAACAGCGCTGGGCGGCTGGGGAGTCTCTGCTCCACCACAGCACGCGACTTCCCCTTTCCAGTGTCGCTGTTTTATAGCATTCAAGTTCTGGCTTGTCGAGACTTGACCTGTCGACTTGTCGAGACTTGTTCTGAGGCTGCGCAGTCTGTTGTTGGGGGTCGTTATTCTTCCTCCGGTGATCATGCGCTGTGCTTGTGTTCAGGTGGGGGCAAAACAGGATGTCTTGCGGTGGGTGGGTGGTATCTTACAAAATCCTTGTTTTAACAAGGATGTTTACCCAACGCCCCTTCCCCATTTGTCCCCATGTTACAGTGAGTTGTGAAATCTTATCTCCTCAGTAGATTCTTTAAATTCTCAAGGACAATGAACAAACCCCTACTAATTTATCACAATCCCTCCTTTTTCTTTTTCTAACATATTTTGTTCATTGAATTTTTGCAATATTTTCTTGCTGAGCATCAAAGTTTCTGCATCGTCCTCCTCCTGCTCAAGAGATTCATACTAGCATGCACAAGCATAAGATGAGCAGCTTCCAATTGTCTTTTCACAATTGCGATTACTCGATTGAATATACATGGTCCAAAAGTCAGTGTTAATATAAGTAACAACAAGGGCCCCGCTATTGTTGTTAGCAGTGTAGTAAGCTAAGGTGAGTAATTAAACCAGGATTCATACCAATTCTGACGAGCCTCATTTTCCCTTTTGCGTTTTTCTAATCCTTCCCGCAATTTAGTCATTGTATCTCTTACCACCCCAGTATGATCTTTACCAGATGGTATTCAGCCACTGTGTGATGGGTCTACATATACTCTTCAGTGTGTTATGGAATCCTTGGTATAATGACCACCTGTACACAAAAATCATGAGATGTGTTAAACAATTTTAAAGATAGGCAAGGAGTGACTCTCAACAATGAACATACCCACCTAGTGTTACTTGCAGGAATTAACCATTTGTGTGTTTGGTACTTTTTTTTTTTTTTTCAGTGGCATGGCACAGATCATTTTTATCTCTTGGAACTGTGCCGATACATCTACCTTTTCCCATAACTTGAGTCAAAGTTATCCCAATTTCCTGACCCCAACTGCACTTGGAAGGATTTGACTCGTTTGAATATTCAGACCTCCCCATATCTCCTATAGCTTAATAATATGGGGGCTTAACACTTACACATAGCCAGCACCCTTCAGTTATCTCAGGATTAGTTTGATTTAGTACCTGGAAACTAGCATTTATAACTTTCCACATACTACTCTCGGGTACAACCCCTTTCTTTTTTTTTTTTTTTCACAATGCTTGGAAGCAGTGTGGGTAAGGATAACTCTGTCGACTTATTAGAAAACACTGTAGTAGGTTGGGCAGTCCCAGGTATCTTTACAGTCTGGACAACCAAACCTTCCCCTAATAATTCTTTATTAGGCCCGACTACCTTGGAAGTCTCGGGTTTTTCCTTCTTTATTGGTATGAGTCCTCCCCTATCTGTTCCATGTTAGTAAAATCTGACATTTTTTCCTAGTACCCAGCTAGTATCGTCTGAGTTTGTTATATTTATATATAGAACCTTGCAAATTTCTTTATTTCCGTGGAAGGTTCCTGTATACCCTATACCATGCCCTCACCACCTGTAACAAGGATCCAATTGTCGGTTACAACCTTGCAGCCCATATCCCACTTGTAAGAATTTATCCTGACCAGCCCCGAGTGTCCAGTCTGTAGCAATGGTTTCACATCCCCGGTATGCACAACAATACACATTCAGGCATTTACAGTACCCCTTTCCCAGGTTAGAACTTGGGCAGAAATAAAATCCCATATATTCCCAGCATCAGGGCCTCGAGATCAGCTGACATAGTGTAGAAGTAAAGCTTGCCCCCCCCCCCCGATGTTACCTGGGTTGCAATAACCTGTTGATCTTCAAATCGACTTAAAGTCCATTTAAAAGGTTGGTGGGGGTGGTGTTGAGTCACTATGCAGGATGAAATCACTGCGAGAACCCCCAAATACCGATAGGAATGGCTGAGGCCCATTTCTTTCCCCACTTATTCACTCCTCTGCCTCACTCGTCAGTTGGGTTGCAGCCAACTACGAGGTTTTAGTTCTTCTCGGCAGCAGTAGTGTTATTCAGGGGAGAGCCTCTACCTTAACCCACGGTACCTATCGAGTTCATCGCAATGTGAGCTTCAGGTCTTTGTTTCCTGGAGCGATCTCCCACTTCTTGTCACAGATGGGTCCTTTAACACGGATGGCATGTGTCCATCCTTTCTCCGCAGTCCGGACGACTGTTTCTGTAGTAAGCAAAACAACATAGGGGCCTTCCCCATCGTGGTGTTAAAAAAGTCTCTTTCCAAGTCTTAATTAGAATTGAGGGTGATCAAGTGGCAATTCCAAGTCATAGGGCATACCATATAGCATTTCAAAAGGAGAAATTCCTACATCAGTTCTGGGCTGTGTCCATATGTTTAACAGTGCAAGGGGTAAACATTTTACCCAAGAAGACTTAGTTTCCAGCATAAGTTTTGTTAGTTGTTTCTTAATTTCACCATTCATTCACTCTACCTTTCCAGAAGAGGAGGGGTGCCAGGGGCTGTGAAAATCCCACTCAATCTCTTAGGCCTGCTTTAATCCTTGCAGTAAAGCTTTACACCCATTCAGTCACGTGGTCAATTAGGACAACCAAGTAACTCAGTAAAGTCTACCTGTATACTTTGGAAAGGTCAAAGCCCTGGCTCCTGTCCCCCTCTAGATGGGTTTAAGAAGACCTTTTTATTTACCTTTTGACATATAGTACATCCTCTGCATGTGTGTTTCCCTAAAGTATATATTCCTACACAGACATGCTTTCTTAGGACAACATCACACATTGCTTGCACCTCCCAATGACTCTTCTGATGTAAAACAGTTAATATTTGCCTCATTATCACTTTATTCAGCATTTCTCTCCCATCAGGGAGTATCGATTTTCCTTAAAATGATCCACATATTTGTAACATTAATACCTCCTTGGGAGGTTGTAATTGCTCCAAAATCTTTTTTTAGAATTTACCCAAATAGATAGGTGGCCCTGTAAACCCCTGAGGTAAAATTGTCCACCTATATTGTTGCTTCCGCCCCCATTTCAGGGTCTTTCCAGTCAGAGGTGAATATCCATGTATGTTTGCTCTCAGGGCCAGAGAGCACTCCATTAATAACACTGTTATTCCAGTCTAACAATTTACTAATTGAATGCCCAATTTAATCATCAAATCCCTTCCCATCAAGTTAGTCCCTGCCTTGGATACATACAATAATTGTCCAGTGATCATTTTATCCCCTGGTCTCAGCTTAGTATCCCCCAAAAGTGGCACTGTTATCCCAGACCCTTCTACCCCCATCACATTAGTTAATTTAATCCCTGATACTTTCCAAGTCAGTAATCACTTAGCTGCTCCAGTGTATTGGGTTTGATGGCAAGGTTCCGGGGGGGGAGGGGTGTGAGGGGTGTAGGGGTGGGAAACTGCAGTGGCAGCCCCCGTGAGAAAAATCCAGAAACCTCCCCGTGATAAGGGACAATTTCATCTGGCCCCAAAGGGGCCCACTGCTGCCCAGAGCCAAGCCATAAGCAACACAGTCCGTGCCTCTGTGAGAGCACATCCACAAAAACAAACAAAGAAACAAACAAAAACCTGCTACTCAACAGCAGTTGGGAGAGCGAGAAACCCTCCCGCAGACACTTAAGTCAGTGCAGAAGGAGGGGGAGGAGGCGCTCCAGGCGCTGGAGCCGAAGCCCCCCTGCGGCCACTGGAGAGGCCCCTGGTGGAGCAGGCTGTTCCCCCCTCCCCGATGCTTGGGAAACTGAACAAACACCACAGCAAATATGCAAATATGCCAAAACTTCTAGAATGCCTACATCACCTTTCCCTGCTCATTCAATTTCAAACAGCTCTGTTAAATACTGCATACCACACCTTTAACACCTTCAACAACCCTTTTAACACTTCTTTTATCTTTCTCCAGCCTGTACTTTTCTAATACCAGCACCAAAGGCTCAGTCAGAGTCCAACTTAATTCCATACCTTTTCCCTCCAAGATACTGAAACAACATATCAATCAATATACCATATTTCATCCCATTTTTCTTCTTTCCACAAAAACAACATTGACTGTAATATGGTGTTATAATTAATAGTTCCATTTAGGGGCCACTCTGATCCATCCTCTAGTTTATAAAGTGGCCACCATTGATTACAATATTTGATAAGAGTTCTTTTACTTTCTGTACCCTCTCACCCCACTATATCCCTCCAATGTGTTAGTATACATCCCAGAGGGCTTTTCCTCGGGATTTCTTTGCTTTGAACTTTTCCTATTGTAATCTACAGTGGTCAATGTTCCACTGTTTTCCTAGAAGCTCTTTACTAGTCAATCCCAATCCCTCCAAAATCCACAATATATAGATACACAAGTAAAATCAGACCACTGTAAATTAACTGCCTCTTGACAATTACACTGAGGACATTTAAACCTGATGAGCCGATAATATGCCTGGGCAAATTTTGTTCCTTTAGACATACACCTCAATGGCAGTCCTTATATTTACATATTTACATATTAACATATGTATAAAAGTGTACTTTAACAAAAATGCCCGGGCTTTTATATATACAATACACAATGTACAGCTATTATTCCAGTTAGAATTATTCCTCAGCAGCTGCAAACATGCCAGTTGCCATTAAAGCTCGCTTACCCTCCTCCTGTCCTTTTCTTAAAATCTCAGACATCCCCAGAGTTAATGGGGATGGCCACATATTCCATTCCTGGCTGGGGTCCCCCCATCACTATTTCTCGTGGGGATATAATCCCTCCCTTAAAGCAGATTTCTGATTTCTTGCCCTGCTTCTGGTTACCGGCCCCTATGTTTCATGATCCGATTCCGATTCTCCTGGATTAGCTAATTTGGGGAGTCCGTTAAGGACGGGAGCTGCTAGTGCGGGCGGTGGAATATAGGGTGGGGGCGGTGTTAGGACTTCTAAGTCCTTTCTCTTTTTATCCTGCCCTCCTTTTTCTTTTAGAGATGTAGATGCGTCCTCATATCTGAATTTATCCAGAGGTGCGCATACTCACTTTCTTCCAGACTAAAGGGTTCCTTTGAGTTTACATAAATATTTAGGCCTGACAAACCCAATCTTCAAAAGACCCAAATACAGGCCAGTAAAGGTGGTCTCCTCGAATCTGTTTACCATCCCAAACTTCAACACAATAATGTATCATTTTTACTTTATTCCTTCCCCGCCTAAAAGGGGAATCATTCCAATTTTTAATCATTATTCCTAGAGGACTATCGGGGGGAATGGAGGACATATCCTTACCACTATTTCCCCCACCCATGGAACCAGAAAGCTTACTCTTTTTCTGGCCCATCTTCCAGAGTGCCCTCACACACACACACACACACACTCCCCCTTTTCGTGGCCCAGTCCCTCGCGGGATGTGGGAACCACACTACCGGGGGGTCCGCTCTCGCTTCGTCCGCAATTGGACGTCTCAGTTGTCACACTCCGGGAAACCTAACCCCAACCGAACGGAACACCGGCCTATCGTTTTTTTACTCACTCCTCCTCTGAGTCTTCGTTCGGTTTTCGTGCACAAAGGTTGCCTGAGGTTTACCGGTTTTATTTGCTTGTATCCAATTTAGGGTTCGTCGGTAAAAGGTCCCGAGTGAGGCCTGCGTTCTCAGAGGCCGCCGAACTCGGCGGGGTGCCTCCCCTGAAATGCGCCTCAGTCTGATGCCTTTATCCGAGTCACGGCACCAAATTGTTATAAGTTAGACCACACAGTTTTCTGGTCTATTGAAATTATTTTATTAATCAAGTAAGCAGACACAAGCAAAACAGCGCTGTGCGGCTGGGGAGTCTCCGCTCCACCACAGCACGCAACTTCCCCTTTCCAGTGTCGCTGTTTTATAGCATTCAAGTTCTGGCTTGTCGAGACTTGACCTGTCGACTTGTCGAGACTTGTTCTGAGGCTGCGCAGTCTGTTGTTGGGGGTCGTTATTCTTCCTCCGGTGATCATGCGCTGTGCTTGTGTTCAGGTGGGGGCAAAACAGGATGTCTTGCGGTGGGTGGGTGGTATCTTACAAAATCCTTGTTTTAACAAGGATGTTTACCCAACCCCCCTTCCCCATTTGTCCCCATGTTACAATGCCGTGAGTTGTGAAACCTTATCTCCTCAGTAGATTCTTTAAATTCTCAAGGACAATGAACAAACCCCTACTAATTTATCACACTTTGTGTTGTTGTTTTTTTTTGTTTGTTTGTTTGTTTGTTTTTTCCTAAGCATCTGACTTTGGGTGCTGTAAGGGTCTGGGTATGAGATATTTTGTCTCCCTCAGTATGGCCATTTGACTATTCTGACCAAGTAGGACACATGGGACTGAGGCCCTGGAGTACGTTAGCTTTTGTTGCTGCAAATTCTCAATTTCAGACCATTTTCTACAGGTTTGCAAATGTTAAAAGACTAGCTTTCTGATGTTTGGGTTCCTTAGCCCAAAGAGACCAAGGATGTGGCAGGCAGTATGCATTATTTTTATGTGTAAATATTCAAAGAAAGTGTAAGAGAGACACAAGCTTAGTATTGCAGCAAAGCTGAGTTGGTATAAGCTGTGGTTTACATGGACTATTACATAAGGCTTATCAGCATGACTTCCCAAGACATAACAGGTGTCAGAAACCTAATTTAAAAGTAAGTTGGACTTAAGTTTCTCTGTATTAATTACTTTTTCCCTCCCAGTTTATTCCAGCTGGACAGTCTTGTCTCAGATTGTTCAGCTGCTTCTCAGGCACTTAATGACTCAATTTGTCCTAACTATTTTACATTACCAACCATGTTTCTAGACACAGCATTCAGTTTTGCAGCCGCTATAGTGAAAGATTCTCTTGTGACCCTTCTACTCTAGTGGTTTGGTGGGTATTTGTTTTATATTGGTTTGTTTTGCAAGACTGATATGGCAATTAAATGCTTTTGCATTAGTCTTGCCATTAGTCCCAATAGTCTTGACTTTGCAAAATCTGTGATAAAATACATGTTCATAATGCACTTTGACTGGAGCCTTTAATGAATACTCAGCCTGCAGAGTGGCACTGTGCTTTTTGGAGTATGAAGCTATCAGAGAAATGCCACTTTGGGGACCATCTGTGGGCAGTGTGAATAGCAACTCTCTTGCTCTACTGTGTGTATAGGGCTGGGTAGTCCTCGTGTCTAACTGCAAGCACCTGCCTTAGCAGCTCAGACTGTCTGGTAACAGCATGAAGGAGTAGTTGAAAAATGCAAGCTGGGCCAAGACCCTCATTTAAATGCTCTGGATTGCTCTTTAAAGGTGCCTATCCATGGCTACTGACTACATAGGGAGCCTTGAGAGACGCAGCTCCTAATTTAGGTGTCTGAGGTAGACAGTAGAAATTCTCTCCTGTGTGACCCTGCCACATGAGGCATCTTGCTTTCTTTTAGAAAGGAACTAAACCTGCCTCCTCTGTCTTTCAGAGGCCCTGCAGCACTGAACCTCAGCAAGAAGAGAGTGTTTCTCTTCCACAAGGAGGTGGCACTATTGGTTAGAGAGCAGCATTGGTTAGAGAGCAGTCCATCCTGCTTGGAGCTCCACTTCCACCAGCAGCTAGGAACGCGTGGTTCAGAGGAGTGTAAAAAGCCTTTGGTGCTCGTATTGCTCTCTGCTCTGGTTTTCATTAGGACTGTAAGGAGGGATGAGACCTCTGGCCTGTGCTAGTGCATATGCTGCCATGATAGTCCGGGATTCAGAGACACAATCCGTCTGTAGTCCTCACACCTCTGCAGGCAATCATTTATACATACAGTTGGAGTATATAACTCTGCTTTCTTCTGCACCGAAGTTAACCTACCTTTGGTTTAATGAAGAGTCATCCCACTTTTTTGAATCTATTTTTAAAAGAGACTACTCAGGTACTACTGTCCCTAACTTTTACACTTTGCCAAGCTGAAGCATCCTAGTTTTCTTAGTCCTGTAGGCTTGAACGAATAACCTTTACGTGAACATGAAGACTACAAAAGCAAGCACTTACAAGTGAACATTTCTTACTCTGTAAGATGCCTGTAGAGCCTGGCTCTAACTTTTGTGCTGTGTAGGCAGCATGGCACAGCCTTATGCATGGAAATTTATACATGTGGTTAAAAATTCAGACTTGTCATTGCTTGCACTGTGGTTGGATTTGAGACTGAGAAAAGTAGGAGATAATCTTGCCAACCTCTTATTTGTGAACTTCTGTTTGATGGGACTTATTTGGAGGGTTATGTGGCTTCTGCCCTGCTCCCGCAGCCCAATTCTCTGGCTTCTGCTGTCCTTCTGAATTACTCCTAGCCATCTTGGAAAACCTCACCCATAGTTTGGGGTTTGTTGATGAGGAATTTTCATCTCTGTGTTATGTAGTGCTGTTCTGCTTTCATTTCAGGACAACTGGATTGGGTAGGAAAGTTGTTTTCCAATCTGTGTATGAAGTACAAATCCTGGAGAGGCTGTGCAACAGCTTGTACTTCTAACATGAAGTTGGAGTTTTATACACAGAAGTATGCCATTCTTTTTCCACAAATATGCCAGATGGTCTAGTAGCAAAAACTGTTTATAAGCTTGTCTCTAATTTAACTACCACATTCTTGATTTAATAATTCTTAACTATTGGTCATTTTTATAGCATATGTGTATTGATAACAAGAAAACAGATTTTTCTTTTCGGTTGAAATAGGATTTTACTAATCTAATTCAAATGAAATGGTTGGAATTAAGGCGAGATTTAGTACTAAAGAGTTCTTTTCCTCCTATTGTCTGATTATTAGCAGAAAAAATAAAAGGTATTTTCAGATTGATGACCTATGGATTACTTCTAAAAATAAATAGTAACTTAAAAAAAACCACAGCCCTTCAGTTTGTTTTCTTCCTAGCACTCACTTTGATCTTTTCATGTATTCTTTACTCATGTTTCCTTTTCTCTTTATCTTTTACCAGTTTACCAGGAGTGAAAAATATACAATGGATCCAGACATCTTAAATGTGTTTACACAGCCTGCTGCCCTTAATCAGTTCCTTGTTGAGAATGTCTTCACTCCAGGTACATACTTTGTGAGCCAGGACAGAAAAAGGTCCAAGGAATGACCTGAATTGCTAAGCAGAAAACTTGCAGTACAAATGAATTGTTTATTTTTCAGCAGCATTCCCATGGCTTTATCAGCAACAAGTAAACTCTGTGTGTGTGGTTAATTTAGCCTCTCACTCTCTACTCTCTCGAGGCAGGTCATTAAGAAATGACACAACTCACAACTTCTAGCTGATCCTTTAACTGAGATTTAAATTTTATACATGCCCAAGGTTTATTTTTTTTTAATTTGTTTCCAGAATTGTCCCTGTAGATTTTATTGATTTGAATTAAATTGAAACATAATTTCTGACAGCAGTCATAATAGTCTGCTTAGCCATTTTCTTCCTCACAGAGAATCAGTTAAAATAAAAAAAAATGACAGTTTCTACGTATGTCAGTTAGTGATACTGGATAATGTAAAACCAACAGCAGATTTTACAGAAAACTTGAGTCATGTCTGATAATTTTAATGGATCTTGTTTACTTCCTTTCATAGGAGAGAAGAAGAAACTCATAAAACCCACTGCAAGCAACAATCCGAAATTGGAGGAGTTAAAACTGGTACCGTTTCTTTTGCTATAGCACTTAACCCTCACTTTGTGTTGCTATCACCTACTGCATGGTTGTTCAGCCATGTAAATTACCTGGCTCCTTGGCCCCCGTCCCACCCACTCTCAGGACGTGGACATGTCCTGGTGCTGGCACTTGATCTGTGCAAAAGGGAGCCAGGGCTTTTGCCAAGTGCAACTCCAAGCTTTTGAGTGCTGATAGTGCACCAGAGTGGTCACTGCTGTGTGTGAAATGGAGGGTAGGTTTAAAATCTGAGTTCTTTGCATAATCTCTCTTGTAACCTGGGACATATGGATGAGTTGCACCTGAAGTACCTGGTTGTGACTTCACTGTATCAGTAGCGTAATGGCAACAGGAATCCAACTGAGACAGATGGATTTGAAAGCAAATCCATGTCAGCACTTGCTGTGACTAATGGGAGATGTTTGAAAACATTCAGGTTGGCTTTCCTGATCCCATGATAACAGGCTGTGGGATTGCAGTGCTGATTGGCAGCAGTCTTCTCTTTTGTCCTCTGCCTCCTGTCTGCTGGCTACCAGTGACCACCAGCTTGGGGCAAGCTGTGGTGCAGCCTGAAGGGGATAAGACAGCAGAGTAAGAAGGGGTGAGGGTATGCAAGTCACCACTGGAATTCAGGAGTAAAGCCTTCAAGCAGCTGTGCAGTTCATTGTCTTCTTGAGGTAGCTGTGAAGGAATCCTATTTCACAGGAAAGTGCTTTATTTCTGAGCAATTTTGAAAATTCCCCCGTGCATTCAATCACTGCGTTTTTCTAATGCCATAGCCCGGGGGAAGGCTAGCATACTGAAATTTCCTGGAAGAAAAGTGGCATGTCTCTTTTGAAACTGGCACTTCTTGCATTATGGAGATCCTAAAATGTTATTAATGTTGCAAAAACAAGCTTAAGCTTTGTGTTGATGTGTGTGTTATATGGCATTCATAAATCCATAAATATGTGTGCTTCTATATTACATTTTCTTAAACATTCATGCACATTTGATCAAAAAGATTTAATTTTTGTGTCAGGCTTTCACAATGTTTTTATATTTAGGAGAACATCTGAAAGGTAGTGCTGCAAAATGCAATTATGTTGTCTACGTCGTCACTGAATTTGTTCTTTTCAGACTGACAAAAATGAAGAGATTTCCATGCTATATGAAGATTTCTGTTAGCTTCAGTGCTTAATCCATTTTCTCTTAGAGACTCCTGAAAGACTGTTTTTCATTGTCTAATTTCCTCTCTATGGAAGATGGGGAGGTAGAAATTGGGACCCAAAGGAGGGAATCCTATGGGTGCCCACCAGTGCCACCACTAGCCTTCTTGATCTGAAGAGTTTGTGGCTCCTTCAGAGAAGAGGTTGGAGTGTGGGGGGACATGGAGTTACTTACCTTTGAGGGAAGAAAAAGGGAAGCAAAGAAACTCATTTGGGAAAATAACCGTTTTGCATTGCATTTTTGTTTTGAAAGGTTTTTGGGAACTAGGAAATGTGAAATGGCTTGCTGTAGTGACTATAAATATTGACCAGCATGTAAAAGAGAATATGGTTACATTTAGAAGCCAGTAGCAAATGTCTTTAAATATTCCTTTTCTGATTTACTCATTTTAGACACAACTCTGCTCTACAGCTGAGTAGAGCCCCAATAACTGGGCTTGAAAGAATTGTCTGAGCTGTAGGCTGTGGCCATGGCTGTGAAGAGCTGAGGTAGCAACAAGGAATCTCAGATATCCATGTCTAGCAGTACTTTCTGCTTTTCTGACTTCCACCTGCCTGTACTGTGACACCTGGGGTACAGGTTTATCCCTTGCACATCTACAGCATCACCAGATCTTAACCTGCAAGCTGAGGAGCACAGCTTTCTGCTTTAGAAGACGGTGTATACTTATTAGTTGAGGAAGTATGCTACACATGCTTTGTCAGATCCTCAGTTCAGGGAAGTGCCTGAGCTAGGCTTTTTTTTTTTTTTTTTTTTTCTCCTCAAGCAGTTTCAAGCATCTCAGAGATTTATATTTTATTTTTACAAACAATTTCTTATATTTTTGTTACTGTTGGCTAACTTACAGGGGTTTGCTATGAATTGTCTTCTGTTTACATCAAGTGAGGAGGGTGTTGTCCATACAACAAACTCCAAATATTCATTTACAGTGATAACAATATCAGTATGAGCAATATCCATCCCTTTGAAAGTAGTTCTTATTTACAGCCAGCTGGTGCTGCTGCTTTTCAGTTCTGCTTCAGCAAATCCTCTTCCCTTTCCCCTTACCTTTCCCCCAAATCCTCCTTCCCTGAAGCCTTTTCCCTAATAGAATTGGGAATAGGGTCTGCTTCTCTATCTGTATATTTATTTCTACAAAATTCATAGGAATATAACTTGAGGTGTATACCACGCTTAAAAATTTGCCTCAAATTGGCCAGCGAGCCTTGTGTTACTAGGGAGAACTAACTGCCACTTAACTTTCCTTTTCTTTATAAAAGAACCAAGAAGCACAAAGGAAGTAGAGGTTGAAGGCAAAATGAGATGTGAGATAAGGGATGAAAGAAAGAGGTGAAACACAGCATAGCACTGAGGAGTTGTCCAAACAACAAGAGTCTAATTCTCAGCTGCTTTGTTTTCCTCCACAGTTATTGATTGACTGGATTAACACAACTCTGAAACAGGAGCACATAGTAGTTAAAAGTCTGGAAGAAGATCTGTACGATGGACTGGTACTTCATCATCTCTTGGGTAAGCTGCCTCTTTGACTTGAGCTTGCAAATAAATCTTGGAGGAACTTTTTGAAGAAAGAATAAACATCCTCTTGAATGGAAAAAGCTATGAACATTGTGATAATGGTAATTCTGAACAAATGCCTGATGATCCACTATTGTTTTATACAATTATTTTTCTTCTCAGAAAGTCTTTTTGTCTGCTAGTTAATATCATAAAAAAGTTGGAAGTGTGAAATTACAGTCCTTCTGAAGGTGACTTGTGATGCTGCCAGAAGCATTGGATGGGATCAGGGGATCAACACTATAATTCATGTTTTCCAGCTTGGAAAAAAAAATAAAAAGGAAAAAAAATAAAAAGAAGGAAGTAAAAGTTTCCAGGTCTAATACACTGAGCTGGAACTGGTGAAAATCTAAGAGGCTCTGTGTGTATACTACAACGTGCTTTTATATGTGCTTTTTATATGTGCCCTCTTGGAACGGCCTCTTGAACCATTTCTGTTTCTCTGTCTCTCCTGTTTCTGCTTTATTTTTCTTTCTCCTTTCACTCTCTTTGGGGATGCCTTTCAAGTCATATCTCCTTTTTCCCAAGGCTGAAGAGAGCAGTGTGAATTGGATTGGCTTATTTTCACAGTTTTCTTGCCTGAGCTGGATTTCTTCTATATATGTGAGTTGGTATGGCCTTTGTGCAGTATCCCCAGGAAGGATTCACTTGTCAGATTCCTGTAGCTTCCACTAGGAAATGGAGCAATGTGGAGTGCATTGTGTGGATGGGGGATGCTGCTGTAAGGAATGGGCTGAGTACTTCCCCGTGAGTAGAGCTTCACTGATTTTACTGAGGCTTTCAGAGAGTTCAGGAGTTTAACAAGGCATATGCCTGTGGGTCATGGGTCTGTGCCATGGAAGCTATTAAATGGTACTGGTATTTAATACAAGACTTTGTGTGCTTTATTATGACTTCATATATATATATATATATATATATATATTATTTTTTTTTCTTATTTTTTTTTTTCCCTCTTTGGTGGTGTTAAATGCAACCTTATTGATATGGGCTCTCTGTCAAAGAAAAACTAGGATCTCTCAAGCTGGATGTTGACAAGATTGCATTAACAGAAAAAAAACAGCGGCAGAAACTCTCCGTGATTCTGGAAGCTATGGATAAGTGTTTGCAACTGGATGAAAGTCAGCTGAAATGGAGTGTGGAATGTAGGTTCCGAAGTGAAATGGGACAAAATTATTCACCCCAGGGCTTCCCTGGTTATAAGACTGCTGTGAGGCAAAGGGGTGCCAGACCAGTAATTTAATGATCTGTTTGCAATTACTATTTGAATCACAAGTGAGACAGGAATATCTGATGCTGACTGGGTGCAACTCCATCCTCTGAGATTGTGGCTTAACAGCCCTCAACATCCTTGTGTATGTCTCACAGAAAGGACTTTTAATTTGTGTTATTGCTGAATCGTCATGATATAAACTCCAACTCAGTGTCCTGCCTGTGCTATAGCCCTTGATGACTGTGGGATGCTCTGCACAGGGATATTATTTAGGATATTATGATGAGGTTTAGTTGTTTTGCACACTAAATGTTGTTTATTTTCTTTACATGGAATAGCTATCTTAACAAAGGACTTACTGAGCACCCTGCATCTTCTGGTCGCAATAGCAAAGCACTTCCAACCTAGTCTGGCTATTCCTCCAAATGTTCAAGTGGAAACAATCACTGTTGAGGTAATTATAGTTTTAATATTTGTCACTGAAGATCCTAGAGACTTAGTTTGTTTAGAATTAGGGAGAATTGTGTGTGCAGCTGTAAAAGAGAGATTTTTATTTTCTGTGAACTATGCCCTTTAATTTAATGACAAGACCATCATTTTATACTCAGTTCAGATACTGTAACTTTAAAAGGATGGAAACACTATGCCATTTTTTCTCCTTGATCCAAAAATGGATGGTTCAAACTGAAAACAGCTGTTGATCTCTGTAAAGAAAAAAAAAAAAAGAGGAGGAAATTTTGCTTGTGCTATCTCTAAGTGTTTTAAAGTAGAAGCCTGCACTCTTTGATCATGACATTAGTTTAATTATGAGGATTTGTTTCTATAGTGAAAGGGTGTCTTTACTGTCCATTAGGGTCACATTTTGATATTTTTCTCTACAAGCTGAAATCTACATTCTTTCTTCCTCTGTTGTGTTTCTTAAAGTCAGCTCTGGGACTTCAAGAGAACATCACATAGCCCACAATTTGGGATACAATTGCAAAAATTAGCACCACTGTGTCACAGTTTTAACAGTACGGTTGCAATTCATTCATGTTGGAAGTTCTGCACACTGTATGGCATTACCTAACACATTGCCTCTTTGGAGGATCATAATTGGAACTGGGACCATGTATGCACTTAAGCTGTGTATTTCACTTTAGGAGGTTTCAAAGTGTCCAGCAGGGACAGCCTTGTCTGGGACCCCATCCCAGCCTACCACTTAAGCACAAATAGACCCTCAGATTTCTAATTGGAGTCTAATTGCATGCTGCTGTGCCACAGTCAGATGCTCTTGTCATGTGGATCCATTCCATCAGTGAAAAGTCAGACTCTTTGTAAAGGAGCACTTCCTCTAGTGCCCTGTGTGGCTGCAAGTGCCTCAGCTGCGCAGAAATCAGGTGGGATTATCTATGAAACCACAGCATCAGCAATGGATATTAGCCCTGAGAGATAAACAGAGAGAGAGAGAGGAGTAGCTATGGAAATGATGGGGTTATGGTTATGAGCTGGTTCTTCATAGGAGAAATTAATGGACCCAATGGAACAGTAATTGTTAGGTGAAAAGTGAGGAAAGCCCATGAGGCATAGGCTTGGAAGAGGGGATTGAGAGTGTCTTAGGGCAGGAAGGGAAAATTGTTGAGGAAGGTGATAGATGCAGAGGGAAAAAGGTATAAGGACATAAACACATTGTGCCCAAAGAAAGGCAATGAAGCTGGTGAAGGCTCTAGAAAACAAGTCTTATGAGGAGTGGCTGGGGGAACCCGGGTTGATTAGTTTGGAGAAAAGAAGGCTCGGGGTTGACCTTATTCTGCTTTACCTTAAAGGAGGTTGTAGCAAGGGGGAGATGGGGCTCTTCTCTCAAGCACCAAGTGATGAGGGGAAATGGTCTCAAGTTGTACCAGGGGTGGTTTAGTTGGGTATTAAGAGAAATTTCTTTACTGAAAGGGTTGTGTGGCACTGGAACAGGGAAGTGGTTGAGTCACCATCCCTGGAGGTCGTCAAGAAACACTTAGATGTAGAACTTAGCAGCATAGTTTTGTGGTAGACTTTAGTACTAGGTTAAGGGTTGCACTAGATGATCTTGGAGGTCTTTTCCAACCTGAATGCTACTATGATTCTGTGATTCTGTAAACAAAGGCCCAAAGTACCTTCAGAAACAGTGAGAATCACCATCTTAAATCTAAGCAACCCACCAAACCTAAGTCCTGTGCAAGAGGATTTGTTGATGGGTTGTAGGCTATGGAGCAAGGTCGTCACAAGAGAGAGGTGAGCATCTGTGGTGCTGTAAAACTGAACACTTAATGCAGGGAGGCTCACAAAATAAATCAGTGTCTGCCCTGAACAGCTTATTACATTCATCAAGGCTCCAAGTGAATGGGTCAGTGTCTGAACTTCACCAGCTGAGGGGCCTCATGCTTTTGCTTTGGCTTCCTCTGCTGGGGAAACAGGTCATTTGTGGTTGAAGAGTGAAGAGAGCAGAAGGGAGCAGTAATCTCTGAAAGTGCCTATACTAATTGTACCGGACTTCTTAAATAAATGCTCTCTGGTAATCATTTAAGACAGCAAACAGTTTGTGAAAGTGTGATTAATGCTTTCAGATTTTTGTGTGTAACTAAACCAAAAATACTTTTTTGCTTAACAGAACACCTCCAAAGGATTAAAGACGACAAGTGCAGTGGAGTATATCACAGGAAGCAAGTAAGAAGAAATGTATCTGGTTTGTACACTGTCAATCAGAAAGGAAATACTGTGGGTATTTTCCCCTTAGAAAAAAAAGCTGGCATCACAATGATGACAAAAATCGTGAAACTAGACATGTATATATGCATGTGAACTGTTTCTGGTTTGTTTCCTTTTTTTTTTTTTTTTTTTTTCTCTTCAGATTGGGTATTAGGTTATAATACCCTCCTGTTCTACTCTTTATTTAAACTTCTGTAAGAAAATGTATATAAGTATTTCTGAGGTTGATATTGTCAAGGACTATAGTAACATATAGTAATAGACATCTAGTACTATAAATTTGTACAAAAAAAAGTCCCCAATTAAACAGGAAATTTTATAAAGCCACAGTAGTTTAAATCTACTATTAATTCATTGCTATTGTGCCCATAATTTAAGATAAATTAGTCAGTTTTTTCCTTATTTTACTGTTGAAGAAATAAGGTTTGAGCTTGTTGAGTTTGTGAGGTGCTATCATTATTAAAGGAGTTGAATAGTAGGATACCGTTTATACACTGAGATAATACAGAGATCATTCCAAGAACTAGAAACAGATTTTTCTACTGTCGTCTTTTATACGTTAGAACATCTTCAAATTCTAATATCATGAGCAGCTTATTGAAAGAGGTTATTATAGATTGTGCTTATAAAATAGATGTTCGTTAGGCGAGTTAAAAACTCATATGCTTCCAGATGCCTACACAGATACATAGTGTGTTTAAAAATGTCTGTTGGAAAGTTACTCTAACATAAAGTTAATGGCACTTTGTACTGTATCTCCTGCTTTACAAGATGCCTGATGGTACAGATAAGCTTTGTTTATGAATAAGATTAGTTCTGCTGAATGCTTTTTCTAACTCTTTCTTTTTATTGCACCTCTAGAGAGAATTTAGAAGAGCAGTCAAGTAAGTATTGGCATAGCCAAATTCAGTGTTGCTCTGTCTGAGATTCTGATCCATTTTTACCTCATGAAAAAATCAGTGTGTTCCCACTACATTTAGTGAAGATTCATGGATTTCTCCTAGCACTTTTTTTCCAAATGACTCCTGTTAGAGTATGTTGAGATCAGCACAATATAGTTTGGAGATGGGGTGGTTGCTTTGCTCACAGATTGTGGGCAAAATATGGATGGGTTGTGAGACAGAGAATGATACAGTGGGTTGATGATCCAGCAGAGAAGCCCCGAGTAAGGGACAAAGTATGCCTTGAATTAAAAGAAATAATCAGTGTGCACTGATCACATTCTCTCTGTTGGAACTACTTATGAGTACAGTGCCATGAGGATTGTGCTTCTCATTGCCTGTAAATAGTTCCAATGTCATTTCCTTTCTGCAGCTTGCAGATGAGATTCTGGAATCTGCTGGTGGGAGGCACCTCAGTAGAACAAGCAGCTTCCACAGAGATTTTACCCTTAGGGCTTTCGAGGGGCATGAAACACCTGAGGTGAAAAATGGCCATGTGTGCAAAGCATGCAGGAGGTATGGGCACTGCTTAAGCTTCGGTGTGAGGCTTTTGGTTTGTATACCATGAGCTGTTCCTCCTTTCTGGAAAGGAGCACATTTCATCACCAATGAATTAGAGCAACTGTTTAATTCTCTGCTGTGCCCTTTATGTTAACATTTTAATCCTTCGCAGAGGTGCAAATGTATCATATGTATTTATCACTTATTCTGCTGAGTGGCCTCTAGTGTGGGCTGAAATAGTGAAAAAAAAAAACCTATAATTAGGTATTTCTTCCAGTAGGCTTATTCTGCTGGAAAGAGAAATCTGAAATTCACTCTTTGGAATGCTGTCTCTATTTTTAAAGCAGCTTGCTTAATAAAGAACAAAGTCCCAGAGCATGGCTCCAGAAGAGGACTCTCTAGTTGGTGAGACTATTGCGGGCTGCAGACTGTGGCTCAGAACTGTGACGGATCCACCTGTTTCTTAACAGTGCTCCTGCAGCAACACCCTAACAGGGAAGGAGGGCAAACCCAATGAAGCTTCTTCACAGCAGGGGCTTCTCTGTTTCTGGCTTTTAGGAGGAATCTTCCTTAAGCAAAGCTGTACTTGCTTTCCTGCACTGTAGAAACCCATTCTCCAATTAGTTTTGCTGCTAGAACTGGTGCAGCACAGATCTTGAGAATCTCTGCAGGTGAGAATGGGAGAGCTGAATGAAACAAATTGTTTTTTACTGATGTAATCAGGCCAAAAGGAAGCCTCTACTACTGCCCCATGTTAAATTCAAAAGTAGGATTTTTTCCCCTTCTCCCTACAGTTTTTGTTCTTCCCTGGCTTATAAGGTGTGATCACTTTTTTCCTCAAGCCTTCTTAAACCTTTGATATGACAGTTGTTCCAAATAATACCAATTAATGTTGTTTTGATGCAGCAGATGATGCCTTTGATGAATTATTTAGCCGTGCTCCAGATAGGCTGGATGATGTAAAAAAGGTAATTTATTTATTCTTTAACAGACAAAATCTGTAGGGTAAAACATAATTCATAACTTCACTGAATAAAATTCTCCTTCCTTCCCCTCTCTACTCCCCTTATTTTTTTCTTTAGGTATTTTTGCAATTTGTCAACCAGCATGTTGGAAAATTAGGATTAAATGTGAAAGACATGGAATCTCAGGTAGCCTGCTCTGAGCTGTATGTCAACATGTTTTGTCATTCGAGTGTTTCCTCTTGCCATTAGGTTTCCTCCTTTTTGTTGTAGCAGTTTTTTCTTGGCAACATCACAATTATATCTAGCTTTGGGTTAGGATGTGAGGCTTTAGTCTCTGAAGTTTCTGAAGCTATTAAGTAGTGGTAAAATATAACGTTGTATTGAAGAGTGCATGGTCCTTGTAATGCTACAGGGAGTCATTTTCAGAGTCCAGTTTTCAGAGAACTCCTGAATATTCTTTCTGTCAGGATGGAAATGACAATTACACTGAAAGCCAGGTTGGTTGCTGGTGTTTAGTAATCCTTAATGCTGGATTTGCTTTAGGGTAGGAAGGCCTGACTTCCATTAAATTTCAAAGCCCCATCCTCTGAACATCAAGCTTCTTTAGAGTCCATGAAGTTGCAGAAGTGCTCATTGCACACCTGAGGATCACCTTCCCAGGTCCCATAAACACACCTATGCTGTCTTTGGGGAGTGAGCAAACATGAACTCGGGGACATCCCCAGTGGCATTTTCTTTCTCTGCTTCTGCAGACATGTGCATAGTAATGACAGAAGAAATCAGCCATCAAGTCCTGCTTTGCTTCAGTCACTCAGCCCCTGGATGCAGTGTCAGTCCCTGTGATTTACGCTGCATAGATGAGGAGTGGGGCCATGCTCCATCGCTCTTCTGGGTTTTCCTGGTGGACAGCTGTGAGGAAGGAAATTCTGAGAGGGTTTTGTCATAAATCTCAGCCCCTAGGCATAAGTGTAGTCACGTGTTTGCTGGTTGTGGTCGTCTGAAGTCTTTTCACATCTGGAACAATTTGTTTTAATAGCTGTCCTTTTGCAAGGTCATATTTTTACTAATATGAGCTTAGCAACATTACATAAGTACATACAAAGCTCACTGTTTAAGAGGTCAAGAAAGCTGAGTCATTGGACCATCTGGTTGCTAGAGTACCATTGCAATTCTTTTATCACTAGAATGGCATTTATCTGAAGAATGTACTAAAAGCCCACATAATAAATAATATTCAGATTGTTCCTTTTTTCAGTTTGCAGATGGAGTTCTCTTACTTTTGTTAATTGGACAACTGGAGGGTTACTTTCTGAATTTAAGGGATTTCTTCCTGATTCCAGCCAGCACCACAGAGATGGTAACTTGTTATTTAATCATTTAGAGCTTGAAGCTTCAAACATCTTGTGTATTTATTGCTTCCATATGCCAGTGAAGAGCCCTATGTCTTACTGTTACTCCTGCCACTTAGAGTCATATGTGCATGGTATTTGCTGATAGTTCTTTGGGACAATCCAAAAGCAGGCTTTAGGTACTGTTGAAGTACTTTGGGACAGGTTGTTTCTCCTTCAAAAACTAAATATTGTCTCATGTGAGGCAAACTATTATTACTTGCGTTTATTTAGGTAGATACATGCTTCTGAAGCCTTCCAGTGCAAATCAGAGGCTCTCTGTGGCAGGGAACTGATGTGCTATCCTCCTACAAGTCTGTCCTACAATTGACATCTTTAACCAGATGACATACTGTGCAAAACAGAACTGGATCCATATAGCTTTCCTTATGCCATACCTTAACTGAGACATGACCAGAACATTTTGAAAGTCCCCTCTGTGCTTCAGAAGCTTTTGAGAATCTTTTCCTCTCCCAAGGCTGGGAGCTGTAATCTACCCAGCCAGCTTTGCCTGGCTCCATTCTCAACCTCCAACAGGCATATTTTATCAGTGCTTCCAAAGAAAAAAAAAGGATCAACCAGAAGGTAGTGGATGTTGGGATGCTGCTGTGAAAGCCTCATCCACAGATCCATGATATTGAAATATTTTTGGATATTTGAGATATTTGCCGAGGCGATCGGCTCCGGGGCAGACGCGTTCTGCAGCGGAGCGGGGGATCGGGCCAGGCAGGGCTAATTTTTCCGGCATCGAGCCTACTTGAGGGAGCCGCCAGGACCCGGCAGCCCTCGTGAGGGAGGCTGACGAGGCGCAGGCGGAGCCAGCAGCGCCCCCTCCCCAGCCGTTCAAAAGCTGCCCCTAGGGAGCGCGAGCGACTAGGAGTGCGGCGAACAGGGCGGGCAAACAGGGCGTGGCGCGTCAGAAGGGAGTGGCGCGGCAGTTAGCGCGGCAGTTCGCGCAGGCAGGGCGAGCAGGAAGGGCGGAGCGCTCCCCCCGCCCATACGAACACCTCCTTAACAACAGCTGTTCGCTAGGCGATAATGGTCTCCACCAGGCACGGTGCGCTCTCCAGGAAGTCGGTACACACCCAGACTGACTACCCGTTAAAAAACTACCCGTTCAGGTCACCGGATGCAGGGAGTGTCTGAGCCTGTTGCTGCTGTCGGCGGGAGGCAGAGAAACTGCGTGCGTGAGGTGCGAGCAGGTGGATGACCTGATCCGCATGGTGGCGGAGCTCAAGGAGGAGGTGGAGAGGTTGAGGGATATCAGGGAGTGTGAGCGGAAGATAGACTGGTGGAGTAACTCCCTGCAGGGCTTCAAGGAGAGGTATCGAGGTGAGACACCCCAAATGGGGGTGGAGCCCCTGCCCTGCCTCCGTCGGGCAGAGGGAGGGGACCTGGAAGTTGAGGAGGAATGGAAACAGGTCCCTGCTCGACATCGCAGGCGATGCCCTCCCCTTCCGGCCCCACCTTCCCAGGTGCCCTTACGCAACAGGTTTGAGGCCCTGGAGCTCGACAGACCGGTGGGTGAGGAAGAGGTAGCAAGTGTTCCCAGGAGGATGCCTAGGGCGAGGAGGTCGACTCCACGCCTCAGGACTGCCTCCATCAAGAAAGACAGGAGGGTTATTGTTGTTGGAGACTCTCTTCTTAGGGGAACAGAGGGCCCTATTTGTCGGCCTGACCCCTACCCATAGGGAAGTCTGCTGCCTCCCTGGGGCCAGGGTCAGGGACGTTGCCAGGAAGCTTCCCAACCTGGTACGCCCCTCTGATTATTATCCTCTTTTGATAGTCCAGGCAGGTAGTGACGACATTGAAGAGAGAAGCCTGAAGGCTATCAAAAGAGACATCAGGGGACTGGGACGGTTAGTGGATGGAGCGGGAGTGCAGGTGGTGTTTTCATCCATCCCTACTGTGGCAGGGAGGGGTACAGAGAGGACATGGCAAGCCCACCTGTTAAAGACGTGGCTCAGGGGCTGGTGCCAATGCAGAAATCTTGGGTTTTTCAACCATGGGGCGCTTTACTCAGCACCTGGCCTGATGGCCGCAGATGGGTCCCTATCTTTTAGGGGAAAAAGGATCCTGGGCCAGGAGCTGGCAGGGCTCATTGACAGGGCTTTAAACTAGGTAAGAAGGGGGATGGGACTGAAGCAAGGATTGTTGGAGCTGTGCCAGGGGAAACAATAGCAAGGCCGGGGGATGAGGTAATGGCCCAGCTGAAGTGCATCTACACCAATGCATGCAGCATGGGTAACAAACAGGAGGAGCTGGAAGCCATCGTGCAGCAGGCAGGCTACGACTTGGTTGCCATCACGGAGACATGGTGGGACCAGTCTCATGACTGGAGTGCTGCAATGCCTGGCTATAAGCTCTTCAGAAGGGATAGGCAGCACAGGGGTGGTGGTGTGGCTCTCTATATTAGATTGTCTTTCGATGTTGTAGAACTCGAGGCTGGGAATGACAAGGTCGAGTCCCTTTGGGTTAGGATCGGCAGGGACAACAAGGCTAGTGTCCTGGTCGGGGTCTGCTATAGACCGCCGAACCAGGATGAGGAGACGGATGAGGAGTTCTACAGGCAACTGACAGAAGTTGTGAAATTGTCAGTGCTTGTACTTGTGGGGGACTTCAACTTCCCTGACATATCCTGGAAGCACAACACAGCCCAGAGAAAGCAGTCTAGGAGGTTTCTGGAGAGCGTGGAAGATAGCTTCCTGACGCAGCTGGTTAGTGAGCCTACCAGGGGTGGTGCCCCGCTAGACCTTCTCTTCACAAACAGAGAAGGACTGGTGGAGGATGTGATTGTCGGGAGCTGTCTTGGGCAGAGTGACCACGAAATGGTGGAGTTCACTATTCTTGGCGAGGCCAGGAAGGGGATCAGTAAAACTGCTGTATTGGACTTCCGGAGGGCTGACTTTGAGCTGCTCAGGACACTAGTTGGTAGAGTCCCTTGGGAGGCAGTTCTAAAGGGTGGAGGGGTCCAGGAAGGCTGGGCACTCTTCAAGAGGGAAATCTTAATGGTGCAGGAACGGTCTGTCCCCATGTGCCCAAAGACGAGCTGGCGGGGAAGAAGACTGAGAACAGAGAATTGTGGCTTGAGCTTAGGAGAAAAAAGAGGGTTTATAATCTTTGGAAAAGTGGGCAGGCCACTAGGGAGGACTATAAGGATGTAGCGAGGCTGTGCAGGGACAAAATTAGGAAGGCCAAAGCTCATCTGGAACTCAATCTGGCTACTGCTGTTAAAGATAACAAAAAACGTTTTTATAAATACATCAACACAAAAAGGAGGACTGAGGAGAATCTCCATCCTTTACTGGATGCGGGGAGAAAGTTACAAGAGATGAAGAAAAGGCAGAGGTGCTTAATGCCTTCTTTGCTTCAGTCTTTAGCAGCAATACCAGGTGTTCTCTGGATACCCAGTACCCTGAGCTGGTGGAAGGGGATGGGGAGCAGGATGTGGCCCTCACTATCCACGAAAAACTGGTTGGTGACCTGCTACGGCACTTGGATGTGTACAAGTCGATGGGGCTGGATGGGATCCACCCAAGGGTACTGAGAGAACTGGCAGAGGAGCTGGCCAAGCCACTATCCATCATTTATCAGCAGTCCTGGCTATCGGGGGAGGTCCCAGTTGACTGGCGGCTAGAAAACGTGACGCCCATCTACAAGAAGGGCCGGAGGGCAGACCCGGGAAACTACAGGCCTCTCAGTTTGACCTCAGTGCCAGAGAAGCTCATGGAGCAGATCCTCTTGAGAGTCATCATGCGGCACTTGCAGGGCAAGCAGGCAATCAGGCCCAGTCAGCATGGGTTTATGAAAGGCAGATCCTGTTTGACGAACCTGATCTCCTTCTATGACAAAGTGACGCGCTGGGTGGATGAGGGAAAGGCTGTGGATGTGGTCTACCTTGACTTCAGCAAGGCTTTTGACACCGTCTCCCACAGCATTCTCCTCAAGAAACTGGCTGCCCTAGGCTTGGACTGGTGCACACTTAGTTGGGTTGGAAACTGGCTGAATGGCTGGGCCCAAAGAGTCGTGGTAAATGGAGTCAAGTCCAGTTGGAGGCCGGTCACTAGTGGCATCCCCCAGGGCTCGGTGCTGGGGCCGGTTCTCTTTAATATCTTCATCGATGATCTGGACGAGGGCATTGAGTGCACCCTCAGTAAGTTTGCAGATTACACCAAGCTAGGTGCGTATTTCGATCTGTTTGTGGGTAGGAAAGCTCTGCAGGAGGATCTGGATAGGCTGGACCGATGGGCTGAGGTCAACTGCATGAAGTTCAACAAGGCCAAGTGCCGGGTCCTGCATCTGGGGCGCAATAACCCCAAGCAGAGCTACAGGCTGGGAGATGAGTGGTTGGAGAGCTGCCAGGCAGAGAAGGACCTGGGAGTGATGGTTGATAGTCAGCTGAATATGAGCCAGCAGTGTGCTCAGGTGGCCAAGAAGGCCAACAGCATCCTGGCTTGCATAAGACACAGTGTGGCCAGCAGGGCTAGGGAGGTGATCGTCCCCCTGTACCTGGCTCTGGTGAGGCCGCACCTCGAGTACTGTGTTCAGTTTTGGGCCCCTCGCTACAAGAAGGACATCGAGGTGCTTGAGAGGGTCCAAAGAAGGGTGACGAAGCTGGTGAGGGGCCTGGAGAACAAGTCCTACGAGGAGCGGCTGAGGGAGCTGGGCTTGTTCAGCCTGGAGAAAAGGAGGCTTAGGGGAGACCTTATTGCTCTCTACAGATATCTTAAAGGAGGCTGTAGTGAGGTGCGGGTTGGCCTGTTCTCCCACGTGACTTGTGACAGGACGAGGGGGAATGGGCTAAAGTTGCGCCAGGGGAGTTTTAGGTTGGATGTTAGGAAGAACTTCTTTACCGAAAGGGTTGTTAGACATTGGTACAGGCTGCCCAGGGAAGTGGTGGAGTCACCATTCCTGGAAGTCTTTAAAAGATGTTTAGATGTAGAGCTTAGGGATATGGTTTAGTGGAGGACTGTTAGCATTAGGTCAGAGGTTGGACTCGATGATCTTGAGGTCTCTTCCAACCTAGAAATTCTGTGATTCTCTGATCTTTTCAAGTTGTCTGTTGTGTGGCTAGGATCACAGAGGAGACAAAAGCTCAGTTGCTGACCATGTTGGATCACTGGCACTTCTAGGAAGCTGACCAATGATGACCGTTAGTTATGTTGATGATTTTGTATGCCTGCGCACCGTAAAATCAGTGAAAGCTGTGGAACTTTTTTCCCATGAGTCACTGGACAGCTCAGAAAAATATCAAACCCTGGCTGTTTTTTCTGGATTGTGTGAATTTAGATCTCTGAAGGTGAAATGTGTCAAATCCTTTCTGCTTGAGAGCTGGCTGAGATGAGAATCTCTCCTCTGATATGATTTTCATTTGGGGTTTCCCACACAAATTAATCTTTCTCTTGATTCCCAGTCTAACCACAGTTAATCACCTTGGGCACTATTTATCTGTGATGAACATTCTCAGGGGTCCCTTACTAAATAATAAATACTTCTGTGGGGCTTTTTATTAAAACATTTAAAAGCATAACTATCTGAGACCTAGGTTCAGATTTTATCAAAAAGTCACTGTTGTAAGCTGATGATTGTTAAAGGTATTAAGAAAATTTAGGTTTTATATCTAAGATGATTCAGAACAGGAAAACGTATTTTGAAGGGTTGAGTCAAATAAAATCAAAGCACTTATTTGCATTGGTTTTCTTTCCCTTTCTCTTCCTCTGCCCTGTTTCCAAAATTGTGTGCTCTGGTTCATTGAATTAGAAGTAAACTTTTAACATTTCTAGTAACTTCATTCAGAGGAAGTTGATTACTGTTTTTTTTTTTTTTTTTTTTTTTTTTTTCATTTAATATTTTGTAGGTAATCTTTTTCTTTTTGGATTAGTCCTATTCAGGCCTTACAGATCTCTTTCAAGAAATGAGATGTCCTAAAATGTTAGGTACAAACCAGAGCTCAGACCTTCTAGTAATTCTTACGTTGTTGCATGTGCTGTTCACTGGCCCCAGAGAAGGGGATACAATGAGATTGTGTACTGGTTTGATACAATAATACACATTCTAGCAATGTTTCTTTAAAGTATTGGACTTGCAGTTGAACACTTCGCCAAAGTGATACTTACCGTTTATTTCTTCTCTATTTGTTTTAAAAAAAAAAAAAAAGAAAAAGGCGGGATGACAATATAGCTAATATAGCTAAAAATATTGAACTGCCATTGTTCAGCTGTCATTTGTACATAAAATATGTCTTTCATATGCCATGCGGCGTCTTCCTCCCAAACATTTTTGATGTTAATTGGTACAGTAAAGTGTGAAAATATAACCTTTGCTAAGATTTAAAATATCTCATTTGTGTTATAAAAATGGTGACAACCATGCACGCAATTGAGATCAGTGCGGTGCATCAACTTTTACTCAAGCTGGAAGCTTGAAGCTGATACATACACCTTGTGAATCATAAGGAGAGGGTACTGGGATGAAAGCAATGGTACTGAAGAGGAAAACAAAAACAAAAAATGAAAAGGGCAAGGAGGACATTAGAGGGGCCGGAGAGCTGAGGAAAGAAGGAGCCAAAATCCTGGAGGTGACTGGCCTGCAGGTGCAAGAAGTCCATGTTGTGAGTGGGTAGATTTGGTGCAGGTTTTCTGGGTGTTTGTTACAAACAATGAGAATTATAAGAAATTGTAAATAAGGTCTAGACCTATATTCTCATGTTGATAGAAAAGCATATGTCCTGATACAAAGGATATAATTATGAAATATGTCAGGCTGGAAACAAGGGTGAACATTGGTAAGGAGATGAAACCTGGGAGGGCGCCTATATATATATTAAAACTGCAGACTTGGTTTATTTTGTCAAAAGAGTCCTGGAGTTGAAGTACCCCAAACATCCCAATCTCTGTCAGATCGTAAATCCTAGAGAATTTGCCAGCTCTTTAGAGTCTGGAAATGCAGCTGGATGGAACAGCTTATTTTTCTAGGTTGCCTTTCTTGGGTTATCAGTATTTCTGTCTGAAGGTTTATTTTGGAATCTGCATGTTTTCTTTCCTTGTAAATCTCATATGCTTACAAAGGGAAAAATGTGACCCTTTTACCTGTGCCAGTTAAATAAGAAAACATTTTATTTATTCATTCTGATCAGAAAATTGTTTAGATGTGTATGAGCCTAAGGTCTCCCATGTGCTGACTATGAAAGGAAGAAAACAAGCTTGAGTTCAAACTGTCAGTTAGTTACTTGTATATCACAGAAGCTGGTAAAACAGAAATCTGTTACTTCACTTGAGAGCACAGTTTTTTTCTTGGCTTATGCTAGTGGGACCCCAGTACTTGTTGTCAGAAGATAATAGGGAACAGCATGGCAGCGTTTTATGATGTACCTCCTGAAGGATAAATTGCTCGGTAGCCTACGGAATGTATGAAGAAACAATTTGAAGTTCTTACAGGTATTTCATTAGAGCAAGGGAGCCTTCTAATTACCATCCAGATAAACAGCTGCCCTTAAACTAGTAAGAAGCTAGTAAGTGGGATATTATATTATTTTAAAATATCATTCATAATTACTGCATATGCCTTTGTTGCTACTTTTATGTGGGGAAGTGAAAGAAAAACAGGAGAGAAAAAATAATCAGGAAAAGATCCCCAACCGTTATTCATAGAGGTGTGCTTGATTTCTCTTGAGTAATATTAAGTAGATATCATCACTGCTGTTACCATGCATATACATCTTCATACATTAAAGCAGAAACTTCTACCTCACAAATGTAGCTAATCAGAAGATTTCTAATCTTTATAATTCTTAATGAAATATAGACATCTTTTTACTTCATTTATATATAAATATATATATAGTTCCAAATGCAGTAAGCATATGGATATTTTAAAAATTATTTTAATTTTAAAAATAAGTAGACATAAATGCCATGCATCTATTAGATCCAGTTATGAATCTAGCCTCTTTTCCCCATGGAAACATCAATTAGCACAAGGCTTTCACATGCAAGGTCTATTTTTAAATAAATGGATTGTTCTTCCCACCTCATGGGATACATTTTGTTGGAGATGGATTTTACATCTGATTTTATGTGATAATTGATAGAAGTTCTGAAGAGCACCTCCACCAAAACTAATGAAGTGAGTACATATTTATGAATCAGTATCTTACTCCAGCTATTAGAGAAATGCTTTTGAAAACATCCTGGCCCCTGTGCTGCTAGATGGAAAGTACTTTCTGTTATGTTGATCTGTCCCTCTCTCATCCACAGCTTCACAATGTTAACCTTGCATTGGATTTGCTGACAGATGGAGGTCTTCTAAATTTTTCTGTGAACTCTGAAGGTGAGTCATGACACACAGACTTGTCTGGAATAGACTTGCTAATATCCTGGCTTGCAGAAGTTAAAGTAATTGAAGAAAGTAGGTTCTGCAGTGTGGCTCTTGTGCATTTTATTATATGACTGCCTGATAGCTCCTCATTCAGAATGAATAATAATAAAGCTGAAAATTGTTTTTGAACAATTTTTATTCCTATGCTAAAAATGTTGCATTGCTATAACTTTAGTAACTTTACACTAAATTTCAACCGTTTAATAAGTTAGTATTTTTTACAGATTTAGAACAGTGGCAATTTTTAGTGAATGTGCAGCAGCTGAACTGGAGGGAAAGCTGTTTTCCTATCTCACAAAATGTTTTAGTGATTTAAAAACAAACTTGTTTCATATGGGAAGACATTTCAGAAGATGTCCTGAGGATCAGAAAGACTGACTGCTCTACCTAAAGCTAGAATAGCTGGTAGGTCATAGGGAAAATTCTCAGCTAGTGACTGAATTTAGTATGATTTAGAAGTACTTATTACAGCTATGCTATTTACTGTTAAAGGATTTCATCTGCTGGTGTTTCATTGTTAGTGTTTCTTCTGGTGATTTACAACAATGTAAGAAGAACAGTAAACTTTCTAAATCAGTTATCATCTTCCTTTGTAATTATTAAACACAAGAGCAGGTTGCCTAGCAAGAACATGGAAGCTGAAAACTAAAAGAAAAAAACCCAACAACAACACAGAAAACAAACTACAGCAGCAAAATGTCATAGAAACATTACAAGCAAAAAATAGTGTAAGGTAATTTCCAACATGAGTCATGCCACAGGAGAATCATAAAAAAAAAAAAAAAAAAAAGGTGTAAAGTCCTATTAAATTATCTACTCTTTCCTCTTGTTCTGAGCTAGCTAAGAATTATTTATTACTATGCATTATTTATCTTGTCTTCCAGCAAGATAGTGCAGCGAAAGGTCCCTTTTCCTTATGTTCATTTAATACATAAATAAATTGCTAACTCTGTGGTTCCTGTTTTGCTTTTTGTTGCAATTGGACAGTCTACGTTTGTGTTACAACTAGGCAAATGTGGAAGATTCTTTGGCTTGGATTTGGCTTGGATTCTTCCCCTTCTTCCAGGGATTGCTAATACTTCTCATCTTTTTTTGTTTTGTTGTTGTTGATGTTTGTTTGTTTCTTGTGCATCCACAGATATTGTGAAAGGAGATATGAAGTCTACAATGCGGATTCTGTATTGCTTGTATTCCAAATACAAGACTAAAGAAACATGAAGAGCAAGACCAAGAACTTGGATACTCTGTTTGCCACTGTGTATGCACTTGTGTTTGACACTTGCTGTATTGATATTGTATGTTCAAATATGTATTTGTGCAAGGTTTCACACACCCTGAGTACCTGAAAGTTAGTGCATGTCCAGGGCCAGTAAATTGTGTAGTTCTGTGTCTGTAGCTCCTTGTCTCGCTCTCTCTTGTTTGTTCTGAGACTCCCTAATGCTGCAAAGCGTAACACATGCTTGTAAAAGATTCTGGAATCTTTGCTTCTGGAAATGAATATGGAAGATGTTATTACAACCCCCCTGTGTTTCTGCTTCTGGTTTGCTCTGGAAACAGGAGAAGGGGAAAACCAACCATGGCATCTCCAGGAAGACTGCATATAGTATGAAAGTTCATGTTCAAAAACTTATTTACACAGGTGGCCAGCTGTTCTCAGACAGGAGACTGTATATTGGACACCAGATGAATAGCTAGCCAAAATGAAATTGGAACTTACCACAGTCATTGATAAAAGTTTCATCGCTTGCTCACTTGAATCTGGAAAAGGGACCTAGGATCACATGCTGATGTGAGACAGTAGTTACAGAAGGATCACCTGCACAGCTATGGAAGGATGCCCTGATTTTCTTGCTAAGCTAATGCCAAACTGGCCAGCTTCAGCCTGTTGCAGCACTAGTGTAACATGCGGCTAGCACAAATGTTGATGTCAAGCATGTTACTGCATTTCCTTCCGGACAGAGGTGGACAGCCCTTGGTTTGGCTTACTCTGCAGCTGGCAGAAGAGGGAAGCATTGCTGGAAGTAACAAAACTCAGTTTGTGTCACTTCTAACAGCATACTCATGATGTGGGAGCTCTCAGACTCTTGTGGGACTTTCCTAGCTGCATTTGTCCAGCAAACACCCTCACACAACTCAGCAGGCCCCCCTGGATGCAGCTAGCTAACCACAGTTCATGTCAATTGTCACCCTTGCTCTTTCTCTAAGGTTTTAAATCTGAGCACCTTCAAAACCTTTATCTGTTCCCTTGACCTTAAAATTATGTCATGTTTGTGTTACATAAAGCTTGGGATGTGATTAAAAAACAAAAAATCTTGATATTATTTTGGCTTCTATCTAAACTGATTTAGTTTCCTGCAGTCAGTGGCTCTGACAATTGGTCTCTGATTTGATCCTCCATCTGTGTATTAACAGGACACCAAAGCACACTGCAAGTGGTGACATTAACAGATGAGAATTTGTTATGTCTAGTTCTTCATCACCTAGCCAAAGAAAGATCCTTAGATAGCAATGATGATAAATCTTCAAGTCCTGCCTTTGAAAATGGTAATAATGCACAGCTGCTAAAGGAAAGCATTCTGCAAACTACTGTGAGCGTACTCCTTTTTGCACCAATAACTACCTTGTTACATTTTTACAGAGAAAAAAACAATGTGTGGTGTAAATAAACTGCAAGATCAAATTGCTTCCCTAACACAAATTAGTTGTATGTGACATTTTGAAAGACTTAAATCTTTCATGTGCAAGTCAAGTCTCCATAGGTATCTTGCTTTATTCCTTAATGGGCTCAAACAGTTTACCGGGAAACTTTTAAAGTTTGTTCTGGCTTCACAGATCCCTGCTGCCATTGCTGTAATATCTTAAGTAGGTTGTGCAATATGTCATTACTGAGCAGGTAAAATTGGGCTATCTCTGGTGGAGGGTAGGGGTGAGGGAGCAGAAGAGCAATTTGCAGAGATATGGTAGCAGTGCAGCCTTTTCCACCAAGTCTGTTAACCTGAATTTCGTCCCTGTTGCTTGTGACCAGAAGTCATTTCCAGTGTGTGGCTTTTTTATAGCCTCTGGGCTATGCCTTGGGTAAAGGTGGCATGGGGGGGAGGATTAGCTGGTGCTGCCTGGTTGGGAGGTTATCACTGCTCAGGGAATAGTTGATTTTTCTCTGTGTGCTCTGAGTTTTGTGGCCCACACCTCTGGTGTAAGTAAATATGGTGCTTGCACTTCTGCAGATTGTTGTCAGGGGAACCAAGTCTGATTCTTGATATTTAGTAAAAGAAAGGGTTGTATTCACTTCCCAACATCATTTTGTCTAACCCTGTTATAAACAACTCATTCTTTAGAAAACAGCTAATGTGCTTGAATAAAAAATACAGCAAGACCAAATAAGAATGTTTTAATCCGTTTTTCTATTCTATGAGCCAATTTATAACACACTTGATGTCTCTGAACATTTTGATAAGGAGCCTGTGTTTGATTCCTAAGTCATGCTACGGAATTTTACTAATCCATTGTATAGGCACCTACTTCATAAACCAGTGCAGAATATACTAGTACATTACATTTGAGATACACAGATTTGGCATGGTTTGAATAGTAAATATAAACTGACAGAGGTAAAAAGAATACTCCAACAGTATGAAACTGGGGAAAATGGAAATATATGTTATTGTTTTCAGATATTACTTTTGTCTTACATCAAGATACTGTGTTTCCATTTCCTGTTTGAAGTGTATACATGTATTAATGAAAAGCAAAGCTGCTTACTGTTTAAGCTTGCAAATTAACTGTATTTGGATGAACTAAGTTTTGAGCAAGCTTTTTCATTAACATATAAAGTTTGCAATATTCATGTTTAAGTACCAGACAGTAAACCATCTCTGATGGAAAATGGGGGTGGACTATTAAGGTGTTGAGGTTTTAATTTATTGTGTCTGTAGCTAGGTTAGGAAGTTTACCTGCAGTGACTGTTCATTTTTACAGTGAGCTCATTGACTGACTGTGTCAAAGTTTTGCTGAGAAAGAAAATACAGCCTGTTTCACTCTTAAATGGCCAGTATGTTGTCCAGGAATTTTGGAGCCAGAAAAGAGCCCTACAGCAGCTTCTGTTGTTGTCCTTGTCTCAAAGGTAAGTGACTTGTGGCCGTGTAGCAAGGCCAAGAATTGGAAGAGATCCGAAATGTTTCTGACTCCTGCTTAATTTCATTTTTCAGTTGTCCTGCCTTTCCAAAACACTCTGCCTTGTAAATATAAAGGTGTCTTTGCAGAGGTGAAGTGGTAAAGGTCTATGGAAAGAAGAGCAGGTGCAGGGGGCAGAGCTACCGTGATGAAGTGAAGTGGAAGATGCACAACAGCTTTAATTACAGCTAGTTGACCAATTACAGCTAGTTAATTACACGTAGTTGACCAATGGAAGCCAGTTGATATTCTTGGATTTCAGTAAAGCTTCTCACAATATCCTTCTGGGCAAAATGTCTAGCATACAGCTAGGTAAATACATAGTATGAGTGGTGAACAACTTGCTGACGGGTCAATCTCAAAGAGTTAGAGTATGTTGCAGGAAGAACAGCTGAAAACACGACAGACACAGGTCAGATCATGCTCCATTTTATTACCCGAATAGCCTGACTTTTACAGTGAACTTAACAGGGGCGGATAGTGTCTCACATAAGATTATTGGTCAAAAGCACTCAGACAAACAACTACAAGAAAACAACCCCACCTGCAAGAAAACAACCCCCTTGTGTTTAGCAGTCATGTAGACCTTGTCCTTGAAGCCAACTACTGGCAACAATATTTTTCTAAATTCCTCAATTGGGCAATGTGGAAACACTGTCATGGGAACTTCTCATAGTCATCCTGGTAGCTAGGTTTGCTCAGCTGCAGCAAGCCATGGGATCTTTGCTGTTTCAAAAATCCCTCAACAATTCCCCCTTTTTCTTTTTGAGCAAACCAAGCCCGATGTAACAGTTTTGCAAGTAACCCTTTAACCACATTTATTACAATACAACATGCAATGATGGTTAACACCACAACAAACAGAATCCTTAATCCCTCTTTGACTAATCCCAGTAAACATCTATGCATTGTTTCAAACAAATCAGTGAGCCATTGATTGAAAGGATTGATATCATATTGAATCTTTCTCATGTGCTCTTTCAGGAAAGAAATGGATTTGTGAATTGACTCATTATGATCAAAATGGTTTAAACAGCACATTCCCTCAAGGTCCTCACACCCATGCCTTTGAGCCAAAAGCAAGAAGTCAATAGCAGCTCGATCCTGTAAGAACACATGTTGCAGGCGATTTTGATCTGGCAACATCTCCTCAAGTATCTCTATGGTGGTATGGGCTTGCTTCTCGGCCCAGCATACCAATTTTTCTAAGTTGTTAAGTGTGGCTGCAGATGCCACTCCTGGCACTAAAATTGCCAATGCTGCCCTAGCTGCAACACCAAGTAATTCAACATTATCATTGCAATCCGGTGCGAGCAATGCCCATTTATGTCTGGTGATCTCACACAACAGTGACAAGCTAGGAGCAAATATAGTGAGTTTATCTAAGTAACATGGACCTCCGATAGCATTTACAGGGATACCTTGCCAGGCCCTACCCCCGCAAATCAGAAAAACATCAGGAGGTAAGGCCATAGCTGTAAGATTGTTCCAAATGCTATAGTTGTTGCCCTTTGTCTCCATGCCATCAGCCCCTAAAACCTGCCTAGCAGTGTCATTGTAATCACAGGTGTTAATTGTATTTCTGTACCTGTATGGCCCTTTCCAAGTTCCTGTAGCAGGATCTCGGTAATTCATTCTTATTTGTGGTAACACATTTGGTGCTGCTATATTTATTGTCTGAAAATGAATACTCGCAGGAGGGTCTTCTCAGTCACTAGTCAAACAAGTGATTCAAGACAACCAATGCCTCGGACAATCGCTCATCAATGTTCTTGATCTCTTTTAGTTTCACTAATTGTTCCTTTAAAACCTGATGTGATCGTTCAACCATCGCTTGGCCCATGGGAGAATATGGAACACTCATTTTTGGCTGAATCTGTAGGAAAATCAATTCCAGAACTCGAAAATGCTGCCCTATCATTCCACCCTTGCCATCACCTGTGTCACTTATACTACTCCTATTACCCATGCTGTTAGTGTCAGTGGCATCCTCCTGATACCATTTCTGTCTTTGTCGCCCCTTACTCTCCCCCTTCTCTTTTTGCCACTGACCAATCACCGCAAATTGAAGAGACACATGATTGCTAATTATGAAAGAGAGTGCAACAGCTACTATACGTCTGCAAGCAATGCCGGCTGCAACCTTAGAAGCTATTTGTGAAAGAGCCTGCTGGTGGTCATTTGTAAGTGTAATCTGCATCTCCGCAGTCCTGCACTGCAGTAAAGGTAGTAATATAGCTAAGTCGTCATTAGTAATCCATACAATGTGGCAACCCCACTGAATATTATCCAGGAACATTCGTACATTTATCAAGTTATGTAATACCATAGTTATATCACCTATCTGGGGATGAATAGTAGAGTCTGATATTTTCCATCTCAAGTATAGCCATGGCTGTTTCTGTTGAACCTTCTCTAGGGCTATCTTCAACCCTTTTGGTTCCAAAGTATCCCAAATAAACTTTAAATCTGAATCATGGAAGCATTCTGGCCTACCAAACCGAATGTTATCCATATAGTGGTAAATAATTACATCACACCATGCTGTCTGAATTGGTTGTAATGCCCAGGCCACATATAATTGACATAATGTAGGGGAATCCCTCATCCCCTGTAGAAGCACTAGCCATTCATAGTGCTTTGCTGGGGCCTGTTTGTTAATGGAGGGTACCATAAAAGCAAATCTCTGACAGTTCTGTGCCACCACATCTGGTTGCCTGGACTGATTGATAAATTTAGCATATGGTTCCCCAGGGGCCTGTTCTACAGATGCAAATGGAGGTGCTTTCTTTTCCTCTAGGAGACCAGGAGGAGCCCTCAGTGCAAGCTGCACAACTGTTTGGTGAATAATCACAGGGAACTGCAACTGAATCTGGGTATTGAGATAAGGACCCGTTCCCTTTACCATCTCTGCAGTAATCCCATACAAGGGGTCCCCCAGATGACACAGTTGACCCTCTTACCCCTGTGGTAACTGCAACCATTCCCTTTCAAACAATGACAATGGGGAAGGAGTTAACAATAAGCACGCCAAGTTTCAACAGTCAAGTGGACACATTGGTTTTGCCTGAAAAATGCATTGAATTATCTGTCGAGCCACCTGGGATTGTAATCCATTGTAGTCCAAAACCATTTTTCAAGCTTGTTGTACAAGCTTGCAGTCATGCGGCTGCCACAACCCAGTGCCTTGCACAGGGTTGATAATAATAGGGCAGGTCAAGGATGTAGCATGCCTATGCCCCTCTATGAAAGCATCACGTATGACGTCGGAGCACCTGTCCCTCCTTGGACAGATGGAACCTGCTGTAACAGCTGACGTTGACACGGCCAGGGGTGGCCCAGCAGTCTGGAGCGTGCCCTCAAGCATGGTCATTATTTCTCCTGAGGAAGTGGAATCCAGGTGGGAACGGAACCTGGCACTCAGATCATCAGAGAAGCCGGCTCCGTCCAAAGACACTTGTTGCAAGGTGCTCACCGTGCAATGGTTTCCCTCTAGTGAAGACCAGAAAGTCAAAGCCCCAAGGACTTTTGTGGGCTCAGCTGGAAGGTCCAGAGACACAGGATCAGAGCACCCTAACTTGTGTTCAGAGCTTATGGTTGAAAATATGTCTTTTTCTGCAGAGAGATTCCAGCTTGATGGGTCAGACATGAGCTTCAGTGTGTTTTGAGAAAGCAGAGATTTGTCCGCTCCATCCTCTGTGAAGGTGTCATTGGCAAGGACGATGCTTCTTGTAGAGAAGACACGTTTGGTAGGTCTTGTTTGACATAGCTGCCTGAAAGCAGGTGCAAGAAGCATAGATTTCTGGTCTATCTTCTCAGGTAAAGAAGTCTGTGTTGCTCTGGACTTCAGAGAATTACAGCTCCAAAGAGATTTAAAGGGAGAAATGCTGGTCATACCTTGCAATGTATCCTGAAGGGCTTTAATTTGCTCTGTCAGCCTCTGATTACAGTTTTTCAGGTGGTAGTTTTCTAGCTCAAGCTCTCTCAGCTTAAATGTTACCCACTCTTTGATCTTGGCAGCTTCCTCTTGAATAATTTTGAGTTCCTCAGTCCTCAGCTGTTTCTGTTTTGCTAGCTGAGTCTCCACTCCAGTCTGTTAATCAGGTCTTGTTTTCTTTGCAGTGTACCCATCAGCTCTTTCAGTGAAGGTCAATTTTCGCAAGCTCAGCAGCAGCCTCTCATTGGCAAAGCATCCCGAGTGGATTTATTGCTGCCTGGCAGCGGCACTGATGCTGGCAGCACAGCTTTATCAAGATTTTCCAGCACAGGGGGTGGGGAGGGCAGCCCCCACTCCCCATCAGCACTCCTCTCCGATAGTCCCTTAGTTATTTCTGCTGCTGATTGATTTATTGGAGAGGTCATACCCCGATCTGGGGTAGGAACCAATGATAAAGATCGTGTCAGCCGCATTTCCGAGGTCTCAGGTTTCATACTCGGCGGTCTGTCAGTCCCACAGTACTGAGAAAGCTTGCGCTGCTGCCATAGCCGGCTGCTGTTCGGCTTTTATACCACACAGCGCGTTAAGCACTGCAAGCCAGGTCATACATAGATCTTTATCAAACTTTCCGCTTGTGATGGTTGTATCCCGTAAATGATCTCCTACGAGCCGCCACTCATCTGGGCTAAAAATTAGAAGGATTTCCTTTAGAAAGCCCTCCGCCTGGGCCCAGTGTACCAAGGATTTGGTCTTTTTTGCATTGCAAGATACGCCTCTCTTAGAGAGAATGCTAGAGGGAAGCTGCATAGCCGCTTCCTCCATGGTTACGTCAGACAGGCTGCAGGGTCGTGATCTCCACCCCTCTGCTATGTGCCGACTCGCCACACGGGGCGGGGGGTCGTCTGCCGTTGTTTACTGACGCCTCCGATGTCCCGTAGCAACTCGATCCCGGATGTCCCGCGTCTCACCGCGATTACGTCACTTTCCCGAGTCTCACCACGATCTCGGTATCAATCAATTAATCTCCGCGTCTCACCGCGATCTCTATCAATCAATCTCCATATCTTACCGCGATTTTTCCCTGCGTCTCACCGCGATTTCTGTGTGCGGGTCGGTGCTTGGAGTTTCTCAATGTCTCTCAGGTGTTTTGGCTTCTGTCAGGTCTCTCCGTGTCTCTCAGGGCTGTCCATGTCTCTGACGCGTCTCTCAGGGCTCTCCATGCCTCTAAAGTCTCTCTGTGTCTCTAAGCGTCTCACAGGGCTTCTCCGGGTCTCTGAAGTCTCTCAGCTTCTCTCAGCGTCTGTCAGGTCTCTCAGCCTGTTCGGGCACCATGTGTTGCAGGAAGAACGGCTGAAAACACGACAGACACAGGTCAGATCATGCTCCATTTTATTACCCGAATAGCCTGACTTTTATAGTGAACTTAACAGGGGCGGATAGTGTCTCACATAAGATTATTGGTCAAAAGCACTCAGACAAACAACTACAAGAAAACAACCCCACCTGCAAGAAAACAACCCCCTTGTGTTTAGCAGTCATGTAGACCTTGTCCTTGAAGCCAACTACTGGCAACAATATTTTTCTAAATTCCTCAATTGGGCAATGTGGAAACACTGTCATGGGAACTTCTCATAGTCGTCCTGGTAGCTAGGTTTGCTCAGCTGCAGCAAGCCATGGGATCTTTGCTGTTTCAAAAATCCCTCAACAAGAGTTTAAATAGGGTTACATCAGGCTGGTGGACGGTCAGTAGTGGGGTTCTACAGGGCTCCAAGCAAATGGCATGAATCTGTGACAGATTAGGTTCAGTGTGGATATTAGGAGAAGGTTCTTTCCAATGGGTTGTCAGGCACTGGAACAGGCTCCCCAGGGAAGTGGTCACAGCACCAAGCCTGATGGAGTTCAAGAAGCATTTGGACAACGCCCTCAGACATGGCTTTATTTTAGGGTGGTCTTGTGTGGAACCATGATTTGGATTCAGTGATCCTTGTGGGTCCCTTCCAACTCAAGATATTCTATGATTTGATTCTATGATTTAATGGCTGGAGAACGTGCAGTTTGAGACAGCAAAGCATCTCCTGAAACACTCTTCTTTGTTCCTTCTAACTTATTTACATTCCTCCTGGCCTCATCATCACCAGTCTGATGTTATCGCCAACCACAGAGCTTGTCGACCCCCATGGCAACACTCCCACATCTCCCCCTTCTTTATTAACAAAGAAACAAAGAAAGCACAATTAACACAAATCAAGACACAGAGAAAAACTATCAGGCATACTAATCCTGTATTTAACAATCTTTGTAACCACTTCCCTGGGAGAGGCAGGCACTGAGTGCTGCCCAGCTGGGGGGTTCTGGCTGCCCCTTCAGCTCCTGGAGCCCCTGTTTGTTGATCCTGCATGAGCCAGCGGGACACTCCCATATGTTGTTTTTTGGTTGAGCTGGAGTCCAAATCACGGAGGAGAGTGCTGTGACCATGTTGAGGCAGATGAGACTGATGACACCCATCTTGGACTGGCTCCTGTTGAAAACCAGGCATAACCTCAGCCCCAAGTGATTAGAGAGTAGGGCCTTTTCCATTGATTGGTGCTTATTTTTTTTATCATGACTTATGCCCTTTCTTTAACTGACTTTAACATAGTATGATTAAAATGTCTGTGAATTGGAGGACCTTCCTCTGTCCATTGATTAAAAAAATTAAGAACATAGCATGCTTTAGCTATCCTTTCCTGGGGGGTCATACCCATACTTCCCCTTTTTTGTTTTTGAAGCATAGCTGTTGTGGTTTAACCTGGCTGGCAGCTAAGCACCACACAGTCATTTTCTCCTCCTGCCTCTCTGGGATGGGGGAGAGAATCAGGAAAATGAAGCCTGTGGGCTGAGGTAGAGACAGTTTATTAGGACAGAAAAGAAAAATAATAATGATAATAGTACTACTACTACTAATAATGTACAAACAAGTGATGCACAATGCAGTTGCTTACCACCTGCTGACCGATGCCCAGCCTATCCCCAAGCAGCCAGTCCCCGTACCCCAGCTAGCCACCTCTTTATATTGTTCAGTATGATGTCAGATGGTATGGAATACCCCTTTGGCCAGTTTGGGTCAGATGTCCTGGGTCTGTCCCCTCCCAGCTCCCAGTGCACCTCCAGCCTGCCTGTTGGCAGGACAGAGCGAGAATCTGTAAAGTCCTTGGCTTAGTGTAAGTACTGCTCTGCAACAATTAAAACATTAGCGTGTTATCAACATTATTCTCATCCTAAATCTGAAACAGCACCCTACTAGCTACTAGGAGGAAAATTAATTAACTCTATCCTGGCTGGAACCAGGACAATAGCTTTTAGGGTACTGTGGACCCTTTTTTTTTTTTTTCTTTGGCTTGACCCGTACTTGACCCATGGGAGAATGGGGTATACCTGTCAGATGTTGAATGCCCCACTCTTGAAAAAAAGTGGGTTGCGTGGGACACATATCCTGGCCCATTATCTGTTTTAATTGTTTTGGGGATTCCTAATGTCGCAAAAACTAACAGAAGATGTTTACACACATCCTTTGCCCTTTCTTCTGCATGGACAGATGCAAACATGCAGGCAAAAAGGTATCAATTGAAACATAAACATAGTGAAGTTTTCTGAATTCTGGCAAATGTGTAATGTTGAAAAATAACCCTTTAAGTTTATTATTATTCATGTCCATGACTGGGGGAACATAGTTGGAGATGGCAATCCTGGTTGAAGTGCTCCCATATCTTCCTTGACTTCGTTAATTTTTTTCAAATCATGTAACAGTCTCCGCTTTCCATTTTTTTTCTTGATTACAGACACTGACAAGTTTCAGGGGCTAGTCATGGAAACAATATGTCTCACTTTGAATTGTTAAGCAACTCAGCCTTCAGGCCCTACATTTGCTATTCTCCCTGGATCGAAGGGAAACAGATCTGGCTCCTTTTCAGGGTTTATATGGCCTGGATCAAAAGGAACATCCAGGTCATCAGGGGGCATAACAGCAAAGGCCTGCTGCAATGGTGGTAGTGGCAGGGGGGGCAATAGTGTAGCAGGTGGATCAGTGGATGAGCCTGCAGCTCCCTCACTATCTGGCAAACCAGATGTTTCTGATTGTGATCCCACATGGCTCATTAAGGCCTCAGAGATTGCTTGCCAGGTGCCGAGCAATCCAGCCACAACCTTATTTTTTTAGTAGCAGAGTCCCAAAGCTTGACCCCAGTTTGGTCCCATGTTTCAGGATTGTAAACTGTCTGATTTGAAATAAGGGGTCATTCGTGGTAGCCCATACAAGAATTTGCTTAAAGGCTGCAGAGGGCACTGGTTTTCCCTGTTTTTTTGGGAATAAGCTGGAAAGTTCCCAGGACATTCCTTGTTACTAAGGCCATGTTCCCCGTGGCTTGCCTTGGCCTGGTGAGAGGCAGTTGTGTGCACGGGTACACTTCTCTCAGCACGCTTCTTTCAACAATGTTTCTTTCAGCTTGAGTGCACTTCCTTTCAGCACAGTCTGCTTCTCTCAGCGGCAACTAGAAGTCGCTTTTTTCAGCTTGAGCTTCCTTTCAGTTGGGTATGTTTCCTTTCAGCTTGCTGGGTTCAGCTGAACCTATCTTCTTGAGGTGATCAGTGTCCCTGTCCCTATTCTGTTAGCCTGTCCCTGTTCGTTCATTTTTGGTTTTGTCCCTGTTCTGTTAGCTGGTCCCTGTTCATTCATTTTTTTTGTCCCTGTTCATTTAGGGAGTCCCTGTTCAAGCACCATTTGTGGTGAAATAACCACATGAACACCAGGGTAAGTTTAGGGATGGTGATGCTCCTACAGGCCTGAGATCGGGACCTGTCCTCCTCCTTGGGAGCTGCCTCCTGCAGGGTCACATGGCCATTTCTTAATACACTGGGCTGGCTAAAGCTCTCCCATGAGGACCTCGCTGGTGTGCCTTGCTGGGATCTGACCAGCAGAACTTTGGAGGGCAAGCTCTGGAGATCATAAATGCTTTTGGCAAGAAGGAGAAGCACCTGTGCTCCTCGGAGGGGATGCCTATTCTTTGTGTCTGTCCTTCCCTTATTCTTTTTTAACTCTTGTTCTTTTCCTATGATATCTATTGTGTTGCTTCTTTCAGGAAGACATCCCCACAGTTGCTTCTAAAAGTCTCCTCAACAATTAGGCTTTCAAACCATGTAAGCAGCTAATTCAAATTCTTCCTATGTCTTTGAAGGGTGCGTGTACATGCGTGTAAAAAGATCTTGCTGCTCTGTCTCAGGCTTCTAAAATCTCCCTAAAGAATAACAGCCATTGTCAGTTTTTACCCACTTTTTTTTCCTTTTTTTTTTTCCTACTTGATTAATATTATGATAAAGAATAGATGAAATTGACAGTTTTTACACACTTCTTTTTCCTTACTTGATTAATATTACGGTAAAGAATAGATCAAATTTTTACTTTGCAGGCTTCGCAAGCAAAATAGTATCCATCTACTTGCCATGGAGATAGATGTGTTTCTTGCATTATTCTATATTTTCTAGGATTATGACAAGGTGAACAGGACACAGAGTAAAATATGGAGAGATGAGTTTAGAGCCTAGAGATAATCAAATCAAGAGAACAGTTCTGTAGGCTGGAACATCCTCTCTCCCCATCTTCTCTGTCAGCTGGTGGTACTTTCTGTAATTTTAAAATAAAACCCCCACACTTCTATTTCATTGGCACTTTGAATTTGAAAAAGGCATATCGGGGCACCTTTTGCCCCGATATCTAAGTGCCTCCAGATATCTAAACCTTTTCCTGTGCCATGCCATGACATCTGGAGTCCCCTAAGCCATTCTGTTCCACCCACCACCTAAAATTAAAAATTTTAAGGGCATTATCCACTGATGTTCTTTCTCAGGGTGTACTAGTTTCACACACCTTGACAGGAAGTCAATGTAATAATATGAAATAACAGATAAATGTTAGAGGTGAAGGGAGGAGTTTGGTCAAAAGCTGATGAATTTTATCTGGAGAACAGCAGCCGGCTGCTAGGGTGAGAACTGTCAGGTTTGGGGTTCTAAAATCCTCCTGTCATATAATTCTGGGGAATTGCAGTTGAGGTGTTTTATGATCTCCCCTTCATTTATATCCCAAGCACCCATCAGGCTTTACTTCTTCTGGGGAGCTACAGCCCACACTGGGCTCTTCCTCATGTTGTGGGGAGGAAGGGCTCCACAGCAGCTGTATGGTTAAGTTTTTCTTGTGAAATGGAGCCCAACTACAGGGTTGTGCCCATGATGGAAAGATGGAAACATGAAATATAAGAACTCAGATGTCTGTGGTGTACTGCAAATACATTCCCTTCTCCATTGTTCATCTTTCCCCTGACTCCCTCCCCTCCTTTTTCTGTGTAAAGACCATTTTTCCCATAGGAGAAGTATTTTTATTTTAATGATGAATATCAACCATCACATTCAATCATCCCCCTCCTTCCAGGACAGTCCAGGGCATTGATGGGTGCAAGGTTGTCCCTTGGTGTGGTTACCTTTCTGAAACACTTGTTGCATAGCCAATTGCCAGCTCTAGGCTGGAGAACATGACAAATATTTTAGAATCTGTACACACAGCACTAGCCTAGCTTTTTGAGACAAAAGCCAGGAAAAATATAAAATGTGTAGAGTCAAAAGACCACAAGTTCTTAGCATGGATGTTTTTACTAGAAACAGTGTTGCAAATATATCATATGACCTTAACTAAAATCTAAAGTGATCTAAAGAAATGTGTTTCTAGTGCAATTTCACCTCTGTTATGTCATAGGAAAGAGTTTAGATAATTTGGACCATGTTAAGTTACAATGCAGTTGTAAGAATATCAAGAAGTCTTAGCAAAACCAGATGTATATATTCTGTCAGCTCTTTCTGCAGACATACCAACTAAAGACATGCAAAAACATGAATAAACCTCAAATCACAGACTCCTTCAAGCATCTAACTTTTCTGTGTGTTCTTTCTCCTTCGTATTTCAATATTGGGGCATTCTGACTCCTTACCCCCCAAATTTCCTTCCATCTAGTGGCCCCCCTGTGCTGCTTGCCTGGATGGTCAAGCAGCTGCCTTTTTGCAGTGCTTATTCCTTCCCCTCTCCATGTTCATTGCTTCCAACGTGTCATTGGGAAGCTGTCTTCTAGAAAAGTCACATTTGCAATGCAAAAAAGCTGTGAAAAATTTCTGGAAACACCAGCTACCTGCTGTGTATAAGAATTTAAAATGTTTCTCAGTGGTATGCAAGAATAATACCTTTGTCCTTCCTCCAACATAAAAAAAAATAAAAAATGTCATAGCGTTTTGACTGAAGCAGTATGTTAGGGATGCAGATCACATGTCCAGATCACACTAATGAGCTAATTTTCCATCCCCATTTTACCTTCTTATTCAAGGTAGCGAGCATGTGTGCATGTGTGTACTTTCCCAGGATGTGCTCTCTTTGTGGCAGGAAGACGTTGAATAAGGAGGTGTTGAAAAATTCTGAATTTTTGAGAACCCCAGCAGATTGGACTCCTCTTATGCAGTTTGTTGTACACCAGGACTTTTTCTGTGTAGGATTTCTGGATGCTGTGAGACGGAACAAGATAAAAGATGGCGATTCCTAGGTCTTAGCTAACACAATTATATGTTAACGACCCAAAGATGAGGGAACAGAAGACTGTATGAGTAGATAATGGAACCAGCAAGAATTGGCTTGACTGATAGGTCTGTCAAAGACAGGAAAGGCCAGAAGATAAGCAGAGAGGAAGACTTCTGGCCTTCAACAGAAGACCACCAGAGTATGCCAGACAACCGACCACCCAAGGATGCTAGTACGCATACAAATAGAGACAGAAACTATGTTAATGATTCTTCGGAGACCTGATGAATATACAAGAGACTTACAGGAAATTAAATGAATATGCATTTGTCCCACTAATATAAGCACACTGCCAGTACCCATTGGTGAACAAGTTAGGTGGAGCTACCCCCTTGTGCTCAGTGTGTGTGTGCAGTGCCGAATAAACATACTTACTTTACAATTTTATAGGTTGTGGAGTCTGTTTTCTGCAAGTCAGCTGGTCTCCCACTGATGGGAATGTACCTTCTGCTGTATTGTTATGTGTAGTAGTGTAACTTCTAGAAGAGTCAGGTTTGCAGTGTGCAAGTAGAGTTAGGTATGTGTAGAATGTAGCTCAACAGCTGACACCTCTTGTTTACTGTACACTCTGCAGATTTTTTTGCATGTTTACTGTGCAAGAAATCTTGTAATGACAAAGGACTTTATCAATATCAAACAGTAATGCCAGGATGGGTATCTCCAAGGCAAAGCTTTCAGGTTGTTACTGGGACAACTACAGCACAGACAAGAAGAATATAGCTCTCACACTAAGACTCCTCCCAATTAGAGTGTCTTAGGTAAGAGAAATCTAAGCATGTAATTTCTACACCCAACCATGTGTAAAGCTTGTGTCCTTACAGCGTTTCAAGAGCCACAAGTTTTGTCTTAGTGCTTTCTTAACCCTTAGAGTTACTCATGAGATCACCAGCAGAGATACATGTATGCTTTGAACCGTATTTTGGTCTCCCTGAGGGTATAGAGTCTGTAAGGAAGGGCAACAAGTCTAAATGGAAAGGGATTTTCTAGGATCTTGGACATGAAGCCAAAAGGGCAAGAATTGTTGATAAAATTTCTTACAGGGGATCCCCACTGTGAAAGTATTGACTCTGGTTCATTGCTAAGTTTAGAAACCATGTAAAACATGTACCATGCACGTTATATAGAGCAGATGGTACAACAGGCTCTACTGGTTGCAGAGTGTCAAATAACAGATTGTCTAAAAAAGTTTGCTTGCTTTTGGCAGACAATTTAATTCAGCTCATAGTATGTTACTGAAGTTCATTTTGCACCTCTGCGAAAGTAGGCAGCTAATGCATTTTATGTCATCTGCTATAACCAACGTTTCTTAAATAATGAAAATGCTAGAAGTTGTGCTCTTGAATGGAGGTAGAGGAAGGACTCTTGAGTATGTGAGTAGAAAAAGCAATCTGAAATCCATGAAAATGATTCACGTTCCAAAGCCTCAGTCTCTTTCCAGTTGGTACAAAATTGTATTTTCATTACCTTTTTTTATACTTTTTGAAATAATTCCTCCCTTCTATTTTGGAATGGGAGCAACATAAAACATCTCAGAATTTATTGCAAAAAATACATTTTCTACAAACTCCTCATGTCTGTGCAGGATGGTGTATTAGATTCAGTACCAGGTATGATCAGACACATTCAGTAAACTGTATTAAGAGCTAAGCAGGCATGGATCTTAAACGAATATTAAAGAAATCTTTGTGTACAGCTTGATCATACTGAGCATGAATGATCACATTTCTAAGGGATCTTAGGAAAAACTAGTTTCTTCAGGTCCTTCTCTGTGTGTCATTGAATGTTTTTCCCTTCTCTGAAAGTGTTTCTTGAAAACACCATAATGTAATCCAAACAAAAGTACTTAGTTGAGTTGGCCATCACCTGGACTGGTCTTATATATGTCCAGAAAGCACGCTCCGCTGTTCTGGATCTTGTAATCTTTTAGCTTTGTCAGATGAGTGACAATATGTAGCTGCTGTCAAGTTACCTGTTTGTCCTGGAGCTGAGCTAATATACTGAACATCCCAAAGACCAGGTCACAGTAATGGCAGGCCAAACGCAGTCTGCTTTAATGTCAACTTATACCTGCTACTAAGGGTCTCATCTTGTCCTGCTCCTGCTGGCCAGAGCCTGAGAAATGTGTCTCAGGTCTGAATCTTTGCCACGGTCCTACCTTATATAAGCTGACTTTTCAATAATGTGGTTGTGACCACATCATTTGCAGAAATGATCGCAGACAACCAGTACTTCCAAAGGAAGTTTTAAACTGATTTATAATCACATATGGCAAAATCCATCAGCAAATGAATTTATTTAGTGTGCTAGAAAATTCTCTATTCTCTGACTTCTCACAATCTTGCTCTGTGTGAGTTTTTTCCTATAGAAACTGGGTATGAAACGGTGCCAGCACATAAGAGAAGTAATTCACAATCAACTTTGCACAGAAGTTAAGTGACCTTGCAATATTCAAGGCAGAAGAGAAGAAAGTCTCTCAGATAAGACCATGTGCAAGAAGAGATGGAGTATACACTGGAGCATGCTATGCTTTCTGTTCTCCTCCCTCTACCCTAGGGAAGAATTGATATTGTCCAAAACTTGTACTTTCTGGGTCCTTTGGATGCTTTTTTCCAAGACACCCACCCTTTACTTAATTTTAAGTTCAGTGGGAGTAGAGCCAAATTTAGAAGACTTTGGAAAATCTTTTTTGAAATATGCAGTCTGCCATTCATAGGGATGTTGTCTGGATGTCTTCCAGAGCAGCTCCCAGGCCAAACAGGACTGTCACTGAGTGCTTGTGAGAGTGACAGACACCATCCGTTAAATGCAAATGTAGCAAACGTAGGATGAGTGTGGAAACCTGGGTGCTTACTTACCTGTTATGAGGGGAGCTACTAGCGTGGGTGCTGAAGGTGATTCCACCTCCTACTCACAACTTTCCTCTGGAACAAAATCTGTTATAAACTTTGTGGCTCTAGAAAATCCATTTGTAGCTGGCTTGGAGCCAGTCAAATCAAGAAACACTCCTTTGCAATAATAGTAGCAGCATGAACTGTTCACTTCAATTTTACTCATAAGCTATTTTTGATTAACTGCAGGCATTTGTGCTGACTTTGCTGCTGCAGCCTATTCACATACGTAGCCACATTTGCATGTAGCAAAGGTATTTGGGCATGAACAAGGATATTTGCTTATTACTTTCTGATATCTCAGATTTACTCTCATCTGAGTGCAGAAGCAAAACCAGTATTAGTGGTTTAAGAATTAATTGTCTATCAGGCAGCTGAAGAAGTTTATAGAAATCCTGTTTGCATTATTTTTGGAGAAATGGCTGTAGACAACCAGTACTTCCAAAGGAAGGGGGTGGGTTTTTAACTGATTCGTAATCAAACATGGCAAAATCCTGCAGCAAATAACCTTTCTTAGTGTACTGGAAAATTAACTGATAGCTGGAGGTATGTTCCTCTCCAAAAGTTTTCTTTCTGTGATTTGACAGCTCTAGTAAGCCAATTGCTGCTAGTCTAATTTTATACCTGCCTGTCAGTGAGGATGGATTTTAATGGATGCTTTTAGTGGTTGCTGCCCTCTAATGAGGGATTTTATTTTTTTTAAGGAAAGTGCTTTGCAAGGTGGATTGATTTTGTAGCGAGTGACATACTGGAGAAGGCAACTGATGTCTCCAGATGAGGTGTGGTCCCCCTGCCCAACTCCAGGGGTGGAGGCAAGGTCTCTGAAGGTGGTGAGCATGGTGGGCTTGGTAAAATGGGCTTGGTAAATGAACCAGCTTTTTAAATACCTGAAGACAGTTAATTGTGCAAGAGAATGGTTAAGGCAGATAATAGTAGCTTGTGACTTTTGTAAGGAAGTTTTTACAGATGAAAGTTTGACAGATTAAAGGTAGTTTCTTGTTGGTATTGTACAGCTAAGATTTTAAACACTGAAAGAAAACTCCGTGTTTTTGTAGCACTCTCATTGGGAAGTGAATTAACAGGGAAATACTCCATAAATCAAGGAGAGTGTTGGTGAATGCTTAGTTTTTTGTAGACCAACAACCCAGCTTGATATGCTTAGTGCAAGCTAAGGATGCTAGATTTAATCTCAGTATGATAATTCAAGCTTCCCAGTACTGGAATCCACTGTGTACTGTAGGTGCTAGAACATGATGAGATGTTGTGAAGACCACCTGAGAATTTCTTTGTCCATTTTTAAATGACAGTCCTCAGGTAGAGACATAAAATGCTATGATGGAAGGATTTAGGGGTACCTAATTTTTTTGCTCATGCCAGTATGAGGCATAGGATCCAGTCTTAGGTGATTGAGCATAGCCCTGGAGCTGTGCATACATAACTCTGTGCAAGGCCACCAAGTGAAATTCATCCTGGCTTGTGGTGCTGTGTACATGAAGTGAGGCATGAGACATCATACAGTTTAAGCTGAGTGTATTCACAAGTACATTCATTACATATATGGCACTGCTGTTCTGTACAGGCTGATTGTGTCTTGGTACCTAGACCTAACATTCTTCTACCTGTCAATTTGTGCCTTGGATCAGCAGTAGGTGGTTTGAATAGAATTGGTTAGTTTTAAGACTTATCCCTAGTTTTTGGGTGGTGTGTGTGTTGTTATTATTTTCCCCAAATATATATTTTTCAGACTGCTGGAAGATGCTCTTCTGACTTTTCTTCTCTGGATTTAAAGGAGATAGACAATTCTGCTGGAGAATGTTTTGCACTTTTTTACCCAGGAAGGACAGAGGCACTTGTAGTTTAATGGAGATTGTGTTATTTAAAGACTCCCGGTGGTACTACCTTGAGGTGCATTCTGCTTTTAGTAGTTCTTGACAGTAACCAGCTATCTCATTAAGAAATAGTTTAACCATGTCAGCCAGGGATGTCCAAAGCATGTTTATCTGGTGTGGTCCACATCCTGCAAGAATGTTGCCACTACATTAACTGTATAGGAACTAGCTGACTGTGCTCCCTGGCCTTTTTGCCATGAGGTCCAAATGGCATCAGCATTGATATGGCTTTCCTCTGCAAAACTCTAATCAGCTAAAATAGGCAGAATCCTCTTAAAATGATGCTGCACTTTTGAGAAGGAAATGGATGTTAAAGTGATTTCCTTCACTCCAGTCCTGGCCCTGCACTGATTTGAGGGCAACACCTGACCCTCCATAGAACCCACTAGGGGTCTTGCTGATTGCCACTGATTTCTTTCTGGGAGGTGCTTGGATTGCGCCATTGCCCTGAAGAATAGAAATAGTGCAAGAGACAGATCAGTATGGGCTTCATGTTTAATGACAGGAAAGTGCCAGGGTCTCTGCACAGGAAAGAAACAGATGAACTTCAACCACATTAAAAGCAGCATAGCAGACACTGATCTAGCAGCCCTCCTCAGATGTGCCCTCA